TTAGTCGATTGGCAGATCAGTTTCCGGGGTAATAATCCCTTCAATAAAATTAACAATAATTTGGTCACTTCAATCCATGACTGTTTGTGGGACACTGCTATGTGTAATTGGCTGCCGCGTCTCACCACAAAATATACAGTCACTACACTTTATAGTATATTCTGAGGGCAGTGGGGGAAGCAGGGAGATCGAAAGCACGATCGAAGAGGAGGAGTCTTGATAGAAATAAATATAGAAATACAAAGATAGAAATAAATTGAAACGACAGTATTTGAGACGTGTTGGTGAGCAGCATAAAGGAAACTGCTGAAAATTCACAGAAGTCCGATCATGTTGAATTCAGATTTTTGTAAATATAAAACCAATTTGCTTTCCCCCTTCAGAGAGTGTCTGGCCGACAGTGAGCTCCTATCAGTAGGCTAAGTACAGCATCTCCTGAATATAAAGTGTATTACCCTCAATTTAGCCATTGTAGGAACATATTGGTCTACGTTATTGCACCCTCACTACATCTTAGTTTCCAAGTACTCGGTGCAATAGTTCAGTCTAACAAAACCGGGCCTAATACAATGCTGCTGACAACTAACTACTTGTCCATCGTTGGTAAAGTAGTCCTTGTGATGGCAAGGTTGATTCTATGCAACCTTTGTCACTGTCCTCGTTTATTCTGTTGAACAGACTTTTATTGTATTTCTCTCAAACTCAGAAACAATGGCAGCTAATAGCAGTTTGGTTACAGTCAGTGCAAAACCGCTGCTCAAGCTCCAGCCTCGATAACAACTTCCTTCTTGATAAGCTGCCCTCAATGCTAATGTGTTTACATTATCTGCACAACCAGAAACCATACAGGATGCGGAGTTTAATAGCCAGGGGGAGCGAAGCAGGGCGAGCTGGGCAGAGCAGGGGGGTGTGCAGCTCACCCTCAGCCAGGCCCCCACCCACACAACAAAGGTTCTGCACAACCATTCAATTTAATAATATTCTTTGCATTTGATATGGCAACTTATCAAATGGTTGAGACGTCTCGAAGCACTTCATACAATATACTGTAAAGTGTAGTGACTGTATATTTTGTGGGCGAAACGCAGCAGCTAATTGCGCACAGCAGTGTCCCACAAACAGTCGTGGATTGAGTGACCAATTTTTTTTTGAAAGGATGATTTCCCCTGAAAAGTGATCCTCCAATCGACTAACAACCGGGTTCCTACTGACTGGTGGTAAACAGAGGCGTGTGGAGTAGGGAAACTTGTCTAAGGTTTCCCCCTGACCGGGAATCAAACCCGGGTCCTCTCGATTGCGAACAGGGGCTCTAACCCTGAGCTACAGGACACTTCACTTTCAGCTCACACCAGGCCTTGCTTATCCTGCCTTTTTTAAAAAAAAAACAAGAATTTTCCAGACATATATTTCCATCAAACAGCCTGTTGGTTCCTTTGTTTGAATGTAACACAAGGCAAATCCTATTAGTGTGGTCTGGAGATAACGGCAGAGGGAATCGATCTCAGTCTCAGCTCAGGGGGTGGAGTTGATAGGATTTGTGGAAGATTGGAAACCAAAATGACAGTGACACACAGCGCTGGAGCTGCTCAAACCAGCTCTACTTCATTAACGTAATTAGGATCATGGAGCCCTGTAGCTCAGTGGTTAGAGCCCACGCCTCGCAAGTGAGGACCTGGGTTTGATTCCCAGGTAGGGCGATATGTTGGGCAAGTTTGCTTATTCCACACACCTCTGTTCACCAGCAGTCAGTAGGAACCCACTTGTTAACTGATTGGTGGTCACTTTCCGGGGGTAGTAATTCCTTTAAAAAATATTTTTTTAAAAACTCGCCTCACAAGCGAGGGACCTGGGTTTGATTCCCAGCAGGAGAAACCCTGGGCAAGTTTCCTTACTCCACACGCCTGATAATAATCCCTCAAGAAAAAATAATAATTTGGTCTCTCAATCCACGGCTATTTGTGGGACGCTGCTGTGCGCAATTGGCTGCCGCGTTTCGCCCACAGAATATACAGTCAATTCATTTTACAGTATAGTCTGTGAAGCGCTTTGAGACGTCTCAAAGACGTGATAAGGCACGATATCAAATGCAAGGATTATTAGTGTTATTATCCAGTCTAGTGGTGGAGAGTCCAGTTACAATCACCGGCACAGCTTTCATCGCACTCGGGCTAACACTGAGCTGATGACCAGAGAACCAGATTCTGTGCAAATGCCAGGAAGGTAGCTGCTGCCTCAATGGCCTCCTTCCAAATAGGTCTCACAAACCAAGCGTAGACCGGAGCAAAAGGAACAGCTTCCCAAACTAAAGGCACTTTGGATAAATAAACCTTATTTTTGCAGCCATGTGGAAACCAAACCATTACACAGCAGGCCCCTAGCCAGAGATGGGACACTACTAACTCCGCTTCCTCTCTCTCTCTGAATGGGGCAAATGGCTTTCAAAACTAGGAGCTCCCCCCCATCTCTCTCTCTCTCCTCTCTCTCTCTCTCATAACCCCTGCTCTTGCCCGATTCTACACATTCATTATCTTTCGACTTATTTGATTGTTTTAATAAAAATTTCAATGGTTTACATTTTTTTATTAAAAAAAGCGCTTACTGAACCACAACATAAACATGTCAGGGTGCCCAAAAAACATCCTGTAGCTCAGTGGTTAGAGCACTCGCCTCGCAAGTCAGTGGAGCTCGGTTCAATTCTTGGGCAGGGCGAAACGTTGGGCAAGTTTCCTTACTCCACACACCTCTGTTTACCAGCAGTAAGCAGGACCCTGCTGTGTGCAATTGGCCGGTGCGTTTCATCCACAAAATATAATCAATTCACTTTACAGTATATTCTGTGAAGCGCTTTGAGACATCTCGAAGACGTGATACAACAACAACAAGATTCCATTTATAGAGCGCCTTTCACGTCGGGAGGACGCTATATCAAATGCAAGGATTATCATTATAAAACATTAGCATGTTCTTACTATACTGCTGTTCAGAATACTGAGCCTCCCCCCCGACCCCCAGTGACAACAGGCAGAAGAGATCAAAGAGTGATGTGACCATCTGTCAGGGCAGTAAAAAAGGAAAGACAAACTCCGAGACATTCCCTTTGGAAACATTCCTTGCTATAAACTCATAAAGCATTGATTGATTTGCTTGTCTCTGAGCTCTACCAGCTTCCTCTATACACAGAGCGAAGCCATCACAGAAAGGCCTGTTGTGCTGGATGCACAAGTGGGAAGGCCAAAAGCCCAGGTGAGCAGGTCTCACTCAGCGCTGGTCACTAAGCTGATGCCAATCGTCATTGCTGTACTGAGGCCGGTTTGGCTTCCAGTTCAGTGGCTGTTTTTACCCCTTTTTATTCTCTTATTATAGTGACTGCAGCTTGTCATCCAAGCTCATGACGCCTAAAACACTCAACTCTGCAACTAAAAACACAAATACATTCCTAGTAGCTCACCATTTCACCCACAAAATATACAGTCACTACACTTTGCAGTGTAGTGCAGTGTAGTGTAGTCCTGTGAAGCGCTTTGAGGCTTCTCAACAATGTGAAGCCTGAGGAACCAGATCTCAGCAAGAAAACAGGAAATAAACGAGTTTATAGCCTGACAATCCTCACTGTAACAGCTGTGAGCTACAGTCCACCAACATCCAGTGCCAGGATCCAATTACTGTACCAGACAAGCACATGGGTATCTGACAGAGCTCAGATCAGCTCAGCTCAGCCACGAGGTGGGGCTCCACCCCATCTCCAGCACCTGGTAATATGGGGAAAATGGGGCAACGAGGAGGAAAATTAGCCCCAAAATGACAAACTACAAGGAACGTACCTGTGTTTGTGGATGTGATTCTAGTTGCACAGTTGCTTCTTTTAGGCTCAAAACCACCCCCTCATCATCAGGTTCTGTAACTTTATAAGTGATTCCATTCCCACTGCACCATGAAGACAGCACTACACTGCACAGTCACTACACTGCACAGTCACTACACCACACTGTTCTGCACTATCACTTAGCAAAGCACTGCATTATACAGACCCAGGGTGCTGGGCTATTGTGAGCTTCAGCGTTAAACCAAACCCAACACCATGGTCTTAACCCTGACTGCGCGGGCAATAGAATTTTTTTGGAGGGGGTGTGGGGCGGCAAACACCATCTGTTCACCCATACACACAAGGCACAAACCCTGCCTCTCTGCCCTACACTACACACCTCAGCACAACAATCACAGCTCAGTGGTTATGAAATGGATAGGAATAAAGAGTATGATTCATCAGCGCCGCGTGGAACTAACTGGTAACTGGTTTAAATAGGAATTAATTTGTCCATTTCCTCTAATTTCCTGCAAATTCTTCCGCATTAGCTTCACTTACCAGCTTTCTGTACTCAACCCAACATTGCCTTGTTTTTGCCCTGTTGGGTATCTGACACACATGGAAACCCATCAACTGCTTAACACTAATTCCTGTTTACCTAATTCAGGAGAGTATTAGGCGCAGGTTGGCGAGAGCCAAGGCTGGGGGGAGCCCAGAGTGTGTGTTGGGGTAATGGCTGGAGTCTAACCAACTAAACCCACACAGCTTGCCATTGATATCACTGTCTGGCCAGCTTTCCCATTGCTTGTCCAGCGAGGATCCTCTACTCATGAGGGCTTTGGCTGCAGTGTTAACAGGAAGCTGAGTGGGCTGACTCCCTGCCCCAACATTGGCATCTGCAACCCCCCCCCCCCCCCCGCTATTCTAATCCCAGAAATGTGGGATCATCCACATCTCAAACCAGCGCAAAACACCAAAGTGTTTATGATGGGGGGGGGAGTGCATGAGCAGGTCTTGAAGACGTGATAAGGAGCCTTATCAAATGCAAGGATTATTATTGTTATTATTACTAAGTAGAGATGCTGCTGTACTCACCCTCTGCCTGACAGCCTCTCTATGCGCACATAGTATTATTATTATTACTACTATGTTAGCAGTGTAGTTACTGTGCAGTATTAGGGCTGGGGGTACTCACCACTCTGCCTGACAGCCTCTCGATGCCCTTGTTGACTTTGCCATACGTGCCTTTGCCCCTGGTCTCCAGCAGCTCATAGCGGTGCTTGAGGTTGTGCTTGTGATGGTGTCTCTTCACTGCCTGGGGCTGCCTCCTGCCCGGGCTCCCCGGCTCCTGGGGATGCCTCCTGCCCGGGCTCCCCGGCTCCTGGGGATGCCTCCTGCCCGGGCTCCCCGGCTCCTGGGGATGCCTCCTGCCCGGGCTCCCCGGCTCCTGGGGATGCCTCCTGCCCGGGCTCCCCGGCTCCTGGGGATGCCTCCTGCCCGGGCTCCCCGGCTCCTGGGGATGCCTCCTGCCCGGGCTCCCCGGCTCCTGGGGATGCCTCCTGCCCGGGCTGTTAGGGAGCCTGGCTGGGGCTGTACCTGGGGCTGGGACACTGACTGTGGTCCCCAGCCCCAACCCCAGCTGCTGCCGGCAGCTCCTGTCCCTCACCCCACTGCTGTGTGTGACTGGGCAGCCGCCAGGGGGCGCCCTCCTGCTCCTCACATCCATGGTCCTGGGCTGGATACAGGGCAGCCAGACTGGGCTACAACACAGGGTCACACACAGGGTCACACACAGGGTCACACACACACACACACACAGCCAGACTGGGCTACAACACAGGGTCACACACAGGGTCACACACAGGGTCACACACAGCCAGACTGGGCTACAACACAGGGTCACACACAGGGTCACACACACACAGCCAGACTGGGCTACAACACAGGGTCACACACAGGGTCACACACAGGGTCACACACACAGCCAGACTGGGCTACAACACAGGGTCACACACAGGGTCACACACACACACACACACAGCCAGACTGGGCTACAACACAGGGTCACACACAGGGTCACACACACACACACAGCCAGACTGGGCTACAACACAGGGTCACACACAGGGTCACACACAGGGTCACACACACACACACAGCCAGACTGGGCTACAGCACACACTCAGACACACACACAAACACACTTAGACACAGACACACTCAGACTCACACACACAGACACACACACAGAGACACACACACACAGACACACACACACACACACAGATACACACAGAGACACACAGACACAGATACACACAGAGACACACAGACACAGATACACACAGACACACACAGATACACACAGACAGACACACACACACACAGATACACACAGAGACACACACACAGACAGACACAGACACACACACAGATACACACAGAGACACACAGACACAGATACACACAGACACACACACACACAGAGACACACAGAGACACACACACAGACAGACACACACACACAGAGACACACAGATACACACAGACACACACACACACACAGATACACACAGACACACACACACACACAGAGACACACAGACAGACACACACACAGATACACACAGACACACACACACACAGACACAGAGACGATGTACTCACAGCGCAGTCAGACATTCAGCAGAGACTCACCTGATCCAAACCAAACGCCACAGAAACGTCTCCAACAGCAGCGCAGCACAGCACCGCCCCCGGGGTCAGCCCGGGCTCTGGGGGGGTGGGGGGGTGGGTGTCTCTGTGTGTGGGTGTGGGTGTCTCTGTGTGTGGGTGTCTCTGTGTGTGTGTGTGTGTGTGTGTGGGTGTGTGTGTCTCTGTGTGTGTGTGTGGGTGTCTCTGTGTGTGGGTGTGTGTGTGTGTGTGTCTCTGTGTGTGTGTCTCTGTGTGTGTGTGTCTGTGTGTGTGTGTGTCTCTGTGTGTGTGTGTGTCTCTGTGTGTGTCTCTGTGTGTGTGTGTGTGTGTGTGTCTCTGTGTGTGTGTGTGTGTGTGTCTCTGTGTGTGTGTCTCTGTGTGTGGGTGTGTGTGTGTGTGTGTGTCTCTGTGTGGGTGTGTGTGTCTGTGTGTGTGTGTGTCTCTGTGTGTGTGTGTGTGTGTGTGTCTCTGTGTGTGTGTGTGTGTGTCTCTGTGTGTGTGGGTGTGTCTCTGTGTGTGTGGGTGTGTGTGTCTGTGTGTGTGTGTGTGTGTGTGTGTGTGTGTCTCTGTGGGTGTGTGTCTCTGTGTGTGTGTGTGTGTGTCTCTGTGTGTGTGGGTGTGTCTCTGTGTGTGTGTGTGTGTGTGTCTGTGTGTGTGTGTGTGTGTGTGTGTGTGTCTCTGTGTGTGTCTCTGTGTGTGTGTGTGTGTCTGGTGTGTCTGTGTGTGTGTGTGTGTGGGTGTGTGTGTGTGTGTCTCTGTGTGTGTGTGTGTGTGTCTCTGTGTGGGTGTGTGTGTGTGTCTCTGTGTGGGTGTGTGTGTGGGTGTGTTGCTGCTCCGGGGCTCAGCCCATCAGTGGCTGTGAGAGCAGTCGCGGCGCTGTTGGGATCCTCTTGTTCTCATGTTAGCGGCAGAGGAGGGGGGGGGGGGGGGGGGCTGGGGGGGGGGGGGGCTGGGGGGGGGGGCTGGGCTGGGGTGGGGGGGGGGGGGGCTGGGCTGGGGCTGGGCTGGGGGGGGGCTGGGCTGCTGGGGGGGGGGCTGGGCTGGGGGGGGGGGCTGGGCTGGGGGGGGGGGGCTGGGCTGCTGGGGGGGGGCTGGGCTGGGGGGGGGGCTGGGCTGCTGGGGGGGGGGGCTGGGGGGGAGGGCTGGGCTGGGGGGGGGCTGGGCTGCTGGGGGGGGGCTGGGGGGGCTGGGCTGCTGGGGGGGGGCTAGTGGGGGGGCTGGGCTGCTGGGGGGCTGGGCTGGGGGGGGGGGGCTGGGCGGCTGGGGGGGGCTAGTGGGGGGGCTGGGCTGGGGGGGGGCTGGGGTGGCTGGGGGGGGCTGCTGCGGGGGGGGGGGCTGGGGGTGGGGGCTGCTGGGGGGGGGGCTGGGCTGGGGGGGGGGCGGGGGGGGCAGAGAGGGGCGGTGGGGGAGGAAGAGAGGGGGCATATACCGGTCTCTGATGTGAACCTTGAAGGCGATAGGTGATGGGGGCGAGAGCGAGACCCCGGGAGCCGGGGGGGAAGCCATCGGAGTGAACGGCGTATATTAGGTCACAACGGGAATGTCAGACATGTGCACTGTAACCGGTATGAAATGCCGTTTGATTTATAAAGCATTAGTAATATTATTATTATTGCTCCTCTTTGAAATTTTGCCTTAGAATCTTTCACATCCACTGGAACCAGTAAACCACTCACCAACAGCTCAGTCTAACATTGTGTCCAATAATGGGATTTTCAACAAAACAGCATTACTTTATAATAATAATCATTGCATTTTTATGCAAAATTTTAATTTTATTTTATGCATTTCACCCCCAAAATATATAGTGAATCCACTTTACAATATATTCTGCGAAGCACTTGGAGACGTCTCAAACACCTAATATTATTATTTGATAGAGCGCCTTTCTCATCAGCAGTATGTCTCAAAGCAGGATTCACAGGATTTACTGTCCATAGGAACAGGCGGAGGCCATTCAGCCCCTCGAGCCGTTCTACCATTCTGTAAGATCATGGCTGATCTGTACCTCACCCCAAGTACACTGTAAAGTGCAGTGATGGTGTGTTCTGTAGACCAACACTTACGATACACATTCACTAACTTGTTCGGCACGTCAGCCGAGATTAGGAGCTCGAACTGACCGTGCGTTGGGTTAGAGTTGAGAATGATACCAACTGTGCCAATGTATAAACAGTGACGATACAGCATGAGAATACTTGGAGAGGTCAGACTACAATTATTCTAAACATAATACTCATTCTAACTAACACGTGTGGCAATGCTCGCCCCCCCCCCCCCCCACCCCCCCAACACACACATAGTTATAAATGTGTGAACCTATATAAAAGATTGACCCTCAGTAAATATACCTGTAAAGTTATAATAATGCTTATAATAATCCTTGCATTCGATATGAGCAACTTATCACATCGTTGAGACGTCTCAAAGAGCTTCACAGGATATACTGTAAACTGAATCGACTGTGTATTTTGTGGGCGAAACGTACACAAAAGTTTGCACTGTTTTCAGTAGCATATAAGCTGAACACTTTACGGCACTAATAACCTCTACAGCTTGTTTAAATGTGATTTATCATTAGGTGGAGTGGTCGGCATTAAACCGAGTGCAAGCAGAATTGTCTTTTCCAAGTTACACAACCAGCGCCATCCAGTGTAGGAATAGGAAACAGAGATGGTCTGCGCTCTCTAACAATCCAACACGATAAGTAACAGGCACAATAGGAATAATTAGAATAATCTTATCACGTCTTCGAGACGTCTCAAAGTGCTTCACAGAATATGATGTAAAGTGTAGCGACTGTGTATTTTGTGGGCAAAACGCGGCAGCCAATTGTGCACAGCAGCGTCCCACACACAGCCGTGGACTGAGTGACCACATTATTATTTTTTTGAAGGGATTATTACCCCTGAAAAGCAATCCGTCAATTGACTAACAACCGGGATCCTATTGACTGCTGGTAAACAGAGGCTTGTGGAGTAAGGAAACTTGCCTAAAGTCCTGACCTGACCTGACCCACCTGGAACCGAACTCAGATCCTCTCGCTTGTACATTAGTGTATCCTATTACTGCTGTACACTATTACCGCTGTACACACTATTACTGCTGTACGCTATTACTGCTGTACGCTATTACCGCTGTACACACTATTACTGCTGTACGCTATTACTGACAACACAGCTAGGAGCGAGCATCAAAAGGTGCCTGAAGTGAGCACAAGTGATCCATCTCCTGTTCCATGTCAAAGTACTCCAGTACATACACTTCATCTGTCTTTATGTGGTATTTCTTTCCCTCGTAAATCTGCCTCAGTCAACTCAACATTCTGCGTGTTTTTTAAAATTAATAATAATAATCCTCACATTTGATATCACGCCTTATCACGTCGTTGAGATGTCTCAAAGCACTTCACAGGATATACTGTAAAGTGAGTTGACTGTGTATTTTGTGGGGAAAACGTGGCAGCCAATTACACACAGCAGCGTCCCACACACAGTTGTGGATTGAGTGACCAAATTATTATTATTATATATACATTTTTGAAGGGATTATTATCCCCAGAAAAGGGATCTGCCAAATGACTAACAACCGGGTTCCTACTTACTGTCGGGTAAACAGAGGTGTGTGGAGTAAGCAAACTTGTCTAATGTCCGGGAATCAAACCCAGGACCTCTGGCTTGTGAGGCGAGGGCTCTAACCACTGAGCTACAGGACTCCACAAGTTTATTATCCCCTAGTCAGCAATGTGAGAATAACAGGATCATATTTTCCTATGTTGTATTGCTGTATCTGCAACATTAACAATCACACGATTCCTCAGTAACATTCACATCCTTTACAGAGGAGAAGGAAGACATCTGGAAAGAGTTAGAAGAGAAATGTAACAATGGATGTCAGTCAGGGCCTGGTACTGTTTGGAGTTGGATAATATGGGTTTTGTTCATTTTCACTTCTTGAGGCCTGTGTGACAAGAATTATGCTGGTTTATTTTAGTCTGATTGAAGCTATGGCTCAATGTTTTCAGTGCTGGAACACAAATAATAATAATAATAATCCTTGCATTTGATATAGCGCCTGATCATGGCTTCAAGACATTTTAAAGCATTTCACAGAAGTATACTGCAAAGTGAATTAGCTCTATATTTTGTGGGCGAAACGCGGCAGCCAATTGCACACAGCAGCGTCCCACAGTCATGGACTGAGGGACTAAATTATTATTATTTATTTATTTTGAAGGGATTATTATCCCCGGAAAGTGATCCAACAATCGACTAACAAACGGGTTCCTTTTTACTGCTGGTAAACAGAGGCGTGTGGAGCAAGGAAACTTACCCAACATTTTGCTCTGCCTGGAAATCAAACCCATGTCTCTTGTTTGCAGCAGAAGTGTTCTAACCACTGAGCTACAGGACTCCAGTTGTATAGGAAGCTGAGAATAAAACACGTTAGAAGAGTAAATATAATAATAATAATCCTTGCATTTGATATAGCGCTTTTCACGTCGGGAGGACATCCCAAAGCGCTTCACAGAACACACTGTAAAGTGAATTGACTGTATATTTGTGGGCGAACGCGGCAGCCAATTGCACACAGCAATGTCCCACAAACAGTCGTAGATTGAAAATGACCAATTTATTATTGTGTTTGGTTTTGGAGGGATTATTATTAGGCTCTGTGTGGAGTAAGGAAACTTGCCCAAGGTTTCGCCCTCTGCCTGGAATTGAACTCAGGTCTCTCACTTGCAAAGCGAGTGCTCTAAACACTAAACATATATACCATGAGATAGACGCTGTAGGAAAGTCTCTTCTCTCGAACAGGTGGTGGAACTTTAAAGTGTTGCTGGATTTTTTTGGTCTCCATGGTTCCTCTGCCCCCAAAGTGCTAATCAAGGTCTTTCACAAAGCTGAGGTCAAGATTTTGTTCAAACAGGGCCCATGTTACTATTACAGCAGCTCATTCATCCACCACAGATGTCTGACTGACGTTTGGAAATAACTGGGAAGAGTATAAACGTGGTGAAGAACAGCTTAGGTAGAGAAAAGCTACCGCCTTATATTAGGCGGCAAAGCCATCATCAGCCTTTTGCTGTTATTTCAGTTGTCTGAACCTATGTGTCTGTGGAGTCCTATAGCTCAGTGGTTAGAGCCCTCACCTCATAAGCCAGAGGACCTGAGTTTGATTCCTGGGCAGAGCAAAACCATAGGCAAGTTTCCTTACCTCACACGCCTCTGTTTACCAGCAGTAAGTAGGAACCCGGTTGTTAATCGATTAGTGGATCACTTTCCGGGGATAATAATCCCTTCAAAGCACTTCTCAGCACTTTGGGATGTCCTCTTGATGTGAAAGGCGCTCTATAAATGTAATTTTGTTATTGTTATTGTTCAAATTAAATAAATAATCTGGTTACTCAATCCATGACTGTGTGTGGGACACTGCTGTGTGCAATTGGCTGCCACATTTTGCCCACAAAACACACAATTTACTTTACAGTGTATCCTGTGAAGCGCTTTGAGACGTCTCCAGGATGCGATGACACTATTTCAAATGCAAGATTTATTATTATTATTAAGATTCATCCCAACATTGAACACTGGGGCTCAGTGATGTGGCTTTGACAAGCAGCCTGTGCAACCATCTGTCCCTCTTTTGTGTGAGAGAGAATATTTTGCGCTGGGTTCATGTGGTTGTGAATGTCTAAGTAACCCCCTTCTGAGACAATCCTTGAAAGGATCGTTTTTCCAAAAAAAAGAGGCATTTGAGTGAATTCCATTATTTTCAGTGTTGTGACATTTAAACCCCGAGGGGCTGTGACGCTGTGCTGTGTTGAGAGCTGATAGAGTTGGCAAAGTTACTGCTATATGTGAAGAGGAATGTGGAGGGAAATGGTCAATTCTTATGAGGAGTAAATGAAGTAAACAGAGAAGGTTCTCAGACTGACGTGGAGGGTCAGATGTGCACAGAGAATCGTTTGGATTGCTTGCAGGCTGCTGGAATTGCAGTTAACATATCTTAAGGATGATTTTCAATCACTACCACTGCTGTGGGCAATTGGCTGCCGCATTTCACCCACAAAATACACAGTCAATTCACTTTACAGTGTATTCTGTGAAGCGCTTTGAGATGTCTCCACAATGTGATAAGACGCTGTATTAAATCCAAGGATTATTATTCCTGTATTACTGAGATGGGTCTATTAATACTGTTAGAAATGAAAGACAGTCGTGATGTTAGTTAACATTGGATGAGTAAGTTCACCCTGTTGGTGAAATTTATTCTATGAGTTTCAATTAACAAGGAACCACAGTCCAGGTAGATCAGTTTCCCCTCAGAACTAATAGAGCAGACAACAAAGTCATGATTCCACAAGTGGATGAGACACTGAACAGGAATAAAACACTGTGTGTTAACCCTCTTTTCAGGCTGTCTCACCAGGTCCAGCAACTTATAGGATTTATGGTTAGCGGGCGACTAGACACAAAGGTAAAGGTGCCTCGTCTGGGAATGGAGAACATCTAAGAGTTTCCTGCTGGAGCTTAGAATATTTATGTCCCTGACAGTGATGACTTGTACATTGCAAATCACTGAAAAAACATGTCATCGCTGCACCTCAAGGTCTGGACTAGTTTTTGTGTTCTTTGAATAAACATCTTTCACATTCTTATCTCTTGTCTACCCGGTGTTTCTCAACCGCAAGCTCAGGTGGCTGTTCCCGCTAGATTAGTGGCTGAGATAAAGATTATTTATTGCTCATCACTGGGACTGAATATATACTTACAAATTTTGGTAGAAACAACCTAAGAACATGACCTCTCATTCATCCAATGGTTAGGCAGTGCACATAATAATAGTAATAATCACATTTTCGAGTCATCTCAAAGGGCTTCACAGGATATACTGTAAAGGGGATTGACTGTATATTTGTGGGCGAAACGCGGCAGCCAATTGCACACATCAGCGTCCCACAAACAGTCGTGGGTTGAGTGATCACATTTTTTTAAGGGATTATTACCCCCGGAAAAATGAACTGCCAATCGACTAACAACTGGGTTCCTACTCACTGCTGGTAAACAGAGGCGTGTGGAATATGGAAACTTAGCTAGTTTCATCCTGCCCGGGAATTGAACCCGAGTCCTCTCGCTTGCGAATCGAGTGCTCTAACCATGAAGCTACAGGACTCCTTGATAATTATCCCATCAGGTATCAACCCCTCATTCCGCCCTTCCTCCCCACACACAAACAGTTCCAGAACTTGCAGTCTAATTATCAATGAGATGGTCTCATAAATCTGATTGATTAACAGTAGATTTATACTGGCCAGGAAGGTTATGGTTGGATAAAGATCATGCATTGATCAATGCACATTTTACATATTTAATTTGCCTCAATTTAAGGGTTCCTACAAAGTCTCCCTGGTCAATGACTTGGGTGTCAAGATTCATAGCATTGCTCGATTGGTGGTTTGATTTATGTCAGTGCTATATTCTCCATTTCATTTGATTCCATTAAGATCAAAAGATAATGTCAGCTTTGTTCTCATTGCTCAAGAATGCAAGGTCAGTGTTTTAGTCTGGTTTGTTGGATGATAACATTTTGGGTGTGAGAATTTCATTAATGTTTAAGGTTGACCACAGCCATAAAACAATGTTATTCATTTACAGTTCAAATGACCACAATACTTCTAAATACCTGGAGAACATCATTGGATTCAGATGTCAGTCTGACAAATACCAATATGTTATAGTTATTTCTATGAAATATCCCAAAATAAATCACCCGCCTGTGGCTTTTCTGCCCCCACCCTCTGGAACTCCATCCTGGATTCCCTCTGCCTCACCTCCGTCAAGGCCAGGCTCAAGACTTTCCTCTTTGATTGTGCCTTCAGCCACTATCCCACCTCCCCTATGTTCCACCTGATTTCCAACCTCCAGCTCGGGTGCAAACCCTTAACTGTCCAGTGCCTGAGCTTGTCCTTGTGATGCAAAAGGCTCTGTATAAATGTAATCTTTTGTTATATTTAAATCTTTACTATATTTATTTATTTGCACTGACCTTTAATGCAAAATACTGTACATTGAAGATGTGTCTGTGCAAATCTAACAAAGCCAGGGATCAAACCTCTGTCTAGGTTAAGAGAAATAATACAGGGAAAATATAGGGACTTTCAAAATAATTGGAGCTCACACTGGTCACGGTCTGCCATCGTGTGGACAGCACCAATGTGTGCAAGTTACTGACTCTGCCTGACCTGCTGTATGTTCCCAGCGACTTCTGTTTTTATACAAGTTACTGAAGAGTAGTTACTGTTTGCCAAGGCAAGAGAACAATCTTATATCCTTTGCCGACATCTTAAAATAAAGTGTGCTGTATTTAAACACAGCAGATACTGGTGCAGCAGATCATGGAACGTTACTCAAACATCATTGCATTAGAAACAGCTTAAAGAGCCAAAGGCTGATTCTAGGCAATTAGACAAGAGACTGGCACCTGGTCTTCAATGCAGAAAATGTTAGCTCGATGGAACAACTTGCACTATACAGCGCCCTCCACGCAGGGCAGTGTCTCAGAGCGCTTAACAGTGGCGGAGGCTGACTCCGAGCGGGGAGAAGGGGGAGGTGGCTGTAAGCAGTCAAACAGGAAAGTCTTCAGGCGGGTCTTGAAAGAGGGGGCAAGGCGGAGGGATTGAGGGACTTTTCCAGAATTTTGGGGCATAGTGGCTGAAAGCGCGACAAGATTCCATTTATAGAGCGCCTTTCACGTCGGGAGGATGACCTCCGATGGTGGGGCGGAGAGTGCGAGGGATGAGGAGACCAGTGCCAGTTGAGCGGAGGAGCTGACCGGGTGGTGGATTGGGGAGTGAGGAGGTGCCGGGAGTGCAGGGATTTAAACACGAATATGCAATGTTGAGGGGAGCTCCAACTCCAATTGTTCAGTGTGAACGGTTGTGGTTGACAACATCTCTAGTTTGGACTTTGGATGACAGAACATATACTGTATTGAAAGTAAACACAAGGTTATCTATACTGTACCTGGAGACTTTTACTGCTTTCATTCCCTTTAACATTCCTGTTAATTCCTGGCATTACAGTAAACTACTTCAGCAATTCTAATCAAATGGCACAGGTGATATCTTTCCCCACCACCTCACATTAACATGGGTGCCACTTTCCTCCAGTGAAAAGCTCTTGTATAAAACCATAAAGTACTCAATAGCTCCCAAGTAATTGGCATTACTGCCCAGTTAATGCAGGCATGATGAGAAATCCTAATGTAAACGTCAGATGTGATGAACCTTGTCCTGGGATCATTATAAACTTTGCTCCATAGTAAATCTTGCTCATACACCTGTCACATTAGGTAACACTACCTATTCCAGGTGTCAGAGACATACTAGTCTTAGGGGTGGTTTAAAATGTAAGATTCAGTTGCAGTGTGAGGGGCGCTGTGGAAATGGAAGCTGTTGTTATATTTACTAAAGTAAACTGATCAGTTTTCAATTATTTTTAAGTCTCAACAAAAACAGTTTGTATGTGGAATTAATCTTAGCCAAGACTTCTGGATATAAAATAACTTAATTACTACTCGCAAGCGACATTGCCTGCTCACCAATATTTTAAAATGTTAAAAAAAAATTGTTTGAAGGACACACTCATGGTCAACTAAAAGGAGATCTAATATTGGCCACACTTTCTATTTACTGAGAAGATGCAAAGGGACAAGATGTATTAAACTGCATTAATAAGTTACATCAAAGTTCATTGAATATATGCAGATATATTTTAATACTGAACCAACTTAACAATTTAGCAAAAAACATGAGTGAAATAAGCCAATGTGCAGGCATTAACAAGAGTGCTTAGGTTTAATATTAGATCTAAATACAATTGAATCTTAGCTAACTAATCTTCCGCACAGACGAACACCTCAAACATGGTATGCAGCAGGAAGAAAACATTACAGAACATCGACATAAATAGGGTTTGGGGATTTTCGACTTTAAACTACATTAGCATTTAGACAAAGAAAAGTGCTTTAACACAGCAGCCTGGGCAAATTAAAGTAAATAAATAGGGAAATCTAGGAGGTAGCAGATTAATATAATGTGAATGAGTAATAAGTTGACATAACACTCCATTAACTCATTTTCAAAAAGGTAACGAATACAAACCTTGAAAGAGCAGTTACTGTGCATTTTATTTTTAAACTAAATGGGCTTACTGGAATGTAACTCTTATTACCGTCTCTCCTTGAACCTCTACTGAAATTCCACCAGCTGGATTGTGATGGATGAAATCGTTTTAACAAAATCTTGACGTTCCCCCCAAAAGTAGTGAAGGGCTCTTTATGTTCAGAACCTAAAATATTAACTTGTTTTTAACTTTAGATGCTGAGATCCAGTATTTGCAGTTTTTCTTTCATAACCCGAGAGATCAAGTCAGACGATTATCAACACCAACACACAGAGGTACAGTAGAAACTCAAGAACCTAGTTACACCCATTATGTGACTAAACAGCTATTAGACCAGTTGGATTTATTGTCCAGTAAAGGATCACTTTAGATCTCCTGTTAACTAAGATTTATACCACTGTGTTTTTGCAACAATTAATTGGAGAAATGTGTTCCAATATTCATGTCTGCAAACCAGCCGAGTCCTGATGGTAGAAACAGCACAGGCCGTTCACATCACAACATTACAGGCTAATAGGCAGGTATATTGCTCTCACACGCCAATGACTCAAGCACCTCTGACTGTACAACCGCTAAAGTTGCTGAATGCAATCTGGGAGTTGTACTGGAGACCCCATGACCAGAGTGAACTGAGATCTACCAGCAAAACAGCACAAATACATCCCAAAGGTGGATCTAAGGTAGCATGTTTACTACTAATAATAATCCTTGCATTTGATATAGCGCCTTATCACATCTTTGAGATGTCTCAAAGTGCTTCATGGGATATACTGTAAATTGAATGGACTGTATATTTTGTGGGTGAAACAATAAAAACAATTGCTAAGCCACCCTCCACCAGCAATCACATTAAACACGGCAAACTGTTACTGAAAATATTTTGCTGAGTCTAAATTGCAAGAAACATTTCCTACCTTCATACCCTTGCAAATATACAATATTGTAGTCTTGTGAGGTAAAGAGAGACAAACACATGGCAACAGTACCCTTTGCATTTGAGAAATCAGTTTGTATTAGTCAACCCAAAAATAGCATCACTGAAAATTCTGTTGTAAAAGGACAAAACTGCATTAAAATGTTTAATATTTTCCACTTTCATTATCTAACACACACAAGATCACAATGTGTTCAAGAGAAAAGAAAGGCAACTATACATACAGAGCAAGACAATGGTATTGGTGACATGTCACTTCATTTGTCTGAGTCAAACTGCTTTGTTCAAGTCAAATTGAAATCTACTTGACCATAATGGTCTTAAAAATTGCCCAATTGCAAACTCTTAAAACATAGTGGAACAAGGTTTTGGTTTGCATTAATTATTTCAAACCAATTAGTGAAACAGGCTGTAAATAATGCTATAATTTACACATTTAAGAGCTTGGGATTTGTTTTTATTCAGAGACTTGAGGTAATAAAACCAGAACAACTCCGTCTCCGACCTCTATGGATTTGTCATCATGGAACAATAGACATGATACTTTCAATATTAAATATAAATTCTGCAAGTCGTGTGGACGGACGCCTTAGAGCCCAGTCCACGCGTTTATTGATCCAGACCAAGTTTCTTCTTCAAAGACTCCGGCATCTCGGGGGGAGGAGGGCGAGGAAGCCTGAAGTACACCTTCACTGAATCATAGATAAACCACTGCAGCGCAGTCAGGGTACCGATCATGATAATACGAGCAACCAGGCCCTTCCACACTCCTACACAACCAGAGACAAAGGTCAGTGACAACAACAACACAGGACATTACACAGAGTCTTTCATGTCAGGAGGACGGCCCAAGGCGCTGGACAGTCAGGAATTTGGCCCCGAGCTGGGGTTGGGATCAGGAGGGGTGGAAAGCACGAAGAGTGGGGGTAGGAGGGTGCCAGAAGGTGGGGTCAAAGAGGAGGGTCTTGAGATGTACCTTGAAGGAGGCGAGGGAGGGAGCGAGGCGAAGGGACTGTGGGATGGCGTTCCAGAGGTTGGGGGACATGGAGCAGGCCGGAGCCCGCTGAGCGGAGGGTCGATACGGCAGGTTAACAACATAGTCATTCACCAGAGAAGTAGAGAAACTTGAAAGTAGAGGAACAATTACCTACGAATCCAAGCCTCTGCAGGACTTGGAATGCTGAACTGCCCTTCTCCTTGTTCAGCACAGACACCACAGAGTCAGCGGGATGAGAAACAATAGCACAGAACACACCAGCTGAAAGAGAACTAACTATTAGAAGCAGCCTGGCAACTGACAATGTGGGAGTGCTTTGTCATACACATGTTAAGCACCAAAGTCAACTTGGCAATGTGACTCATTCTGGAGTTTCTCTATGAAAAAGACAAATGTAAAACTCATTGTTACAGAACCCAGAGTCTGAATACACTTTAGAACTGCAGCCTGAGACAGTTGAACAATGAGTCTAATTAATTTAGGAGTTTTAAGTCAAAATGATAACCATTTATGTTAATGCTGAAAATTGCATTCTGCAAGATGGTTAATGGAGGGTGGATTTCAATTTTGGATACAATAATAATAATCCTGGCACTTGATACAGCGCCTTATCACGTCATTGAGACGTGCCAAAGTGCTTCACAGGATATACTGTGAAGTGAATGGACTATATTTTGTGGGTGAAACACGGCAGATAATTGCGCACACAGCGTCCCACAAACAGTCGTGGATTGAGTGACCAGATTATTATTTGGCCACTCAATAGCTTTTTGTGCAGTCCTGTTGCCTAGTGGTTAGAGCACTTGCTGTTATGGACCACATTGTGTACCGTATGCCCGGGTTAGACATGGATGTGTATAAAGCTATATGACGATGAGTGCATTGATTGGAATCCATTGTGAAACTTCTCAAACAACTGTAGATTTATTTGAATAAAAAAAGCTCTTTCTTACCAATGTAACCAGCAACGAACGTCACAACCAGCTGTTCAGATTTGGAGCATTCGTTTCGGGGTTTCGGCATGACATACTTGTATAAGGCTTCAACCGTACGTTCAAAGCAAGCAAACTTCATCATTGTGTATGGGATCTGCCTCATCCACAGAGGAGCAACGCCCTTGTAGAATCTGTTTGAAACAGGTAATTTTCACCAAAAATATTTGAATTCAGTTGCATTAAATTCAGTACCCCACGACCATTTACCACAATATCAGTGAAATAAGTTACCTGTGTGACCTTCAGTTAGTGTCACACCTCGCTCATTGTAATCGCACACTAGAAAATTGATCAAATGATAAGATTATTCCAGTTGATTATAGAGTGCACCTTCATTTCAGGTTAGTAAAATAATCCTAAACATCAGAATATAGTTGAAATGTTACACTCAAAAATAGGATTTGATTTTAAACTTATATCTTTGGAATAAAAACAGTCAAATCCTGACAATAAAAAGGTAACAATAAACGTGTTCACACCAGAACATTAAAGGCTAATAAGTAGACAAGTTATTCTCACACGTGAATGACTCAATACCTTTGACTGTACAACCATCAAGTTGCTGAACACAAATGGTCAGTTGTACTGAAGAACCATCACAAGGGTTGTTAAGATCTTCTAGCAAAACAAATGCATCCCAAAGGGGGATGGAAGGAGCACGCATTAAACACTAATTTCCAAGGGGATTAGCATTTACCATTGCAAACGTTTCAATATCAATAAATATTTTTGCTCACAAAACAGTCAATTCAGTTCAATTCAGTGTATCCTGTTAAGCGCTTTGAGACGTCTCGAAGATGTGATAAGATGCTGCATCGAATGCAAGATTACTATTAATAAATGAGTAAAAACGTTTGGCTGAAAGCAAGGAGAATAAAATTCATATCAACTGAATGTTTCTACATCCTAACGTGTTCCATACTTACGCCCATACTCCCTCCTCGGAATGCATCTTGGGGAAAGCTTCTCTCAGAGTATTGGCGTACCCAGGCTGGGTCTGGATACGCACCTTGCAAGCCTCCATTGGAGAAAGGGCAATATCAGCAAAGAATTCAGCACTGGCAGATGCAGCGAGATATAGAGATGTACGCCAGAGGTAGCTATTCTCCTAAAATAAAGAATGGATTTGTTTTCAGACAGAGTCCTGGGTTTATTAAAGTTTCATCTGAAGGATGACACCTCCAACCTCTATTACTGCAGTTTTCCCACATTCCTCCTGTTAAAACTATGTCAAAATTCATCAGCAATCACCACTCAGGCAACAGCCTGGCAAACTTATTTGTGGCCAACACAGCTAATTAATTAAAAACAGCAACATTGCCTTAAGAGTGATCTTAAACGCCTGCCAATATTCATTCTTCTGCCTCAAAACTTTACATCAATGCCACTGGAACTCTATCTACCTCAATCCTTCCACCCTGCCCTCTCCCTCCCCACCAAATCCCGCCTAAAGAACTTCCTGTTTGATCGTGTTTACAGTCACCTCACCCTCCGTCTCCCCCTGGCTCTGGGTCAGCCTCTGCCACTGTAAAGCACTCCGGGAAGCTACCCCGCTTGAAGAGCGCTGTATAAATGCAAATTGCCATTGTATCACTTTCACAACTGCCTTATAGATCAGTCACATTAGTTTTCCCAATACACGTTGCCTTTGCATTACCATACAAAGCATTCACTCACTAACATTTCTACAATTTGACCCCATAGATCACAATGTCTCTCTCAAAGTGCAACATGAGGACTGCAACAACAAGCAACACCAGAGCAACGGGGCACAAGTCTGTGTCTGAATCCAAAAAACAGGACTCCACCTGAAACTTACAAAAGCTCCCCAAAGGTAATGTCCGCAAACCAGCCGAGTTCTGATGGTAGAAACAGCACAGGCCGTTCACATCACAACATTACAGGCTAATAGGCAGGTATATTACTCTCACACGCCAATGACTCAAGCACCTCTGATTGTACAACCAGAAAAGTTGCTGAACATAATCTGTCACCAGTACTGGCGACCCCATCACCGAAGTGCTCTGAGATCTACCAGCAGAAGTCAACAGACAAGTCCCAAAGGTGGATCTAAGGAGCGTGTATAAAAACTTAAATTTCCACAGGTATTAGTATTTGACACTGCAAGTCTATCAGGACTCTTGGCCTATACTAGGAATACACGATAAAAAAAATTTGGTCAGCCGGGTGCCTGACATATGCCGAAACCCATCAGAGTGCTTAAGAGTATCCAAACCAAGCTGAGATTTCCCCACATTGCACCTACACATAGAAGTCCCAGACAGATTGTTGGAATGGAATGCACACTCTCTCTCTCTCCTGCTTACCTAATTTCAGAGAGTATTCGACACAGGTTGTCAAGAACCCCAGAGTGTGCGTTGGGGTAACTGCTGAAGTCTACCAGCTGAAACCACACAGCTTGCCATTGAGAGCGCTGTCCGGCCAGCTTTCCTGCCGCTTGTACAGCTAGGACCACCCTTTGGCTGCAGGGTTACCTGGAGCGGAGTTTAATTTGAAAACATACCTCACCAAGCAGGTCACCATAGACGTTCTTGAAGACTTCATAGAAACCAAACTTGCACAGGCCCTGCATTGAATAGCCGATGAAGGTCGGAGCCCATCCCTTGGCCAAACCGCGGACACCATCCTCTTTTACTGTGATTGAAAACCCCTTGAAGATGTTCTTGTACTTGTTAGGGTCCACCTGGTTACAACGGAAAAACCATTACATTAAGAGATGGAAAACATTGTCACCAAATTACTTTCTTACAGGATAAGGAGCTGAGCTTTAATACTGGACTTCATAATTGAAAATACTGTCATGTAAATGAATACATTTCTTCAGCCTCCATATTCAACAATTTCATTTTATGTGTAAATATTTCATATTAATGTTCACATCACGAGAATGTCACAAATGTTGGGGGGAAAAGGCTGAACAGGACAAAGTACAGATGCAGGATTTAAAGGACAGCTGAGAGTCAAAACAAGACACTGAGGTTCTGTACTGGCTCAGTGAGGTGTAGTGTGTTCATGAATAGTGATGCTGTCTTTGCCTGAGGTGAGAAGGCGCTGACGGGAGACAAGGAGAGCCTCTGTTGGATTGACATTCAACTGGAGAAAATTAGCTCTCGCACAAGAGTTGATGCCTGACATTTTGTCAAGACGGCAGTGGGCCTGGAGTCGAGCGTGGAGGCAGAGCGATAAGAGTGGGTGTCATCTGTATACATGTGGAAGATACACGCCTGCAGATGACAACGCCCAGTGGGAGCATGTAAATATTAAAGAGAAGACCAAGGACAGAGGGCCGAGGAACGCCACATGTGACGGTGTGGGGGGCTGGTGGAAAAGGAAAGTGAAGTCATGCGCCTCACATTATCCTAGTGACATTACAAAAAATAATAATCCTTGCATTTGATACAGTGCCTTATCACGTCTTTGAGACATCCCAAAGAATTTCATAGGATTTACCTTAAAGTGTTGGGACTATGTATTTTGTGGGTGAAATGCAGGAGCCAATTGCACAAAGTATTGTCTCCCAAACAATCGTGGATTGAGTGACCTAATTATATTTTTTGTGAAGGGATTGTTACCACCGGAAAAGCAATCCACCAATCGACTAACATCCGGGGTCCTACTTACTGCTGATAAACAGAGGCGTGTGTGACGAGTAAGAAAAACTTGCCTAAGACTTCGCCCTGACCTGTTCCACCCTGGAATGAAGCCCAGGTAATATGCAGCTTCTTTGTAAACAAGGTTAGATTGACAAGCCTGTGCTGCATTAGCTGAATGCCACCCAAGCGCTGATTCAAAACTCGGGAACACTCTTCCTCTATCTGTCCATTTTGCCTCCTTTCTTCCCCATAATAATAATAATAATCCTTGCATTTGATATAGCGCTTTTCACGTCGGGAGGACGTCCCAAAGCGCTTCACAGAATATACTGTAAAGTGAATTGACTGTATATTTGTGGGCGAACGCGGCAGTCAATTGCGCACATCTTTAGATTGCGTCTGAAGGCCTTTCTTTTCAACTTTGCCCACAGTCATCTCCTGCCCGGCGTCATTCTCCGCCACTGTCAAGCGCTACGCTGCTTGTGGGGGGGGGGGGGGGGGCTATATAAATGAAAATTATTACGCAATCATTAGGATTGTAACCTATAAAATTGTAATATACCACCTGCTCATGTTCAGCAAAAAGGCAATCTATGCCCAGCATTATCATTTGAATGCCATGATAATGAAAAACAGGAATTCTGGTGCTGTGTCTGTAAAGCTAACTCAACAGTGATTATGCAAAAAAAAAACACACACACGCCAGTTATTTTAATGACTAATCCTAGATATACAGCTCATGTTAAATGAAGTTTAATAGACACAAACCTGCAGGCGACATTTCACCAAATCCAGGGGCACAACAGCAGTGTGTGTAATGCCACAACTTAGGATCCCGCCAAACCCACACAAAGCATAATACTTGAGTGAGCCATATTCACAGCTGATTTCATCTGCAGCACAATAAAGTCACACCATGCGGTTAGTACAGACATGCAGCATGGACATGTCCCAGATCATTTCCACCTGAAAAATTAAATTGTTGTTTCACCATGCTTGCTGAGTGCAGGTCACCATGCTCTCTCCACACTAACTCGGAGCAGAGCCCACAGAACAAACCTGAAGTCTGCATTTAACCAGATCTAATGGCACCACCGCTGTGTGTGTTGTACCACAGCTAAGGATCCCTCCCAGGCCACAGAGGGCAAAGAACTTGGTGGAGCCGTACTCGCAGCTGTACTCTTCCTGGTCCTCTGTGTGTGGGAAAGTCACAGACTCGTGAGATACCAGGCTACAACAGGAAATATTAAAAGCACCGGCCGCAGAGCAAAACCTGAAACCAGGAACCAAAAGAACCAGAGGGGAGACGAGGAATATATATTCTTTAATGCAGCGAGTTGTTATGATCTGGAAGGCACTGCCTGAAAGGAGGTGGAAGCAGATTCAATAATAACTTTCAAGAGAATTGGATTGCTCATAATAATAATAATAATCCTGACATTTGATACAGCGATTTTCACGTCTTCCAGACGTCCCAAAGCGCTTCACAGAATAGACTGCAAAGTATATTTGTGGGCGAACGCGGCAGCCAATGCGCACAGCAGCGTCCCACACACCGCCGTGGGTTTTGAGTGACCAAATTATTATTCTTCTAAACTTATTTTTGCGGACGGAGGAGTCGGACTAATTGGGATAGTGGTTTGAAAGCGGCAGCACAGGGAGGATGGCTGGAACCTGTGCGCCAGACACAGCTTCCGTTCGACGCCATGTCGGGCGGGGGATGGGAGGGAAGGTCACAGAGACAAGGGCGGTCCTCCCCGTCCTTCAACACCGAGGGCAGGTCAGCCCAGCGGGTGGGAAACCGGCCCCCACTCACTGCCCGTTACTGCACACACTCCTGACCGCCGCCGGGATGTGGGGGGGAAACCCCTCCAGACCTCCAGACTGCGGTGGACAGGTTTTTATGAGGATTCCCTGCGGTGGGGCACCGTCTGAACATCAGCGCGAGGCCACTGAGGAGTGTATACAGGAGCGCAGCGTTCCGCACCGAGTCCGGAGCTCTCCCCCTCCCCGCAAAGGCCGGGCGGGGCGGGATGAGAACTTGCCGGTGACAGACCGAGGTCCATCGAGATCACCTTCCGCCATCCCGGGCGGCACTCGGCCCACAGACCCCGGCCCGGGCCCGGTCACACTGGCCAGACTGAGGGGGGGGTGTTTGTCCGGTCCCGGGGATCGGGGGAAACCGGGTAACTGGAGCTGAGGTACAGATCAGCCATAGAATGGCGGCGCGGGCTCGAGGGGCTGAATGGCCTCCGCCTGCCCCTCGGTTCCTATACAAAGGCCATTCCCTTCCCCTCCTCGTGTAAACCGGAGCTGAGGCTACAGCCCATTTGGGGGCTGTCCCGTTGGACTCGGCCTCCCCCCCCCCCCCACCACAGACCCCCCCACCACAGACCCCCCGTCTCTTACCTGAGGCGGCGGCGGCCGCGAGGCGCCTGCGGGGCGCGGACACGGGGCTCTCTATCCGCGCTGCCGAGCCCAGGCCGGGGCCTGGCGCTGCCGCCTCGCTCCCCGCAGCCCCGGTGTCTGGCACCAGCTGGAAGCGGGGGGCGTGGAAGGGGTTGGCGCGGGCCAGATGCAGCACAGAGGAGAACATGGCGAGAAGGTGAGAGGGAGGAGAGGGAGAGCAGCGCGCGGGGCCGGGGGGGAAAATGGCGGCCGAGCAACGGCTCCGCTAATTAATTCGTCCTTCGTGACACGTCACCACACAGGCGCCCGCTGATTGGCCCACTTCTATTACGTCACTCGAAGAGGCGGGGTCTTGTGGCCATGTATGGGGGAGGGGGGAGGATGTTGCGCGCGCAGAACCCCTGCATTGTCCATTGGAGCTGCACTGGCTCCGAGGTCACATGGCACTCAGCAGGTCAGGCAGCATCTATGGAGAGAGGAAAGTGAGTCCACGTTTCGGGGGCCACGATCCTAAATAATCCATAATCATTCATAATAATTAAAAATAATCCATAATAATAATAATCCTTGCATTTGATATAGCGCTTTTCACGTCGGGAGGACGTCCCAAAGCGCTTCACAGAACACACTGTAAAGTGAATTGACTGTATATTTGTGGGCGAACGCGGCAGCCAATTGCGCACAGTAATGTCCCGCAAACAGTCGGGGATTGAAAATGACCAATTTATTTCTGGTTTTGGAGGGATTATTATTTGTTTTGTGGGGGGCGGGGGGGTCTCCCAAGGTGACGTGTTTGGCAACGGAAGCTCGGCGGGTCTCTCGTCCCTGGCGGAGTGCGGGTGTGATTAGGAAAGCTCCTGGTGATGCAAATGTCGCAAGTAGCTTTTACAGAAATAAGCAAGGATTATTATATTATTATATACGCAATTCGGCAATATAAATGCTCCAGAGATTGATAAATCTACCACATACTTTTGTACGATTTATTAACTGGTTAGACATACTAAGTTTAGTGCAAGCTAGATTATAAAATAAATCTCTCCACCCGCCTGCTAGCCTTGTGTGTAAAAACAGTGTCTTGCAGTACAGAATTCCAGAATCTTGGCCCAGACACTTCAATTTTAGGTAATAATAATCCTTGCATTCTTCAACCGTGCCTTCACCTCCCCTCTTGACTCTCTACCCCCTCCATTTCCCCACTGCTCGGGTCCAGACCCAACTGTCCAGCGCCTTGGGATGTCCTCCCGACATGAAAGGCGCTCTATAAATGCAATCTTGTTGTTGTTATAGTTCACTTCATCAGGACGTCTCAAAACACTTCACAGAATATACTGTAAATATAATGAATCGATTGTATATTTTGTGGGTGAAACATGGCAGCCAATTTTTTTATTATTTATTTATTGAAGGGATTATTCCCCCCATAAAGTGATTCACCAATCGACTAACAACAAGATTCCTACTTACTGCTAGATAAACAGAGGCTTGTGGAGTAAGGAAACTTGCCCAATGTTTCGCCCTGATTAGGAATCAAACCCTGGTTCTCTCACTCGCAGAACGGGTGCTCTAACCACTGAGCTATATGATTCCATTTAGTTGAAAACCAAGATCTATACTTGGCCTAAGCAGCCTAGCGGGTTACTATGGGCATGTAAATAATGTAAATAAAGTGGTGAACAGCATATGTACAAACTCCACATGTAGTCATTACTGGAAATTTTATTTCAAATATGGACACTTAGTATTGCTAATAAATAAGTTTCCTAAAGAGACATGATTTTCTAATCAATTAAAATACACAAGTCTAGACGATTACTATAGACATTTGTATATGGCTATGTGATCTAACACAGTGAGCTATAAAAACATCACAGTAACGGTTAGCAATGAGAAGTGGAGAATATTTGATACCAGCAGAAATGATTATTGTATGTGTCAAGGCTCAAGATGTAATTTTTAGCTCCAGCTAATAGCAATTCCTCAGGAACAAATGTTCTCTCAAACATAATTTGTCGTGGATACTGTAACCAGTAAATGAGAAATTTTTAATCTAATCTTTACCCGACAGGTCCAATACAGGTTAAAGCAATCTTATTACCCAAATCAGTGTTACTTGTAGAACACCTTTCCTTTACCCCACCCTTATGTAAACAATAGCCTAACCTTCCTCAAAAACATATAAAAAGTTTCAAAAAAAAATGGTAATTTCACATACACGTTAATCCCAAAGGAAATAATATTTAAAACCGTTGCAAGCACACAGAGCTTCACATTGTACCTTTACTGCATTCATTACACAAACTGTACCACCGATCAATTGCTTGGTCAAGAAAATCTAACTTTAGAAAAATAGTTTACAAAAAAGGAGGCAGCAACTTTTAAACGAGTTACTTTGTATGGCACGCAGACTTAATAAAGTCGGTTCTTAAATCAGAAGTCAGATTCATCTCAGATGTCCACTTTGTTTTATCATAAGATTTTGTTTGACACGATTTTTCACTCCAAGTCTATTGATGACAAAGCAGAGTTGCTCGTCCTGCTCAGTATTTCAGAATGCACTAAACAATGGTTAAGCTTGCCACACTGGTACTCAACGTGCTGCCTGACTCACTCACTCACTCCCAGTGGGCAATCCAGGGGAGCCTGAATTAAGAGCAAAGGGATTGCCCTTGTTGGTTTCCATAGCTTGATAAACCATAAACAAGAAGAAAGCCACAAGGATAAGGAGCACAATCTGGATCCAGATGGGCACAGAGCGCTTGCTTTTACTCTTCTCTGGTTTAGCTTGAGTTACTTTTGGCTGGACTTTTGGAAAATAATTTGCTTGAACTCTTGCACTCCTCAGAGGTGTATCCTTGTAAGTGAATTCTATCGGTCTCCCGGCAGCCCCTCGGATTGGTTTACGGCAAGTGGCACTGTGGAGAGTGAGGTGATCGAAGTGTTAGTTAATCAAAATTTTTTAATGAAATTTAAGATACAATAGACAATTATAAACAGTCAATTCTTAGCTATAATAATAATAATTGCCTTTGATATCGCGCCTTATCGCATCTTCGAGACGTCTCAAAGCGCTTCACAGAATATACTATAAAGTGTAGTGTCTGTGTATTTTGAGGGTAAAGTTACATCTATCCGGTGGGGTGGGCCTAGGAAATGAATGAGTGCAGCTAAATTTTGCACGGTAACTTTTTAGTCCAGATGTCAGCCACGTAAACTGGCTATACTTGTGCAGGGTAAGGCTCATGTTCCAGAGCAAATCTAAAAGGAGTAGAAATGTGAAACCACACTCTACAGCTCTCGTTACATTGGCCTTGCCACCAAACTATACTCGTCCCCAGCTAGCCAGACTAATGGGGGGGGGGGCAGTCAATTCACTTTCACAGTGAATTTCTGTTAAACGTTTTGAGACGTATCAAAAACATGGTAATGCGCTATATCAAATCAAATACAGGGGTTACTATTATAAAAAACTGATGAAAATGTCACAGAAATCGCGTCTGACAATTTTGTCCGTCCTACCTGATTCCTGTAGGAGTCGGTGCTTCAGTGGGACACAAATCTTGAAGCAAATTCTCCTTCACCGCGGCTTTTTCTACCACCTAAAAAAAAACAAAATTATTATAAACCTTTTACTGTGGTTGCATGGAGAAACTTTAAAATAAAAACAGTAAAACAAACCAAAACATTGCGACAATCCAGTGAAATACAGGAAGCAATAACTTCCCTGGTCTCTGGTCGAGATCACGTGATCAGCTGTTTTCCATTGCATGGATCGCTTGTCAGGTCTAGTAGAGTAGTTCACAATCTTCTCTGGGGTGGGTTTATCCTGTGTAAAATGTGTACAAGTAAAAACCTCACACAAGTCATATCAGTTGGGACCATACGTTTAATAAGACTTATGCAAAGTATGAGTTATATCAAACATGCATAAGTCATATCAAATATCATATATGACTCATGTAAAGTTATGTGGATTTTATACACATAACAATGATATAATATTCCTAATAATAATCCTTGCATTTGATACAGCGCCTTATCAAGCCGTTGAGACATCTCAAAGCACTTCACAGAATTTATTGTAAAGTGATTTAACTGTGTAATTTGTGGACGAAACACAGCAGCCAATTGCACACAGCAGTGTCCCGCAAACGGTCGTGGATTTTTTTTATATAAGGGATTATTACCGCGGAAAAGCGATCCGCTAATTGACTAACAACCAGGTTCCTACTTACTGCTAGGTAAACAGGCGTCTGGAGTAAGGAAACTTGGCTAAGATTTCGCCCTCTCCGGGAATCAAACCCAGGTCCTCTCGTTTGCGAGGCGAGTGCTCTAACTAGTACGTTTCAGGACTCCACAAATGATCGTTAGCCTCATCAAATTAATTCTAAATCTGATTTCCTGGACTTTTCCCAGGAAAAAGTCCTGGTGTATGGTGCAAGGAGTTTCAGTTATGTGAAACGTACAAGGGCGTTTACTTGTCCTGACACAAAATAAATAATTGGTTTACATATTTACTGTACTAATCACTGGTAAAACCACTTCCCACTCAATCATTCCCTGTGCTGGCTTGCTTCATCTTCCCCCACCCTCACTGTCAACGTCAATTGCTGTGCTGTCAGACACTTTGCCTCTTGCTCTCTGGAGCTCTGTTTCTAAATTGTTCTGCCTCAAACCCTCTCTGGGTTTAAAACCCATTTAATTGCACAAGACTCCAGGACTAACATGCACTGTTTAGGAGGTGGGATTAAGTAGTTGGACATTTGTACCCTAACCCTAATCTTAAAAAAAGCAGCAGAGTTTGGAAATCTGGTTTTCAAACATTTCCCTTCACATAAGCAATCCAAAGTTGAATGCCATGTGTCAGAACACCTTACTGCAGTGTTTTGTGGATAGTATTCAGTATTGTACTGAATACTATCCACAAAACACTGCAGTACTAGGTGGCGCCAATAGCTCCCAATGTGAGAGGGCTGTGGGCAGACCAGGTTTACACTAGCACAGAGGGCTGAGAAACAGGAAGTCTGAGGCCCTCATCCAACAGAGCTCTGTCCTCTGAAACACTCTCCTTCTATCCCGCCTTGACCCCTCCTTCCACATCTCAGGTTGCGCCTCAAGACCTTCCTCTTTGACAGTGCCTACGTTCACCTCCCCCTTCCCACCGACTCAGTGTCGTGCTCCGCCACTGTCAAGCGCTCTGGGACGCTGCCTTGTGTGAGGGATGCTGTGTAAATGCAAGTTGTTGTTCCACCCTCTGATGTTCAATTGTTCAACTGTCTGATTCCACATCACCCATCATCTAAACTGAAATAAAGCTGCCGCATAAATATTAATCATGAATTTAGGAAGCTCTCCATAGAGAAGTGTCTCCAGCCCTTAAAGTGTTCTAGCGAAGCAACAGAATAGTCTTATTTCTATGACAAGTTGATAAAGTTCACAGGATACAGCAGGAGGTCTCTGCGATCCAAGACTCTATCTTATAGGGCCAGTTATCCAATTAATCTTACATTGTGAGTACTTCCTAGAATGAGATTAGTTACCCGTTAAGTGGAGTGACAAGTAAAGTGGAGTCAGTTATCACATTTTACATGGGAAACAGCTGGAATATTGACAGCAAATGACTTAAGCACACGTTAAACCACGGTCAAGTTACCAGGTGTTCACTGTATTTCCAAAGGCTGTTGGAACCTAATAACACATTAAATTTACACAGCGCCTTTCACGTCGGGAGGACGCCCCAAGACGCTGAATAGTCAAGGACTTGGACCTGAGCTGGGGGTTGGGATCAGGAGGGTGAGGGCAGAGGTAGAAAAGTAACTGAATGTCAGGAAGTGGTTATCAGGTAGAGTGGTTGAGGCCGGGACACTCGGACTCATTTTAAAAAAAAACTTGATGTGTTTGTGGGTCGTGCACTCTGGAAGGATGAGATCAGATGGGCTGAAGGGGTTTCTTCATCCGAACTAAAATCTGGCATTCTGATTGTGGAATAAATGATTTCAATGGCTTACCTGATTGTACTCTGTTTTTCTTTGCCTGGTGACATGGGTCTTTGTGTTGCTTATAATCTCACTTACAAATACTTCCTTCTGCACAGTCTGGATGTCTAAAAGAGTGGGGGGGGTAAAAAGCTATGAGTGTACCACATTACTCGCCAACTTTATTGTAATTACACCTTTGGAGCCTGCAGCGTAGTGGTTAGAGCACTTGCCTCGCAAGAGAGAGGACCTGGATTGATTCCTAGGCAGGGCAAAACGTTGGGCAAGTTTCCTTACTCCGCACACCTCTGTTTACCAGCAGTAAGTAGGAACCTACTTGTTAATCAATTGGCAGATCGCTTTCCGGGCATAATAAGCCCTTCAAAAAAATAATAATAATGTGGTCACTCAATCCATGACTGTTTATGGGACACTGCTCTGTGCAATTGGTTGCAGTGTTTCGCCCACAAAATATACAGTCGATTCACTTCACAGTATATCCTGTGAAGCGCTTTGAGACATCCCAAAGACATGGAATTAACACAATGGATGCGTTGCTTCCACTTGTGTTATTGCTCTTGTCTGATTAGGACTCTACTTCCTGAAGCATTCTTGTGCTCAAATTGGTGCACAGGCATACAATACAGTTCTAAAACACCTTTGTTGCCGCATTTGAAAAGCTTTTTTTTTTAAAAAAAGGAAAACCTAACCTAGGTTTATTCACCTTCTTCCGTGTCGCTATACTGATCAGAATCCGTGCTGCCATTCGGCTGGATTTCCTCAGCAACTGAGTCCTGGTTCAACAGCTTCAGCAGCTTCTTCTCATACACCTTCCTTGTGGTGGCTGCAAAACATCAAGAGGGGAAAGTAGAATAAATGAGTGACCTTGTTTATGTTGGCACAGCACTGAGTATGTAGTGCTGATCTCTGCACTTACATAGTTTCACCTTAAAAATAAATTTGGGCATTCACTTCATGGCTGTTTGTGGGACATTACTATGAACAAATTCACTGTTCCGTTCGCCATTGTCAAGCCCTCTGGGACACTACTCAAATGAAGAGCGCTATATAAAGGCAAGCTGTTGTTGTTGCTGTACAGATGACGTGCTGTGAGACATATTCCCAACATGAAAGGCCCAAGGTTTATTATTTTAAATGGTAAAAACAGGATCCTGTTCACTTGATGGCTCAGCACGTTTATCCGGTGAAGAGCTGAGCAATGCACACCAGGAAGATGCAGAGTTCAATTGCTCCATCTTTTGCTGAGTTAGCTGATCTCAGCAGGGGCAGAGATCAATTTAAGTTAAATATTATACAGTATATTAGGCAATGTAGTCATATGTTTAGGCATTTATACCCCCCCTTTGAAGTTACTTTGCTGGGCAAAATGACTGGGTGCCTCCAAAAATAATCAGTAATTTGAAGATTTTTTTGAGGTGCTTACTTTAATAATCATTGCATTTGATATTGCGCCTTCTCATGTTTCAAGATGTCTCAAAGCGCTTCACAGAATATACTGTAAAGTGAATTAACTGTATATTTTGTGCAGGAAACGTGGCAGCCAATTGTGCACAGCAGCGTCTCACAAACAGTTGTGGACTGAGTGACCCATTTTTTAAAATTACCCCCCGAAAAGTGATCCGCAAATTGATTAACAACCGGGTTCCTACTTACTGATAAGTAAACAGAGGTGTGTGGAGTAAGGAAGAAACTTGCTCAACATTTTGCCCTATCCCGGGAATCGAACTCGGGTCCTCCCGCTTGCTCTCGCCACTATGCTTGACATGATAAGGTGTTATAAAAAGACAAGATTGCTTCTTTCAATCTAAAAATCCCCCCTCTTTACAACATACACAACCATGGATTTTGTATCTTATACTCAACAACAACAACAAGATTCCATTTATAAAGCGCCTTTCACGTCAGGAGGACGTCCCAAGGCGCTGCACAGTTGGGTCAGGACCCGAGCAGGGGGGAAATGGTCAGGGTGAGGGGAGGGAAGGGAGGGAGCGAGGAGGGGGGAAATGGTCAGGGTGAGGGGAGGGAAGGGAGGGAGCGAGGAGGGGGGAAGAGAGTCGAGAGCGGAGCTGAAGGCTCGGTCAAAGAGAAAGGTTTTGAGACCGGCCTTGAAGGAGGAAAGGGAGGAAGCGGCGAAGGCACTGGGGGATGGAGTTCCAGAGCCTCGGGGCTGAGAGGCTGAAGGCCCGACCACCGATGGTAGGGCGGTTGGGGCGGGGGACGTGGAGCAGACCGGAGCCAGAGGAACGGAGGGTACGGGCAGGTAGGTAGGGGGATAGTAGGTTGGAGAGGTAGGAGGGAGCAAGGCCGTGAATGGCCTTGTAGGTGAGGATGAGGATCTTGAAATCAATCCTCTGGGGGATGGGGAGCCAGTGGAGGCGAGCGAGGGTGGGAGTGATGTGGTCCTGAAGCCTGGTGCGGGACAGTACACGAGCTGCAGAGTTCTGAATGACCTGCAGCTTGTGGAGGGAGGGGCGGGAAGGCCGGCGAGGAGAGAGTTCCCATAGTCCAGCCTTGAGGTGACAAAGGCGTGGACCAGGGTTTCAGCAGCGTGAGGGGTGAGGTAGTGCCGTAGTCTGGCGATGTTCCGGAGGTGATGGAAGGCGGTGCCAGTTGTGGTGCGGATGTGAGGGAGAAAGGACAGCTCAGGGTCGAACAAAACGCCGAGGTTCCTGACTGGCTTTGAGAGGTGGAGAGTGCAGCCTTGGATGCTGATGGTGTCAGCGCCTGAGGTGCGGAGGCGCTGACGTGAGCCAATCAGGAGGGCCTCGGTTTTTCGCACGTTGAGCTGAAGAAAGTTGTCTCTCGTCCAGGACTCGATGTCGGACAGGCAGCTGTCAGGACATCGGTGGTCGTGGAGTTGAGAGTAGAGGAGGAAAGGTAGAGTTGGGTGTCATCCGCATACATGTGGAAGTTAACTCCATGTCTGCGGATGATGTCACCGAGGGGGAGCATATAGAGGGTGAAGAGGAGGGGACCGAGGACAGAGCCCTGAGGGACACCACATGAGACAGTACGGGGGGTGGAGGAGAAGCCATTCGTTGAGACAAAGTGAAGACGGTGAGAAAGGTACGACCTAAACCATTCAAGGACAGTGCCTTGAAGGTTGAGGTGGGAGGACAAGCGGTGGAGTAGGATAGCGTGGTCGACCGTATCGAATGCTGCCGATAGGTCGAGGAGGACGAGGAGACAGAGGGAGCCCTGGTCACAGATGGTCAGGATATCATTGGTGACCTTGACCAGGGCAGTTTCTGTGCTATGGGCAGCACGGAAACCTGACTGAAGGGGTTCGAAAAGTGAATGGGTGGAAAGGAAAGAGCGCAGTTGGGAGGCGACAACTCTTTCCAGGACCTTGGAGAGAAAGGGGAGGTTGGAGATGGGCCGGTAGCTTGATAGCTGCGACGCATCAAGGGAGGGTTTTTTCAGGGTGGGCGTGATGGTGGCAGTTTTTAAGAGAATGGGGACAGAGCCAGAGGAGAGGGACAGGTTGACGATGTACTCACCAACAATAGGACCAGGAGAATATCCAAACTTTACAAGCTCTTCTTTCAGATCCTCGTCAGTCAGCTCGGTCACATCCACATAATCATCCACTTTGGTTTTGTCTGTCTTCTTCGTGGCTTTCTGTATAAGAGAGGTAGCATTACAATGTTGAGAAATTACACCAATGAAAGTTTTCATATTTATTTTCTACGGTAATGTGCAGTAGTATTATAAAATGGAACTGGATCTCTCAGTCATATAAGTTTATCCAAAGGTAGNAAAAAAACATACATTTCAGCTCTTCCAGGCCAATTCTTGGCCTGAGGAGATCTTTACAATGATGTTTTCAGTTTGGAACAATTAAATAGCTAATTATGTTAACGATTAGCATTTTGCCCACAATATACAATCACTACATTTTACAGTATATTCTGTGAAGCGCTTTGAGACATCTCAACAATGTGATAAGGCAGTGTATCAAATGCCAGGATTACAACAACAAATTACATTTATAGAGCGTCTTTCACGTCGGGAGGACGTCCCAAAGCGCTGAACAGTCAGGTGTCAGGGTCTGAGCATGGGGGAGGGGTGGTGTAGGGGGAGGGAAGGCAGAGAGGTGGGAGGGCGAAGAGAAGGGTCTTGAGACCGGCCTTGAAGGAGGCGAGGGAGGAAGCGAGGCGAAGGGACCGTGGGATGGAGTTCCAGAATGTGGGGGCAGAGAGGCTGAAAGCCCGGCCACCGATGGTCGGGCGGGTCAGACGGGAGACATGGAGCAGACCAGAGCCCAATGAATGGAGGAAGCGGGCAGGTTGGTAGGGAGTCAGCAGGTCAGAGAGATAGGAGGGGGCAAGGCCATGGATGGCCTTAAAGGTGAGGACGAGAATCTTGAACTCGATCCTCTGGGGGTGGGGAGCCAGTGGAATCGGGCGAGGGTGGGAGTGATGGGGTCACGGAGCCTGGTGCACGAGCTGCAGAGTTTGGGATGATCTGCAGCTTGTGATGGGAAGGCCGATGAGGAGGGAGTTCCCGTAGTCGAGCCTTGAGGTGACAAATGCGTGGGTGAGGGTTTCGGCAGCCAGAGAGGTGAGGCAGTGACGGAGTCTGGCAATGTTGCAGAGGTGGTGGTAGGCAGTGCCGGTCATGGTGCAGATGTGGGGGAGAAAGGACAGTTCAGGGTCAAACCAGACCCCCAGGTTCCTGACTGGCTCAGTGAGGTGGAGTGTGCAGCCGTGGAGGCTGATGCTGCCAGTGCCTGAGGTGCGGAGGTGCTGGCGTGAGCCAATCAGGAGGGCCTCGGTCTTGCTTGACGTTCAGTTGGAGAAAGTTGTCCCTCGTCCAGGACTTGATGTCGGACAGACAGTCGGTCAGGACCCCAGTAGTCCTGGAGTTCAGGGTGGAGGCAGAGAGGTAGAATTGGATGTCACCCGCATACATGTGGAAATCTACCCCATGTCTGTGGATGACGTCACCAAGGGGGAGCACGTAGAGGGTGAAGAGGAGGGGACCGAGGACAGAGCCCTGAGGGACACTGCACGAGACGGTGTGGGGGCTGGAGGAGAAGCCATTTGCAGAGACAAAGTGGAGGCGGTGTGAAAGGTAGGACATGAACCAGTCAAGGACAGAACCTTGAAGGTTGAGGTGGGAAGAGAGGCGGTGGAGGAGGATTGAGTGGTCCACAGTGTCAAAGGAGGCGGAGAAGTCGAGGAGGACGAGGAGGCAGAGGGAGCCCTGGTCACAGATGGTCAGGATGTCGTTTGCGATCTTGACCAGAGCTGTGGGCAGCACGGAATAAAAATATTAATCCTTGCATTTGATATAGCGCTTTTCATGTCGGGAGAATGTCCCAAAGCGCTTCACAGAACACACTGTAAAGTGAATCGACTGTATATATTTGTGGGCGAACGCGGCAGCCAATTGCGCACAGCAATGTCCCACAAACAGTCGTAGATTGAAAATGAACAATTTATTATTTTTTTTGGTTTTGGAGGGATTATTATTATTAGGCCTTCCCTTTGGAGGGATTCATGGAGGGAGTGAGAGGAGAGGAAAGAGCGAAGCTGGGAGGCAACGGTTCTCTCAAGGACCTTGGATAGGAAGGGGAGATTTGAGATGGGTCGGTAGCTGGACAGCTGTGATGGGTCGAGGGAAGGTTTTTTCAAGGTGGGGGTGATAGTGGCTGTTTTGAGGGGGGAAGGAACAGTGCCCGATGACAGGGAGAGGTTAATGATGTCGGTGAGTAGTGGGGCAAGGAGTTGGAGCTGGGATTTAAGGAGAAAGGTGGAGATGGGGTCGAGGGAGCAGGTGGTGGACTTCATGGTGGTTACCGTGCTGAAGACAGAGGAGGGGGTGACAGTTCAAAGGTGTGGAAGGAGCGATGGGTAATTGTCTGGGGTGGGGGTAGGGAGGGGTTGGAAGTTGGGAGGGCAGTGGCAGCAGAGCGGTTTCCCGCGATTTTGGACTCGAGGAAGTCCAGCATTTTCTCGCAGTGAGAGTAAGAGAAGTCAGATTATTGTTATTATTAAAAGTATATCTCTTTAGAGTTTGTGTTTTTAAAGCCAACTTTCAGGGCAAAAGAGCTTTTTTTCCTTAATGTACCTTTGTCTCTCCTTCATAACAACTGTCCCCTTATACATCCTTGGGGGATGCAGGAAGGAAGACGGGCTGGTTGAAGCTACTAGGACTGATTTATTAAAACATCTTAATGCTATAAGATGTTGGTATTCTGAAAGAATGAAATCAAATGGTCAACTCCAGAACACAGTTACTACACTTCACAATAAAAGGTTTTGAGATTTCACCTGATGTGAAAGCTGCTATATTAAATTTAAATATTATAGTAAGTGGGCTAAACGGCTATCTGCAGCTGATCTGTTCTCGTGAATATAGCTGCACAAACTCCTTACATGCAAAAGGTTTTCTAAAGCAAATACAATGAAATAGAAGCTTAAACTCTTCTATGTGAATTCCCTGTACGATTTCGGCACTTCTCGTCCCAGCAACACCAAAGGCCTAACTAAGACTTTAAAACATTATCAGCATTTTAAGGTAAGTTTAAAAAAAAATGTTTTAGAGTGATTCAATGCAAAATAAATAAATTAAATATCATCAATCACACAAACCAAATGAAACATATCTTAGGAGAAGAAAGTAGGGGAAATGCTGGAACACGAGGTCACAATTTCTGTTCCCTATTCTGCAATCTCTCATCATCCAATTCTCAAAAACAGTTTCTTCCATAAATGGTGCAGGAGTCATGTGAAAATGAAAATTCCACCAGTTAACAGTTTGGCATTAGTACTAACTATTCCTGGTACAAGTAACATTCCTGTGTGCTCTGACCAGCTGCAAACAGAGCAACAGGAATCAAATAGCTTTAAAAAAATTCAAAAAGTTTGTTCTTAAGTTTCCTAAAATATCTGGAATACTTCACTGTTTTAAAACTATTTTGAAAGCTTGGATCAGTCCCAGGCGCCTATTGCAGAACTTTATATTTAGCACTACAAAACTGTCAAGCGCATATCATATTATAGCACCACCTACACTAAAAAATGTTCAATTGTATAAATTGGTTTCAATTCAAGGTTCAACCTTTTACTGGATTGGGTCCTAGACATGAACATATTAATAATCTTTGCATTTGATATAGCGCCTTATCACGTTGAGATATCTCAAAGCACTTCACAGGATACACTGTAAAGTGAATTGACTGTATATTCTGTGGGTCAAACCCGACATAATAATAATAAAAATCAGCCAATTACGCACAGCAGTGTCCCACAAACAGTCATGGATTGAGTGACCAAATTATTATTATTAATTTTTGGCTTAATACCCCCGGAAACACGATCCGCCAATCGACTAATAACTTACTGTTAGGTAAACAGAGGCATGTGGAGGCTCAAATGAACAAATAAATGTACAAGTGCCTTATAGATTGCTTTGCAGGACTAGGTTTAACAAATACTCCCCAAAATATAGTTTGAATGCAAAAATTGCATTTTTTGCATGAACAAATGAGTTCACGCTAACTAACTGATCTCTATTTAATTGGCTCTCTAATCACTACTGAGTATAATACTGGATTTATGCAGATTTTCACAGCAGAGTTTACATTTAAATTAATCCAAACGCTGCCCACAGTAAACTCAAACTGTGCCAGTGGTGCCTTTACAAACGCAGGCTATACCTGTTCTACACCAGTCTAATCTGACCATAACATTTCCGCGACATTAACAGATCTGATCACTGAATGAATCATAAAAATGCCCGATTTTTATAAAAATGTTTGGGGGGGGGGGGGGAGGGGGAATGTTACTAAGAGATGTCTCAAAGCGCTTCACAGAATATACTATAAAGTGAATGGACTTTAAATTAATTTAGGATAATCATTATTGGAACGTTTTTATTATATTAATCTTATAATAGTAATAATATACAAAGTGGCCAAAAAGTCGTGGCACTGTTACAATGACTAATCAAGTCTCAGATAAATGGTGATAATTATTAGTAAATTATTAGTAAAATAAATAGGATCACGACTTTTTGGAAAATAATTTATTTTTTAATAATCATATTGTTTCAGATTTCCAGCATCTGCAGTATTTTCCCTTTTTAAAATATATTTTATATTTTATATATGTATATAATCTTACAATGTCCCGAGTGATGGGTGTGTGTGTGTGTCTAAGGTGTCGCCTGGATTCGAACCGCCCGGGATTCGACCCCAGCACCTCCGGTTTGCGAGGCGAGCGCTCTAACCCCTACACTACGGGATGGCAGAGGCCGCCGGCGGTCGCGGGGATGGGATTTAAGCGGGAAAAAGCCGCTGCGAGTGTGGCGGCGCTTTCTTTTCCTGCTCACCCTGGCCCCCGGGCCGCTCCTGGCCCGCGCCGCCGCCGCCGCGCCCTCCTCCTCCTCATCATCGTCGCTGGAGAACTCGAGGCTGCGGCCCTGGTTGCGGGCCGTGAGGTGCTGCAGGTACAGCTGCACATACACGTCCTTCCTGTGCTCGCCGTGCGGCAGCGACACGCTGTGGGCCAGCAGCTCGCTCTTCAGCCGCTCCTTGGTCAGCACCGAGGGGTCCTCCAGGTAGTCGGGCATCTCCGCTCACCTTCCTCTTCTCTCTCTTCCTCCTCCTCCTCCTCCTCACGGCTTCCCGCTCAAACCAACCGCCGCCCGAGGCTCGCGCTGTGAGGGGGAGCGGAGCTGCTCGCGCCTCCCACACACCCACCGCTCAGCAACACCGCACCCCATTGGCCACCGCGCTCTGCGCTGCTCCCATTGGTCTGTTCATAACAGGGCGGAGCGGCACCGCCCCCTGGCGGCGGCTCCAGGCAGATACACCCCTCCCTGGTCACCCCCTGCCAACAGCACCCACACACACACCCACACAGTCACCCACACACACACCCACCACACACCCCACAGTCACCACACACACCCACACACACAGTCACCCACACACACAGTCACCCACACACACACCCACACACACAGTCACCCACACACACACCCACACAGTCACACACACACACACCCACACACACAGTCACCCACACACACACACCCACACACACACCCACACAGTCACCCCCACACACACCCACACACACAGTCACCCACACAGTCACCCACACACACACCCACAGTCACACACACACACCCACACAGTCACCCACACACACACACACCCAGACACACACCCACACACACAGTCACCCACACACACACCCACACACACCCACACAGTCACCCACACAGTCACCCACACACACACCCACACACACCCACACAGTCACCCACACACACACCACACAGTCACCACACACACCCACCACACACACAGTCACCACACACACCACACACAGTCACCCACACACACACCCACACACACAGTCACCCACACACACACCCACACAGTCACCCACACAGTCACCACACACACCCACCACACACCACACAGTCACCCACACACACACCCACACAGTCACCCACACACACACACCCACACAGTCACACACACACACCCACACCCACACAGTCACCCACACACACACCCACACAGTCACACACACACACACCCACACAGTCACCCACACACCACACCCACACAGTCACCCACACACACACCCACACAGTCACACACACACACACCCACACAGTCACACACACCCACACAGTCACCCACACACACACCCACACAGTCACCCACACACACACCCACACAGTCACACACACACACACACCCACACAGTCACCCACACACACACCCACACAGTCACCCCCACACCCAGTGCTGTAACCACTGAGCTATGAGTCCAGAGATGGACGGCCGATGTGTATCTGACCACATGTGGACCTCCCGGTGTGTAAATCACCACCACACGGACACTCGGGTGTCCCCAAAGCTGTGACTCTTTGCCACTTTCGCTCATACAACACACAGTTGTTTGCCCTCTAACAGACCAATTAGCTCCGGAGGAATCATTTTTCACGGTGATCCTAATTACACTTTGGCAGTGATGGAGGACAGCTGTGCGCTCGCCATCCACTGGGTCTGATATTCAGCCACAGCGGAAACTACCTCCTGCTTCAAAGAGATTAAGTGGAGATTTATTTTGTTTTTATACTAAGCCTCGCCGGAGCAGAAGTGGCTGGTGTTCAGAATGATTTGGCCTATAAAATAATCCTCTAAAGAATTAAAGCCCATTTATCCCCTTTCTGTGTCAGGATGAACCTCGGCTTTCCTCGCCGGGCTGGCGAGGGTGGGGGTGACGGGGACACGGGGCCGGGCTGGCGAGGGTGGGTGGGGGTGACGGGGACACTGGGCCGGGCTGGCGAGGGTGGGGTGACGGGGTCACCGGGCCGGGCTGGCGAGGGTGGGGGTGACGGGGACACGGGGCCGGGCTGGCGAGGGTGGGTGGGGGTGACGGGGACACGGAGCCGGGCTGGCGAGGGTGGGGGTGACGGGGTCACCGGGCCGGGCTGGCGAGGGTGGGGGTGACGGGGTCACCGGGCCGGGCTGGCGAGGGTGGGGGTGACGGGACACGGGGCGGGCTGGCGAGGGTGGGGGTGACGGGGACACTGGGCCGGGCTGGTGAGGGTGGGGGTGACGGGGACACGGGGCCGGGCTGGCGAGGGTGGGGGTGACGGGGACACGGAGCCGGGCTGGCGAGGGTGGGGGTGACGGGGACACGGAGCCGGGCTGGCGAGGGTGGGGGTGACGGGGACACGGGGCCGGGCTGGCGAGGGTGGGTGGGGTGACGGGGACACGGGGCCGGGCTGGTGAGGGTGGGGGTGACGGGGTCACCGGGCCGGGCTGGCGAGGGTGGGGGTGACGGGTCACCGGGCCGGGCTGGCGAGGGTGGGGGTGACGGGGACACTGGGCCGGGCTGGTGAGGGTGGGGGTGACGGGGACACGGGGCCGGGCTGGTGAGGGTGGGGGTGACGGGGACACGGGGCCGGGCTGGCGAGGGTGGGGGGGTGACGGGGACACTGGGCCGGGCTGGCGAGGGTGGGTGGGGGTGACGGGGACACGGGGCCGGGCTGGCGAGGGTGGGTGGGGGTGACGGGGACACGGGGCCGGGCTGGCGAGGGTGGGGGTGACGGGGACACGGAGCCGGGCTGGCGAGGGTGGGTGGGGGTGACGGGGACACCGGGCCGGGCTGGCGAGGGTGGGGGTGATGGGGACACGGGGCCGGTGAGGACCTGCAGTCTGCGGAGGGAAGAGGTGCGGAGCCGACATGGAGGGAGTTTCCACAGTGGAGCCTTGAGGTGACGAAGGCGTTTATGGATAACAATACCCAGTGTCAGTGTCACAAGCAGCGACTGCCCCGACTCTCACTCGGGGCCGAGGGACCAAAGCTCAACAACAACAACAACAACAACAATAATAATAATAATAATTTGGTCCCTCACTCCACGGCTGTGTGTCGGACGCTGCTCTGCGCAATTGGCTGCTGCGTTTCACCCACAAAACACAGTCACTACACTTTACAGTATATCCTGTGAAGCGCTTTGAGACGTCTGGACGACATGATCAGGCGCTGCATCCAAATGCCAAAATTATTATCACTATTATTGTTAAACTGTTCGGTTTTACGCAAATTTAATTAACCAATTATTGGATTCAACAGAATATGAAACGCTGAGAGTCGCTCTCGAATAGCAATAAACACAAGAACAACGATAACAGCGCAACAACAAGAACAATAATAACAATAACAACAATAACAATAACAACAACAACAACAACAATAGCAATAACAATAACAACAATAATAACAATAACAACAACAACAATAGCAATAATAATAATAACAATAATAACAATAATAATAATCTTCACCCAAAAATGTATTCAATAAAGTTCACTTGACGACAACGTGCATTCACATAGCAAGTTCCAGGGAGAGGGGGAAACAACGTTCCCAAACTGTGGTTTTGGTGATTTTAAATCAAATCAAATTAAATCCAAAAGATTTGTTCCGTAACGATTTACAAAAGTGACCACTCACTGACCCCGACGTGATTCGAACACGCAGCCTTCTGATCTGGAGTCAGACGCGCTACCGTTGCGCCACGAGGTCTGATGAGCTGCGCTCCGTCACCATGGTTATAGCCTCGCTCCCCCCGCGTCACCGCCTCTCTCTCTCTCTCTCTTCGCCGGGCAGGTCGATGGTCAGTACATAGTTGGTGGAGTGGCCGGTGGTGGACAGCATGCCTCTCCGAGCACTGGTCTTGTACACTGCGGACACAGCAAAATAGTCACAACCTCACACCCAGTGTAACATGGCAGCCGAGAGAAGGCCGATACCAATGACAACAACAAATAACATCTACACATGCCTTTCATGTCATGTCGGACGGATGTCCCAAGGCGCTGGAGAGTTGTGGTTGGGTGGTCCTGGCTGGATAAGCAGCAGGACAGCTTGCCACACCGTGATATCAAAGACAAATGATATGGTTTTAGCTGGTTAGACTCCAGCAGTTACCCCAAGGATACTGAGCTGATGCCCTCTGTCCCTCACACAGTAGCCTCCACATCACCATCTCAATGTTCTGAATTGTTACCATGAGATGTGAAGAGCAGTAAGAACAAGACTAACCTGGGCATCCATAGGTACATTCCTCTTTAAACACTGGCTTCTCCCCCGGCTTGAGCCAAATCTGGTTGACGAGGTTAAGGGCATTTTCACCAAAGAGACAGGAGTGGATTCCAATGAAACATTTATAATATAATAAACAAGCCAGTTTTACCCTATCCCAGCTTAGGTCCTTTCCTTCCCCCACAGTCCTCATCATCACGTCTTCAAGATGTCTCAAAGCGCTTCACAGAAAATACTGTAAAGTAGATTGACTGTGTGTTGTGTGGGTGAAACGCGGCAGTCAGTTTGTGCAAAGTATTGAGCAGGATTTGCAGTGTGTGATGATGGATGGCTTAGTGGTATTTGCAATGATTTGTGTAAACTGTTAAACAGCTCAGCGATGGCAAGATACAATAGGCAGAGTCTCATACAGTACTTTAGGCAGTGACTCCCCAATCACATGCCTGGTCCTGTCCCATCGCGCACCCTCCATATACAGGCCTTTAATGTAAACTCCATTTACCTGACGGGGAAACATACAACAAACCCAGTTTAGTAACATCCTGAGGTTTAGCGTTATTGCTGTATTGATTAGGCATCAGACACTGAGCAGGTCTTGTTTCTGTGTCTCTCTCTCCTGCTGTCTCTGTGCAGCAGTCAGTAGACAAGCTGACACAGACTGGCTACTCACTCCCCTGGTCACCCAGAGGTTGTCGATAATAGTATTTGTAACTGAAACAGAATAATAATCCTTGCATTTGATATAGCGCCTCATCACATCTTTGAGACGTCTCAAAGCGCTTCACAGAATGTACTGTAAAGTGTAGTGACTGTATAATGTGTGGGCGAAACGTGGCAGCCAATTGCACACAGCAATATGCACAAATGATATGGTTTAGCTGGTGAATAGGGATCAGTTTGATGTGACAACAAATTGTACATATATATATATATATATATCAGGTAATGTGGGGAGCACACCCCAAGGCGCTGACATGTTAACGGGTGAACGGCAACATCATAAACAATCAGGCCTCACTGGTGGGCCGATCACACTGTGATCCTGGTTAATGACGTGGAACTGGAAGCTGAGATGGTCGATGGGAATCCTGTATTTCCTTGCATAGTTCTGCAGCGCTCCAGTCAGGAAACTCTGAGTGAAGTAAAACCGCGAGATCCAGAACACACCAGGCTTCCCTCTGCTAATCCAGTCCTGAAACACAGCACATACAGTCGTTCACCTTCCACCATCCTGGCAGTCACATGCACATGGCGTGTCCCAAACTACACACTGTATCCCCAGATATTATTTACTAACAGAAATATATCTCAATTCTTCTTGAAAGAAACAACCTTTTCTGCATACACCGTCTGTCTAGAGGATCCAGTTCAAGATCCTGGTCCTCACCTACAAAGCCCTCCATGGTCTCGCCCCACCCTACCTCTGCGACCTCCTAAACCCCTACCAACCCGCCCGCTCCCTCCGCTCAGCCGCTCCGGCTGCTCCACGTCCCCCGACCCACCCGCCCCACCATTGGCGGGAGAGCCTTCAGCCACTCTGCCCCCAACCTTTGGAATTCCATCCCCCAGTCACTCCGCCTCACCCACTCCTTAGCCTCCTTCAAGTCCCCCTTCAAGACCCTCCTCTTCGACCATGCCATTGGTCACCCCCCTTCCTCTCCTCTCCCTTTACCCCCTGACCCCCAAACCCCAGCTCAGGTCTGAAATGCTGTCACTGTCCAGCGCCTTGGGACGGCCTCCCGACGTGAAAGGCGCTGTACACATGTAATCTCGTTGTCTCCCTCGGAAGCCTGTTCCATATGTTTACTATTCGCTCACTGACTGAAGTACTGTCTCTGCAGATTTATAAGAACACGAGACACAATCCATAACATCAACATGTCTTACCTTAAAGAACTGAAGTCTTGAGAGAAGGTCAGTAATGTAACTGCCTAAAGGTTTGAGAGAAGGATAGGATTTTGCTGACCACATTGTGGGAACCTGGAGAGGAAAACATCAGAAAACCATTGTGTCATGTTATTCAGGAACGAGCTATTGACATGGCGTCATTGTGACGTATTGGAGAGATCTGAACACACATCTATACCACACAGCCAGTGAGTGCTGCTCAGTCTCCACATACAAACAGTACAACTATTACTAATATTAATCCTGGCATTTGATACAGCACCTGATCATGTCGTTGAGACGCATCAAAGCGCTTCACAGGATATACTGTAACATGTAGCGACTGTATATTTTGTGGGTGAAACGTGGCAGCCAATTGCGCACAGCAGTGTCCCACAAGCAGTTGTGAATTGAGTGACCAAATTATTTTTTTATATGAAGGGATTATTAACCCCGGAAAGCGATCCACAAATCGACTAACAACCGGGTTCCTACTTACTGCTGGTTAACAGAGTGGAGCGAGGAAGTGTGTCCAACGTTTCCCTCTGCCCGGGAATGGAACCCAGGTCCTCTCGCTTGCGAGGCGAGTGCTCTAACCGATACGCTACAGGACTCCACCATGCCTCACTTTGCCGACAATCATGCTGTTGAACATATCCTCGAGTTCACTGGACAGCAGGATAAGCCCTCGGATTGCCTTGGTGATGTCTCTCAGGCTGGTCCTGATGGTGGACGTTAGACGATTGAAGTGAACGAGTTCCTGCAGCAGCACCGTATTCATGGATTCACTGTAGTTGGTCGGGTATTTATTCTATGGATTAGATAAAATATTATTAAAAATAATAACCCTGGCATTTGACATAGCGCCTTATCACGTCATTGACACGTCTCAAAGCGCTTCACAGAATATACTGTTAAGTGTAGTGACTGTATATTTTGGGGGCGAAGCGCGGCAGCCAATTGCACACAGCAGTGGATTGAGTGACAGCATTATTTTGAAGGGATTAATATAATAACTAAGATCACAGCCACACAGACACTGCAGGGGTTGTTGTGGCCATTTCTTACCATCACCTCCTCGGTGTAGAAGTCGGGGGGTATTTTGGACAGAATGTCCGTGGCCAGCTCCTGCACAATCTCCGAGGAGGAGAGATCACCCCCGTTTACCTGATGGGAACAAACATTGTACTTAATGTTGAGATGATCTGTCCTAAAGCAGTCACTACAGTCACGAATGGCTTCTCCTCCACCCCCCGTACTGTCTCATGTGGTGTCCCTCAGGGCTCTGTCCTCGGTCCCCTCCTCTTCACCCTCTATATGCTCCCCCTCTGGTGACATCATCCGCAGACATGGGGTTAACTTCCACATGTATGCGGATGACACCCAACTCTACCTTTCCTCCTCTACTCTCAACTCCACGACCCCCGATGTCCTGACAGCTGTCTGTCCGACATCGAGTCCTGGACGAGAGACAACTTTCTTCAGCTCAACGTGCGAAAAACCGAGGCCCTCCTGATTGGCTCACGTCAGCGCCTCCGCACCTCAGGCGCTGACACCATCAGCATCCAAGGCTGCACTCTCCACCTCTCAAAGCCAGTCAGGAACCTCGGCGTTTTGTTCGACCCTGAGCTGTCCTTTCTCCCTCACATCCGCACCACAACTGGCACCGCCTTCCATCACCTCCGGAACATCGCCAGACTACGGCACTACCTCACCCCTCACGCGGCTGAAACCCTGGTTCACGCCTTTGTCACCTCAAGGCTGGACTATGGGAACTCTCTCCTCGCCGGCCTTCCCGCCACCTCCCTCCACACTGCAGGTCATTCAGAACTCTGCAGCTCGTGTACTGTCCCGCACCAGGCTTCGGGACCACATCACTCCCACCCTCGCTCGCCTCCACTGGCTCCCCATCCCCCAGAGGATTGATTTCAAGATCCTCATCCTCACCTACAAGGCCATTCACGGCCTCGCTCCCTCCTACCTCTCCAACCTACTATCCCCCGTACCTACCTGCCCGTACCCTCCGTTCCTCTGGCTCCGGTCTGCTCCACGTCCCCCGCCCAACCGCCCTACCATCGGTGGTCGGGCCTTCAGCCTCTCAGCCCCCAGGCTCTGGAACTCCATCCCCCAGTGCCTTCGCCGCTTCCTCCCTTTCCTCCTTCAAGGCCGGTCTCAAAACCTTTCTCTTTGACCGTGCCTTCAGCTCCCCTCTCGACTCTCTTCCTCCTCCTCGCTCCCTCCCTTCCCTCCCCTCACCCTGACCATTTCCCCCTCCTCGCTCCCTCCCTTCCCTCCCCTCACCCTGACCATTTCCCCCCTGCTCGGGTCATGACCCAACTGTGCAGCGCCTTGGGACGTCCTCCTGACGTGAAAGGCGCTCTATAAATGGAATCTTGTTGTTGTTGTTGTCACAGCACCAACACCCAAAAAATTATAATCCTGGCATTTGACTTAACGCCTTATCACGTCTTCGAGGCGTCTCAAAGCGCTTCACAGCATATACTGTAAAGTGAATTGACAGTATATTTTGTGGATGAAACGTGACAGCCAATTGCACACAGGAGCGTCCCCACAAACAGTCGTGGAGTGAGTTACAAGACTATAATTCAATAGTTATTCAGATAGTTTTTTTACCACAAGAGTGAACACATTGTGAAGGTGATGCCACCTCAGAGACTGGTTTTTACCTGATTTAACGGCTCCAGTGGGTGTTTCTACTTTACAGTAATTAGTGTTTTCAGGAAATAAAATTGTTGATTGTGTTATTTTATTCAGCAAAACTGTCACTGAGTGGATTGCAAAGCCTGAGAGCACGGACTGGTCACTGAGGCAATCAATCACAGTCACCCAAACTAGTTGTGGTGAGTGGGTTGCAGGTAATAACCATAATAATAATAATAATCCTGGCATTTGATACAGCGCCTCATCACGTCATTGAGACGTTTCAAAGCGCTTCACAGGATACACTGTAAAGTGTAGTGACTGTGTATTTTGTGGGTGAATAGAGAGTGGGGAGCAGTGTGTAGTCAGCATTGCTCTGGAGGCTGTGATTGGGATAGAGGAAGGCGGGTCCCCCTCCCCTCACCGCTCACCTCTCGGGGGAGAGTGGTCAGAACCCCATCAAACAGCTTCTGGGTTTCCTTCTGTTCTTTGGTGATGTTCGCATTCTCATGAAGTCCAAACACCTGAAAGGCAGTAAAGACAATTCCTCTGGTCTCCCATCCTCAATAGTCACTACACACACCCCATACACACACCACACACACACCACACCCCATACACACACCCAATACACACCCCACACACACCACACCCCATACACACACCCCATACACACACCCCACACACACACACCCCATACACACACCACACACACACCACACCCCATACACACACCCAATACACACCCCACACACACCACACCCCATACACACACCCCATACACACCACACCCCATACACACACCCCATACACACACTCCACACACACACCACACACCACACCCCATACACACACTCCACACACACCACCCCATACACACACCCCACACACACCACACCCCATACACACACCCCACACACATACCCCACACACACACCCCATACACACACCCCACACACACCACACCCCATACACACACCACACCCACACACACCACACCCCATACACACACCCCACACACACACACCCCATACACACACCACACCCCACACACACACCCCATACACACACCACACCCCATACACACACCCCACACACGCCCCACCCCATACACACACCACACACACACACCACACCCCATACACATACACCATTCACACACACTACACCCCATACACACACCCCATACACACACACCCCACTCACACACACCATACACACACACACTATTCACACGCACTATACCCCATAATACACACACCCCATACACACACACTACACCCCACACACACACCCCATACACACACACCACACCCCATACACACACACCATACACACACACTCCACCCCATACACACACCCCCACACACACACTCCACCCCATACACACACCCCCCACACAACTCACTACACCCCATACACACACTCCACACCCTATACACTACACCCCATACACACACACTACACCCCATACACACACTCCACACCCTATACACTACACCCCATACACACACACTACACCCCATACATACACACTACACCCCATACACACACACTACACCCCATACACACACCCCATACACACACCCCACACACACACACCCCATACACACACCACACCCCACACACACACCCCATACACACACCACACCCCATACACACACCCCACACACACCACACCCCATACACACACCACACCCACACACACCACACCCCATACACATACACCATTCACACACACTATACCCCATACACACACCCCATACACCCACACCCCACACACACACCCCATACACACACACACTATTCACACACACTATACCCCATAATACACACACCCCATACACACACACTACACCCCACACACACACCCCATACACACACACCACACCCCATACACACACACTCCACCCCATACACACACCCCCCACACAACTCACTACACCCCATACACACACTCCACACCCTATACACTACACCCCATACACACACACTACACCCCATACACACACTCCACACCCTATACACTACACCCCATACACACACACTACACCCCATACATACACACTACACCCCATACACACACACTACACCCCATACACACACCATACACACACACCATAAACACACCATTCACGCACACTACGCCCCATACACACACACCATACGCACACACCACACACCATACACACACCATAACACACACACACAGCACACACACACTACACACACTATACACACACACCATACACAAACACTGCCCTGCCTGGGAATCAAACCCAGGTCTCTCGCTTGCGAGGCAAGTGTTCTAACCACTGAGCTACAGTGTCCACGAATAACTAGTTTTTGTGAATTAAAAGCAAGTGGCTACCTCTGGGTCTGCATTGAGAGGTAAGCTCTTGATGTACTCCACGTAACTTTCGTAAGTGCCTTTCCTGGGGGCAAAATAAATGGCGCTGGGAGAGAACATGTAGGTCTCGTCTTCAATGACTTTCTGACAGTAGAAACTCTCCAGCAAACTGATCAGCAGCCTGCGGTCGTGCTCATCTGTCACTCTCCCCCCATAGTTACACTCTCCTGTCAGGTATAGCAGCGCCTCAAATGGAACCTGAGCATATTCATTCAGGAAAATCTGTTGGCAAATAATAATTGACAGCTAATAATGTTACAATAATAATAACCCTTGCACTTGATATCGCACCTTATCACGTCTTCGAGATGTCTCAAAGCGCTTCGCAGAATATCCTGTGAAGTGCAGTGACTGTGTATCTTGTGGGTGAAACACTGCAGCCAATTGCGCACAGCAGCGTCCCCACAAACAGCCGTGGATCGAGAGACCAAATTATTATTATTATTTTTTCAGGGATTATTACACTTGGAAAAGTGATCCACTAATCGATTAACAACCGGGTTCCTACTTTGCTGGTAATCAGAGGTGTGTGGGGTAAGGAAACTTGCCTGAGGTTTTGCTCTGCCTGGGAATCAAACCCGGGTCCTCTCGCTTGCGAGGCGAGGGCTCTAACCACTGAGCTACAGGACTCCACGATCTCTTGGTGCTACAGCTGACAGGGACTGTATATTATCCGTTGCCATTTGTTTTGTACTGACTCTTCCTTTAACAGTGAGTTGCCTCCTTCCAGCTCTGTCAGCATTTGTCAGTGAAGTCAATGAAGATGAAACCAGCCACCAGGCAGCAATATTACTCCATCAGTTCAGAATAATCTCACTTTACTCCTTTGCTAACACTAACAAGACCTCGACTCTTCTAGTATTTCTAACCCACAAAATACACAGCCACTACACTTTACAGTATATTCTGTGAAGTGCTTTGAGACGTCTCAATGACATGATAAGGCGTTGGGTTAAGTGTGAGGATTATTATTATTGACTTTTTTCTCCCAAGGCCTTGAATTTGAATGTAAGCCGTGATGATGCCAGCGAAGGCGATTGACTTAAACTGTGTGTTGAATGCAACGTGAGCTGAGTGACAGAATGTTAAGTTAGTGTGTTCCTGGTGAGGAGCTGCGCTGTGTTCGATGACTCGATGGCCTGGTGTTGTGTAGCTGTCGTTGACTCGGCTCAGGATAAAGAAGGCAAACTGGAGGCTGGACTCTCAGATCAGTTGAGTTCAGATCTGACCCCGTGCACAGCTCTGGTCAGGTTCACTCCACAACAACAACAGCAGCTTCCACTTACACAGCACCGCTCACACAGGGTGGCGTCCCAGAGTGAGTGACAGGAAGGGTGGGCTGGCCTGTATATAGGAGATATTATTTCTGAATAGTGCCTGGTCCGGGAAAGCCAAATACTGATAAGCAGCTTCACGTTTAACTTTTTATTTTGACAAAAATGATCGAAAGAGACTGAAAGGGTTTATTAAAAGTCAAATTGTTTGGAATAAAAACAGAAGTGTCTGGGATCACTCAGCAGATCGGGCAGCATCTATGGAGAGAGGAAGCAACTTCTGTTGGTATTTTGCAGTATTTTGCCTTTTGTTTATTGTAAAATTCTTTGGGAATCTGTGTGAATTGTAGAAGCTGAGGAACAATAAATTAAAGCCTACAGGGTAAACAACTCATTTCAGGGCTACAATAAACCCAATTGAGCAGATTACACACAGTCCTCATTTCTCCAGAATTTCAGGCAAATGAAAGCCAGAGCAGAAATCCCCAGAGTCAAGTCTATAAAGTAAAATATCTCCAATCACTGTAAGCCTCATTGTTTCCAGCAGAGAGAAGTTTAAATTGTGAACCTACCTTCGAATTACGATTTTTCAAATTCAAATGTTAGTTGCTCTCTGGGGGGACTATAATTCTCACTGGCTTAAGGGCAGCGAGTTTTACAGTATGTGCTTGTAACAGCCAATTAGAGTAAAGAAAACGTCCTTAATGTTTAAGTGCGGGACTAAAACAGTTGACTAAGAGGTAACACATATCTGTGACCTACCTGTATCTGTCTGGCACTGATCCTGAGATCTGACTCATTAAATTCATAAGGAACGTTCCAGCCCAGTGAGCCAAACATCCTGCGTTCTTGGACAAGAGCGTGGAAAAAGCACAAGGCAAAGAGCAGCTTCTCCCACACCTGTTACACAGAGCAACGTGAGTCAGTGCTTCTCAAACAAGTACTTGACAATTCAACAACACATGACATTAACACAGAGCCTTTCACGACGGGAGGACAGGGAGGGTGGGGGTAGGAGGACGACTGAAGGCGCGGTCGAAGAGGAGTGTCTTGAGACGTGACTTGAAGGAGGCGAGGGAGGGAGCGAGGCAGAGGGATTGAAACCGTACACAGTGCTATTCCTTACCACTGCCTTATTGCAGCCATTAAAGAAGTGGGGGTCTGAGATGGGATCGTTGAGGTAGGACCTCAGCAGGTTGGCCCTCAGGCCCTTTGGTGGCTCGTTGGTCATCTTGATGCCGTTCTGCAGCACGGAGACGGGGAAGTCACTGGAGGGGTAGCTGGTGAGCCACAGGCGGAAGTCTGGCTTGGTGCCATCGCTATCAGTGATCATCTCCTCACAGATACACTCCAGCTCGGGAAGCCAACTCGTGGCCAGGTGACAGTTCTGCAGAACCACCCACGTGCCATCCTCCGCAGCCTGACAGACAGAAATAATAACAATAATAATAATCCTTGCATTTGATATTGAGCCTCATCACATCTTTGCCACGTCTCAAAGTGCAAGATATCTCCCAGCTGCTGAAGGTGTTTAGACTTGGGAAACCTCCTCTCTGCATTTCCTCTTTATTGGATGGATTTCTCCACTGTTGCCCTTTCAACAAAGACGTGTGAAGTCGCAAAGCTTCTGGTCGGATTGGTGCATTAATTGGTTGCCGAAGCTTCCCTGTTAGTTTGTGTCTGCTCAGCCAGAAACCAGAAAGAGAAACTCACACATGCTTTTATGTTAAAAGGCCAACAATTACATCATGACCATTAGCTAAATGTCACATTAACAGCAAAACGCAAGTTCCTGGAAAAATGGCCATTTAATGTCCTCACTGCTGCTTTTCATTTTGAACATGGAGTCCTGTAGCTCAGTGATTAGAGCACTCGCCTCGCAAGCGCGAGACCTGGGTTTGTTTCCCAGACAGGACAAAATGTTGGGCAAGTTTTCTTACTCCACACAGAGCCTCTGTTTACCTAAGCAGTAAGTAGGAACCCGGTTCTTAGTTGATTGGTGGATTGCTTTCTGGAGGTATTAAGCCCTTAAAAAAGTAATAAAAAGGTAATTTGGTCACTCAATCCACCACTGTTTGTGGGACTCTGCTGTATGCAATTGGCTGCCGCGATTCATCCACAAAATATACAGTCAATAATTCACTTTACAATATATCCTGTGAAGGGCTCTGAGACGTCTCAAAGACGTGATCAATCGCTATATCAAATGCAAGGATTATTATTATTATACTGGTATGTGAATATTTGATGTATATATTCATACTTTAATGAATCATAAATTAATCTTCTCTTTTTCTGTCCTATTAAATACTGATGCTAACTGTCTACATATGTCACCAAGAAGATCTTTAACCCCTCTACTGCGATGGATATTACTGCAGTCAGGAGAAAAACCCTTATTAATATCACAAATTTATGCTCCATTGAACTATGCTTCAGAATCGATTTCACAGCACAAACTATTAAACACCAGTTAGGAAGTGGCAAATGAAGAAGTAAATGATTTCTCACCTCATGAAAATTTAAGAACTTACTTTTTCAATCATTTTCTTAGCAATCGGCCCTTGTCCCTGTCCTAGAGAGATAGTCTGCAGATTTGTCCCTCCCATTCCTGCAGCAAACACAGCAAATCATTCCTCTGTTAGTTATTAATGAATCGTCACTGACAAAATACACCTTTACAGTATATCCTGCACAGGACATAGGAACAGGAGGAGGCCATTCAGCCCCTGGAGCCTGTCCCACCATTCTATGAGATCATGATGATCTGTACCTCAACTCCAATTACCCGCCTTTGCCCCGTACCCCTTGATCCCCGGACCTGACAAACACCTCAGACTGGACAATGTGACTGGATCCACAGCCATAACCCACAGGGGTTGGGGGGTGGGAGAGAGGGTTCCAGACTCCCACTTGAAGGGTATCGGCACAGCCCAGAACCCTCGGCCGTGACCTGGTTACATACCCCTCTCCTCAGCAAATCTCATCAGCAAAGCCATGGGGTCGGCTCCGGCCGACAGGACAAAGATTAGTGGTGTGGAGTGGCCGGAGTGCTTGAAGCTGTGCTGAAGGTCAAAGGTTGGAGGCTCGATGTAGGCAACGTCCATTTTCTCTGTGATGAACTGCTGAACAGCGGGAATAACCTGCAGGGCCACGGAGCACAACAACAACAACAACAACGATGATAACAACAACAACAACAACAGCAACAACAACAGCAACAACAACAGCAACAACAACAACGATGATAACAACAACAACAACAGCAACAACAACGATGATAACAGCAACAACAGCAACAGCAACAACAACGATGATAACAACAACAACAACAACGATAACAACAACAACAACGACGATGATAACAGCCACAACAGCAACAACAACGATGATAACAACAACAACGATGACAACAACGATAACAACAACAACAGCAACAACAACAACAACGATAACAACAACAACAACGATGATAACAGCAACAACAACAACAGCAACAACAACAACAACGATGATAACAGCAACAACAACAACAGCAACAACAATGATGATAACAGCAACAACAATGATGATAACAGCAACAACAACGATGATAACAGCAACAACAACAACAGCAACAACAACGATGATAACAACAACAACAACAACAGCAACAACAACGATGATAACAGCAACAACAGCAACAGCAACAACAACAGCAACAACAACGATGACAACAACAACAACAGCAACAACAACGATAACAATAACATCGATCACAATAACATCGATAACAATAACATCGATAACAATGACAACAACAACAACAATGATAACAACGATAACAACAACAACAATAACAACAACAACAATAACAACAACAACGATGATAACAACAACAACAACGATGATAACAACAACAACGATAACAACAACAACAACGATGATAACAACAACAACGATGACAACAACAACAACAACAGCAACAACAACAACGATAACAATAACATCGATAACAATAACATCGATAACAATAACATCGATAACAATGACAACAACAACAACGACAACAACAACAACAACAACGATAACAACAACAACAACGATAACAATAACATTGATAACAATAACAACAACAACGATAACAATAACAACAACAACAACGATAACGATAACAACAACAACAACGATAACAATGACAACGGTAACAATAACAACAACAACAGCAACAACAACAACGATAACAACAACAACGATAACAACGATAACAATAACAACAATAACAACAACAACAACGATAACAATAACATCGATAACAACAACAACAACGATAACAACGATAACAACAACATACAACGATAACAACAACAACAATGATAACAACAACAACAACGATAACAACGATAACAACAACAACGATAACAACAACAACAATGACAACAACAATAACAACAATGATAACAACAACAACAACGATAACAACGATAACAACAACAACAACAACGATAACAAGAACAACAATAACAACAACAACGATAACAATAACAACAACAACAATGATAACAATAACAATGATAACAACAATAATAACAATAACAACGATAACAACAACAACAACAACAATAACAATAACAATAACAACAACAACAATTACAAAGATAACAACAACAACAATAACAACAATGATAACAATAACAACAATAACAACAACAATAACAATAATAACAATAACAATAATAACAATAAGAACTATAATAACAACAATAACAATAATAACAATAACAATAATAACAGCAATAATAACAACAATAATAAAAATAATAATAATAAAGATAACAATAATAATAACAATAACAATAATAATAAAATAATATTAACAATAACAATAATCCTTGCATTTGATACAGTGCCTTATCACATCTTCGAGACATCTCAAAGCGCTTCACAGGATATTACAGTACAGTGAATTGACTGTATATTTTGTGGGCGAAACACAGCAGCCAATTGCGCACAGCAGTGTCCCACAAACAGTCGGCGATACAGTAACTAAATTTTTTTTATATTTTGAAGGGATTATTACCCTCATCAATCGACTAACAACCGGGTTCCTACTGACTGCTGGTAAACAGAGGCGTGTGGGGTGAGGAAACTTGCCTAAGGTGTTGCCCTGCCCGGGAATCAAAACCAGGTCCTCTCACATGTGAGGCGAGTGCTCTAACCACTGAGCTATAGTGTTTTAAAGATAACTGCAATGTTGGTCTTTTCCCACCAACACGTCATCTGCTTATTTAAAGGGCTCCATTATCTCTCTCTGGTGGGATCTCATCCCTTTAGCTTCATGTTTGAACACATTCCTCAGGAGCAACACCACAGAGAGTGCCATTCCCCACAAGCAGCAGTTTCTGGGTGAGGAACATTACACTGTTTCAGGCTGTTTCACACTGTGTGAGGGCAGAGGGCTTTCTGATGGACACAATGATCTGTACAGGAGGGAAATAGCTGTAAAGCACACAGCAATATACAGGGGAGGCTTTGAGAGACTGCAGGGAGCTGATACACATCGCAATCCATTGGAGAGAGGAAAAGTCTGATGACGACAACAAGCTGTAACAAGGGAGAGATGGGTGTGTATTGGCCACAATATATAATTTATTATAAGTATAAAAATTACCCAAACCTTGTCTGGCCTGATACAGCGGAGAACAAGAAGGTGTTGGAAGTTACTCAGACTCTGTTCCCATGGATCAGGGAGTGAGATTGTCTCCGGTTGAGAAGAATCGTAGATTTTCTTCCATTCAGAAAGCTAAACAGGTCAACCACAGGGTCAGCACTGCAGCCAGACAAACTCAATCACCATTAAATAACTGCACAACTAGGGCGAAGGTTTAGCTTCATTAACAGTGTTTAACATAGGCAATTAGGCAATCTTTATTACAATACTCAAATAGGTTTCCAATATTTTCTACCTCTTTTTTCACCTAACAACAACACATGACATTTACACGGCACCTTTCACATCGGGAGGATGTCCCAAGGCACTGGACAGTCAAGGATTTGGACCTAAGCTGGGGGTTGGGATCAGGAGAGGTGGAGGGTGGGGAGTGGGTAGGCGGGTGACCGAAGGCGTGGTTGAAGAGGAAGGTCTTGAGATGGGCCTTGAAGGAGGCGAGGGAGGGGGGAGGCAGAGGGACTGTGGGAATGGTGTTCCATGGGGTGGGGGCAGAGAGGCTGAAGCCCTGACTGCTGATGGTGGGGTGGGCCGGGCGGGGGATATGGAGCAGGCTGGAGCCCGCTGAGCGGAGGTAGTGAACAGATTGTATGTATTGTTTGTGCACTACTATAATATTCTTACTTACTTGCAGCTGAACTTACGTGAGAACAGAAGTGATTCTGTAACTTGCAGAATGCCGGCAGAGAGGAGAGACGGACTATTTCCCCCCAGGACTTGTCCTTCAGCCAGCTGGGAGCAGGATTGACAAATGGGATCTCTAACGCTACCCCCCCAGTCAGCAGGAAACGCCATTCGTCATCAGTCACCAGGTTCCTGCTCCTCTCGATCCCAATACACAGCAGGAAAGAGAAGAGCATCTTGTCTCTCTCAAACAGGGAGCGGCAAACATTCTGGTACATACTGTGAGAGAAACACGGCCATGTTAGCGAGCCCGCTTCATTGGGCTGAGATTACACTCATAGGAACAGGACAAGGTCATTCAGCCCCTCGAGCCTGTCCCGCCATTCTATCAGATTATGGCTGATCTGTACCTCAACTCCAATTACCCGCCTTTGCCCCGTATCCCTTGATCCCCGGACCTGACAAACACCTCAGACTGGACAATGTAACTGGATCCACAGCCATAATCCACAGGGTTTTGGGGGTGGGAGAGAGAGTTCCAGATTCCCACTGGCCTTTGGGTGAAAAACTGCCCCTGAGTTCACTGCTAAATGGCCTCGCTGTAATGTTAAGACTATGGACCTTGTTCTGGATTCACCACCAGAGGAAATAGTTTCTCTGTAGATTTATATTAGTGATGATGACCTAGAAGCCAATTTAAACCAAATTGTTTTACCTGGTTTAGCCTGGTTTAGCAGCAGAAATGCCACACACTGTGACATGCACCACAGCAGGCCATGTTAGTAATTTATTTATCTGATTGCACTATCCAAGTCACACTAATGGTCCACATATCAATTTAAATTGGAATATTATTCTTTTTATTACGATTGACTTTTCTATTTTTTTTAACCTAGAGAGTTATTATGATCTGGAATGCACAGCCTGAAAGGTGGTGGGTACATATTCAATAATAACTTTGAAGAGGATTAGATATGTATTTAATAGGAACAATATGTGGTAAGAGTGGGGAAGTGGGACTAGTTGGGGTAAGAGTGGAGGAGCGGGGGCTAATTGGGGTAAGAGCGGGGGAGTGGGGCTAGTTGGTGGCTCTTTCAAAGAGCCGGCACAGGCACTATGGGCCGAATGGCCTCCTTCTGTGCTGTAAGATACAATATAATATAATGTAATATAGATTCTATGATACTATAAATATTGTCTTAATTGTAAATGTAATTAATTACCTGTAAGTGAAGTGTGCGTTGAGATTGCTGATCCTCTCATGCAGGAGGGTGGAGGGGCTGCTTTTATCAATGGAGTTGACATAAAGATTTATGAACCAGGCAAGTGAGTATTGGTACATCGGATCAATATGAGCAAGATTAGAAATGACAAAAAACAGCACACTTGAGTGGGTGGCCACCTGATCAGAGAACAGAAAGAGGATGTTACAAGGACCCTTGTCACGTCTTCAAGACGTCTCAAAATGCTTCACAGGACACACTGTAAAGTTTAGTGACTTTGTATTTTGTGGATGAACATAATAATGAAGTAATACTAATAGTAATAATAGTAAAACAACTCCAACAAAGTTTCCCCAAATGACACAGATGATGTTGTATGTACTACATAGCGATGGCAGGAGGCAAACTGGAATGAATGACGGCTCCACTCACTGGTCTGTAGCCGTCTCGGGTTTCGTCGATCTGTTTCTCAGTCCTGGTTGTGATCTCTTGTTTCTCCAGGATCTCCCGTGAGAGCTTCTTGCTGGAGGAGAGGATGAGTATAGCACGTTCATCTTCCAGAATGTTCCCCTGTGACATTGACAGGACCTCCAGGATCTGGTCTTCTGTTTCTTTCAACAGTTTTCTGTGCAGAAAAACCCTGATTCAAGTCAGCGGAGCCAGTGAACATTATTTGTTCCTAAAATGATAATAATCCTTGCCCTTGATACAGCACATTATCATGACATTGAGATGTCTCAAAGCACTTTACAGAATATACTGAAAGTGTAGTGACTGTGTATTTTGTGGGCGAAACACGGCAGCTAATTGCGCACAGCACCCACAAACGGTCATGGATTGAAGGACCACATTATTATTTTTTTTAAGGGATTATTATCGCGGGAAGCGATCCACCAATTTTCTAACAACCGGGTTCCTATTTACTGTTAGGTAAACAGAGCTGTGTGGAGTAAGGAAACTTGCCTAAGACCTGACCGGGAAACAAACCCAGGTCTCTCGCTTGTGAGGTGAGTGCTCTAACCACTGAGCTACACGACTCACTGTACTATAATAGTTATTGTCAGTGACACTGGTACCTGTTTTGTGCCCTTTCCAGGTAAAGTCCTTTCTTCTTTTCTTCTAGTTCTGGTTTCTCTTTTGCTGCGACTATACTGAGCAGTTGATCCTCCAAACCAATTGGTGTGATCATAAAGTTCAGGAGAGTTACCTGGAGAAGCAAAGATACAATCCTGGCGTTTGATATCCTGCCTTATCATAAGGAGGGATTGGAAGTCAGTACAAATAATATTGGATTTTAGTTAAGTTCTTCGGGGTGGGGGGGGGGGAAAGGGAGAGGAAGGTGTTAAAGCAGGAAACAAAAATTTGCTAATTGACCAAAAGGCAAGCTCCAAAATCTTGTCTGTCAACTGTACAATTATGATATAGTCGCCTTAAAGCGTAGCAACAGATATAAAGTTCGGAGATGAATTTCCCCCCCAGTCTTCATGATTCACAGATAAACTCTGTCCATCAGTTTATAAACAATGGATGGCTGGAGTGGGTCGGCTATTGTTTGCCGAGGAGAGCAATAACATTGAGTACTCCCACCAGATAGCAGGACCAGCCCTTACAGTGTAAGCTACAGAGCTCGGAGATTGCTAATAAGCTTTGCTGACAGCGTGCGCAGAGATGATAAGGAAACGCTGGCGTGGTGAGTTTCCCTGTTGTGAAGATAAATGACATCACAGACAAGGTGGGGACTGGAATCTAAGCAGCTCATAAACACCGCTGTGTGTGGAGATGGTGATATGAGAGATTATACACCTTGAGGCTCCCTGAAAGCCAAAGACATGTAATTGGTTGGGACACTCTTGAGAAATGGATTTATGAAGCAATTGTTTCTAGACTTTTAATAACAATAACAATAATACGTTCACATCGGGAGATGTCCCAAAGTGCTTTACTGGATTTACTGTGACGTTTAGTGACTGTGTACCTGTAGGTGAAACGCTGCAGCCCAATAGCGCACAGCAACAAAGACGAATAAGGTTGTTCTGTGAATCGGGCAATTTATAAAGAGAGTAATAATAATAATGATAATAATCCTTACCTTTGATATAGCGCCTTATATAGTACACAGAATATACTGTAAAGTGTAGTGACTGTATTTCGTGGGCGAAACGCGGCAGCCAATTGCGCACTGCTGTGTCCTACAAACAGTTGTGGATTGAGTAACCACGTTTTTTAAAAAATATATATATATAAATAAATATATTTTTGAAGGAATTATTACTGGGAAAGCATCCTCCAATCGACTAACAACCCGGTTCCTACTTACTACTGGGTAAACAGAGGTGTGTGGAGTAAGGAAACTTGCCCAACATATCGTCCTGCTTGGGAATCGAACCCAGGTCTCTCGCTTGCGAGGCGAGTGCTCTAACCACTGAGCTCCAGGACTCCAACATATTATTATTGGTTAGCACAGTTCTCTCTATTGTGAAACTCATTGGTACAAGCGTTGATGTACCCCCAGCTATCACCCCAACACTGTTCAGATCTCTGTAGAGTTGGCAGATTACCTTGACAGAAACCTCGGGCAGGTAGTGAGGGTTACGAAGGCGAGTGGTCATGTAGAGGGTGAAATCCCTGGAATACTGTATGATGGTCTCTCCGAGCTGGATGTAATCCATTCCCCTCTGTTTGAAAGTCTGTTTCAGCAGCAGAGGCTCCAGAATGTGATCAAGATCTTCAGAAAGATTTTCAATTAAAATTGGATTTCCAAACTAGGAGATAAGATCACACCGATTTAGAGACTGAGGTAACGTTTTCAAACTAATCCAACCAGTGGTAATAAGGTGGTTTGGGCTCTGCGATGGGATGCCAAATGGTTCTGGTACCGTTGTTACCTTGGTTTCAATTTGACAAATTGGACGTGGAGATGACAAATGTCTCCATTCTCTCATTGGTGTAAATGTCAATCAAATTCTGTTTTGTGCAGTTTCCTCATAATAATAATCCTTGCATTTGATACAGCGCTTTATCAAAGCGCTTCACAGAATATGCTGTAAAGTGAATTGACTGTATATTGTGTGAGTGAAACGCGGCAGCCAATTGCGCACAGCAGCGTCCCACACACAGTCGTGGAGTGAGGGACCAATTTATTGTTATTCTTGGACGGATTATTAACCCCAGATCCGCTAATCAACTAACAACCGGGTTCCTACTTACTGTTAGGTAAAGAGACATGTGTGTGGAGTAACGAAACTTGCCTAAGGTTTTGCCCTGACCTGCCCAGGAATCAAACCCAGGTCCTCCTGCTTGTGAGACGAGTGCTCTAACCATGGGAAGCAATGTTGGAATGTTACCTGGATGCAGTTCCCCAGAGTACGGATGTAGTCTGGCTCATTAAGTTTGCAGACATGTAACTTGTTAGCTTTCTCCATGTTTTTAATCCACTTGTTAGCCTGTCCCTGGGGGTCAATCATTAGAGGCCAGCGCTGAGCTGAGGTCACGATGATAGCATTGTCTACTGAAAAGCTAAAGGGAAAGGAATGTTATATGTGCCATTTAATGTGCTTTAATTCCTAATTTATTGCTGTAATATTCTGAGACTAATAATAATAATCCTTGCATTGTATGCAGCACCTTATTGAGACGTCTCAAAGTGCTTCACGGAATGTGCTGTGAAGTGTAGTGAATGTGTATTTTGTGGATGAATTGCGGCAGCCAATTACACACAACAATGTCCCACAAACAGTCATGGATTGAGTGACCAGATTATTATAATTTATTTATTTTTTGAAGGGATTATTAACCTCGGAAACCAATCTGACAACCGGATTCCTGCTCACTGCTAGGTCAACAGAGGCGTGTGGATTAAGGAAATTTGCCTAAGGTTTTGCCCTGCCAGGGAACTGAACCCGGGGCCTCTCACTAGCTGAGGCGAGTGCTAACCACTGAGCTACAGGACTCCACAAAGACTTACATGTCCCTTGGTAGTCCATGCAGTTGCCACTCCAGAATTCTCACAGGATCTCCCAAGGTGTTGGAGAGGCAGAAGATGTTGGAAACAGGGATCTGTTTTTGCTTGCACAGAGTGAACCATTCCTTCAGTATTTCCTGCAAAGGAGAAGGAACAACAGTGGGAACATGAGCAAAATTCTGTCTCTATGGATGACAACAAATAAGGAAACAGCTTTCACCAGTGCCTGACAATGAAGCACACAGCTCTGTATCAGCTGGCGAGGCGAGTGCACTGACCAATACACTACGGGAATCTACATTGTCTTCCTATTAAATAAAGACAATTCTACCCCTTCCCCCAACAGTCTGACATGTTTAATGTGTCTGAGTCACCTGTCGGAACTCTGGTGTGAAGGGCCCGAGATAAGCCACAACACTTGCGCTCAGTAACACATCCCCAACAATGTTCTGGTACATGTCCTCCAGCTGCAGTGTAATCTGTGTCCAGCGAGCTCGCTCTCCTCCTAGCCCATTGATCAGCTTCTCAGCTCGCTCCAGCTTTAACCTACAGCAGGAAGAATAAGGGGATTAGCTGGACAAAAGAAGACCAAGATTCATCCAGTTCACTAATGACACAAAACTAGGAGGAAGTGTCAACACAGAGGATGACATTAAAAATTGCAGCGAGACGTAGATAGGTTAGGTGATTTGGCAGGTAGGTGGCAGATGAAGTATAATGTAGGGAAGTGCGAAGTCATCCACCTGGGGAGCAAAAACAGTAGAGTGGGTTATTTTTTACAAGGGGAGAGATTGGAACGTGTTGGCGTCCAGAGGGACTTGGGGTGTCCTTGTACACCAATCACAGAAAGTTAGTCTGCAGCTGCAGCAGCAATTAGGAAGGTGAACGGTACGTTAGCATTCATTATGAAAGGATTAGAGTACAAGAGTAGGGAAGTATTGCTGCAACTGTATAGGGCCCTGGTGAGACCACATCTGGAATACTGTGCCCAGTTTTGGTCTCCTCATTTAAGGAAGGATGTACTTGCCTTGGAGGGGGTGCAGCGTAGATTTACTCGGTTAGTACCAAGGATGAAGGGGATGAGTTACGAGGATAGGCTGATCAATTTGGGCCTATATTCTCTAGAATATAGGAGAATTAGAGGGGATCTTATAGAAACCTATAAGATCATCAAAGGGTATGATAGAGTAGATAGTGGGAGATTGTTTCCCCGGTTGGAGAAACTAAAACCAGGGGTCACAACCTTAAAATCAGAGGCCAACACTTTCGCACTGAGTTGAGGAAGAACTTCTTCACTCAAAGGGCAGTGAATGTATGGAACTCACTACCCCAATGGGCTGTTGATGCTCAGTCCTTGAACATATTCAAGACTGAGATAGATAGATTTCTTATTGCAAAAGGGATTAAGGGATATGGGGATAAGGCAGTGTCAGGTTATTAGCCAGAGTTAGATTAGAAGATCAGCCATGATTGAATGGCGGGGCAGAGGCTCGAAGGGCCGAATGGCCTACTCCTGCTCCTACATGTTATGTTACCTTCCACCATCCTGGCAGTCGCTTGACATGTCGTGTCCCAAACTATACACTGATAACAAAAATATTGGCAATCACAAGGGAACGTTGTTTTATGTTTCATGGTTGACATTCTGGGATTGATGGAGATGGCAGGAGGGAAAGCAATCAATGACGTCTATGAGGGAATACTGTTGTGCTGAGCAGCCCTCCTCACGCTGCGTGAAATGTCAGGATTATTATCTGAAGGTGACTCACTGTGTCATCTCAATGCTTTCCTCCAGCAGGTTCTTCTCAGTGAGTTTCTGGGTGAGTTGTCTCTGGAGCAGCTCGAGCTTGGTCCTCACCTCACTCAGCTCCAACCTCTTTATGCTCAGCTTCACCATCTGCACTTTCAGCTCCTCCTCAGCCTCCGCCAACTTCTGCCGTTTTGGGGCAACAATCTACAACAACATCAACAACATCAACAACAACATCAACCTCAACAACATCAACAACATCAACAACAACATCAACAAAAATATCAACAACATCAACAAGAACAACAACAACTTGGATTTATATAGCGCTCTCCACGCCGGACGGCGTCTCAGAGCTTCACAGTAATGGATCCTGGGGCCAAGCCAGGGGGAGGGGGAGGAGCCAGGGGAGGGAGGGAGCCAGAGGAGAGGGAGGAGCCAGGGGAGGGGGAGGAGCCAGGGGGAGGCGAGGAGCCAGGGGAAGGGGAGGAGCCAGGGGAGGGGGGGAGCCAGAGGAGAGGGAAGAGCCAGGGGAGAGGGAGGAGCCAGGGGGGAGGGAGGAGCCAGGGGGAAGGGAGGAGCCAGGGGAGGGGGGGAGCCAGGGGAGGGGGAGGAACCAGGGGAGGGGGAGGAGCCAGGGGGAGGCGAGGAGCCAGGGGGAGGCGAGGAGCCAGGGGAAGGGGAGGAGCTGGGGGGATAGGGGAGTGGGGTTTGGGGGTGGGGGGGGAGGGCCAGGACTGGGGGGATTGGGTGAGAATGCGGGCGGCAGAGTTTTGAATGATTTGGATTTTATGGATGGTAGCTGATGGGAGACCGGTGAGGAGGGCGTTAGCGTAGTAGAGTAGTCCAGCCGAGAGGTGACAAAGGCATGGACCAGGGTTCCAGCAGCTTTCGGAGAGAAGTATTGGTGGGGGAGGAAGGATAACTGGGGGTCGAACCTGACACCTAGGTTTCGTACGGGTTCGGAGAGTTTTAGGGGGAGGTCGGGTAGGTGGATGAGGTGAGAGCTGTGAGATTTTAGATGTTGACGAGAGCCAAAGAGTAACAACATCAACAACAACATCAACAATAACAACAACAACAACATCAACAATAACATCAACAACAACAACATCAACCACATTATCTACACAAATATCTACAACAACAACAACTCACAGTTACACAGCGTCCCTCACACAGGGTAATGTCCCAGAGCTGGACAGTGGTGGAGGTGCATGACGATGGCGCTATGGTATGTATTTACTGAGTGAACATTGCCGCCAATAGTGAATGAACACAATGTACAATGATTCTACTTGTTATTTTAATGCTCGACTGCTTCTGAAAACGACTCTCCTGCTCTGTGTTTGTCTGTGACTGTAATGAGCCTTTCTTGGCAGGAGCACAATAGACTTACTTGAGGCTTACCTTTGCGACGTTATCATAGACTTCAGTGGCTCGGACCCAACTGCAGAGCCCCTCACAGGCTGAGGAGACATTCTTAATGACGGATGCCTGGAATTCAGGGCTGCTGATAAAATCCCTCCTAATGTGGGCTATCACTTTAGGAGGAATGTTGTCTTTATCGAATTCCTGTGAAGAAATACAATACAACATTGTCCACAGAAAGATGCACAAGCAATAAAACCGTCAGGGGCTGCCAGGGGCTCAGGGTTACACTGGCTCCTGCACACTGCTTGTTCACCTCTGGAATCTGTCTGACCCCACACTGATGGCATGAATATCTCTCACTCTCTGGCTCTCAGTGAAATGTACCAGGAAGAGAATCAACCCAGTTCTGAACGGTGCAGGTGTATACTATATATAAACTGGCTGAGGATCCAGTGATTGTCACTGAAAGACAGGTATGAGAAAAGGGAATCTTACACAGATGTTGTCAAAAATTCAGGCCTGTGTTAAACTGTGGTTGAGGTCAGTGCCTTAGAATAATAATAAAAAAACTTTGCATTATCACGTCTTTGAGGCGTCTCAAAGCGCTTCACAGAATATATTGTAAAGTGAATTGACTGTATATCTTGTGGGCGAAACGCGGCAGCCAATTGCACACAGCAGCGTCCCACAAACAGTCGTGGATTGTGTGACCAAATTATTATTATTTTTATTATTATTTTTTGATGGGATTAATACCCCTGGAAAGTGATCTGCCAATCGACTGACATCCAGGTTCCTATTTACTGTTGGTAAGGAATCAAACATAGGTCCTCTCGTTTGCGAGGCAAGTGTTCTAACCAATAAGCTACAGGACAGTCATTCTGTGCATTATTATGTTCTTAAACCCAACACCTACGTACCTTCAGCGATTCCAGAAACTTCATATCACCCAGCATTTTTTTGGCAGAGGGCCAATAATCATCAGTGCTTTTCCCATTCCCATCGATTTTTTTCTCTGGTTTAATTCCCTCAAATTGAAAAAATAGTTACACAAATTATACTGACATTTCTTAATCAAAATGGTATAATAATCCTTGCATTTTTACATTTGATTTAGTGCCTTATCATGTCGTTGAGACATCTCAAATACACTATAAAGTGAATTGACTGTATTTTGGGGGCGAAACAGGCAGCCAATTGCTCACAGCAGCATTCCCACAAACAGTCATGGACTGAGTAACCAAATTATTATTATATATTTTGTTTTTGAAGGGATTGTTAACCCCAGAAAGCGATCCGTCAATCGACTAACCACTGGGTTCCTCCTATTTACCTCTGGGTAAACGGAGACATGTGCAGTAAGGAAACTTGCCCAATGTTTCATCCTGCCCGGGAATCAAACCCAGGTCCTCTCGCTTAATAATAAAAATAATAATCCTTGCATTTGATGTCTTCTAGACGTCTCAAAGCGCATCACAGAAGTAAAGTGAATTGACTGTATATTTGTGGGCGAAACACAGCAGCCAATTGTACACAGCAGCGTCCCACAAACCGTCGGGGATTGAAGTGACCAATTTATTTATTTTTCTTGAGGGATCATTATCAGGTGTGTGGAGTAAGGAAATTTGCCCAAGGTTTCTCCCTGGCCTGGAATCAAACCCAGGTCTCCCACTTGCGAGACGAGTGCTCGAACCACTGAGCTACAAGACTCTGTGGAGCATTTGTTAATCTGTAAAGAAAATATGTGATACCTTCAAGATACAGATAGCGGTGAGTGTGAGCCGGATTCCTGACGGTGGGTTCTGCATTGTCTTCAAGAGTGTGATATCACTGGCCTTCAGTGTGTCCAGGGCTGCAATAGCAGCATTCAGAGCAGGCATCGCCACACTCAGCTTCTGCTCACATTCAACCTGGGGAACATACAGCACAGAGTAGGTAAACACAGACGCATGTGTGTGTGTGCCTGTGCATGTGTGGAGTAAGGTAACTTGCCTAAGGTTACGCTCTGCCTGGGAATTGACCCAGGTCTCTCGCTCACGAGGCAAATGCTCTAACCACTGAGCTACAGGACTCCACATTTAATTGGAAAATGGAACATTTAGCATTTGATCTTGGGGATGAGGTTAGAGAAACAATGAACCTTTGTGGCACTTTCTCCTTTCATCGCACGCCAAAGTGGTGACAGTGACCCAAGTGGCCAGGAAATCAATACAAATACAATTGCGTACCTGATTTCTGCCTGACCAACATCAGATGATCGAGGATAATTTGTCGCCTCTAATATTAAATTTGCGCACACGAAAAAATATCATAAAGTTTCTTCTCTGTGTCTCAGTTAGGTGAGAGAGATTCCTTTCCATTGCTTTCCCGAAACAGGTTGAATGTTTTTTTTAAATCAAAGCACAATATAATTTAATATAAATGACTGTTTGTGGGACGCTGCTGTGCGCAATTGGCAGCTGCATTTCGCCCACAAAACAGTCAATTCACTTTACAGTATATTCTGTGAAGCGCTTTGAGACGTCTCTAATATCCGAGGCAACAAATTATCGTAGATCATCTGATGTTGGTTGGGGCAGAAATCACAAAAAGAAATTATTTAAAAAAAATTATTATACATTTTTTTTGAAGGGATTATTGCTTTCAGAAAAACAATCCACCAATCGACGAACAACCGGATTCCTACTGACTGCTGGTAAACAGAGGCGTGTGGGGTAAGGAAACTTGCCAAATGTTTTGCCCTGCCCGGGAATCAGACCCAAGTCCTCTCGCTTGCGAGGGCTCTAACCACTGAGCTACAGGACTAATGTTTTGCCTAATGGATGTGCAGCCGCTGAATGTAATAGCATTTGATTATGAAGCACAGGCAGCAGCACTTAAATCTATTTACCTTAATAGCTCTTGCTTCTTGGGCAGCTTTGTTGGCTGTTGCCTCATCTGTTTCTACAAGCCTCTTCACCACTTCCACCTCTTGTGTCTCATCAGCAATGATTTTCACCAGCTCCTCCGTCTCCCGGCTCCGCTCCATTAACAGAGGCTTCAACTCTGTTAGCTCCCGCTGCATGATGGTGATCTGAGCGAATACATCCCAATAATAGTCATCCTGTCTCCTGTGTAACACGCCATGTTAGTCTAATTACTAAAATAGCTATAGTTAAGGTTCGAATCTTCAAAGAAGATATAAAGCTGGGGCGGGAGCTTGTGTTTTCTGAACCATACTTAAAACATAATAATAATGATAATAATTTGATATAGATGCTTATCACATCTTTGAGATATCTCAAAGTGCTTCAGTCAATTCACTTTACAGTATATTCTCTGAAGCACTTTGAGACGTCTCGAAGACGTGATGAGGCGCTAAATCAAATGCGAGGATTATTATTATAATATAGCACCCTTGACACAGAGTAGCACCTCAGAGCGCATTAACCTTATACTTCATTTAAACTTACCTGCGAAGCTGCAAAGTCTATCTTTTCCAGTCCAACCAGGTATCTGTTCTTGTTGGTCAGCAACTCAAGCCTCTTCCTTTCCAGCAGGTTTTTAAATATCTTTATCAATTCGAGGTAGGACGTGGGGGTGATGTAAGTTATTCTTTGGAGAGATTCATAGAACCTGAAGATAGAACATACAATAAATTCTCTTTGTATCTACAGCCAAGTTTAACAGTATCTTTACATGTAAAATCTCCTCGACCTGTTTGATCGCATCCCTCCAGAATGTCCACTCCTGTGTCCACCCTTCACAACATCAAGCTCTGTCTCCCTCCCTGGTCACCGATTCCAGTTGTTAATTACTGTCTGACTAAAGAAACACTTACTAGTGTCTGACCTGAAATTACAACTCTAAACCAGTATCACCTTACTCTGCTGTCTCAATGCATTTGAAACTAATTATAATAATATTTATAATCCTTCCATTTGATATAGTGTCTTATCACGTCTTTGAGACGTCTCAATGCACTTCACAGGATATACTGTAAAGTGAATTGACTGTATATTTTAGGGTAATACATCTTTGGGTAATACACAAATTGAGGTGCATTTTATATGTTCCATATTCCCTATATTATCTAATTCATGCCATCACACTGTGTAGCTTTGCGGTGCAGTGAAACATGGATTGGTGCAGTTTCTCAAAAATAAATCTTAACTCAAACACAATGTACATTTGAAGAGTGGCTGACAAACAAACAAACACCTTTCAGACAGCGCCACGACGCTCTGATGGAAGTGTTTACACATAAACACGGCTTCATTCTGGATTTCCTGTGACATTTCCACATCATCCAGGAAGTGATTGGCGACCTTCTCCAAGGCATCTTCAGGCCACGCCTACAACACACACACCCACATTGTCATTCAGCGATTACAGCCTAGCTCAAATATTACAGGCAGTCAATAATAATAATAATCATCATAATAATAACAATCCTGGCCTTTGATATAGCAGCTGATCACGTCATCGAGACGTCTCAAAGCGCTTCACATATATACTGTAAAGTGTAGTGACTGTGTATTCTGTGGGTGAAACGCGACAGCCAATTGCGTCCAGCAGTGAGTGTCCCACACACAGTCATGGATTGTGTGAGCACATTATTATTGCTATTGTTAACCTGTGAAAGTCATGTATCTATTCCACATCAGCTTTTCACTTTCAGGTAAGTGAAGCAATGCTCTTATTAGCCTCTGAGTTGAGCTCCTGCCCCCGAGGTACCTGGAACCAGTCAATGGTGCAGCAGTTGATCAGGGAAGGAAACTGTCGGAGGCGGTTGCGGAAGGCGTCCCCAATGGGGCTGAAGGCCAGTACAACATGTAGGTTCTGTCTGATCCTCTCAGTGAAGGTGCTGTAATTGTGCTGGGGAACAGCCTCCAGTTTGGATTTTTCAACTGGAACTGGAAGTTGTCGCATCTGTCAATACGGCATAACATTCCCTTGTTACAAATAACACAATATACTTTTGATGTATTTAATAATAATAATATAATAGTCTAAAATACTCTATAATAGCCTGAAAATCCTACATTACAGAGTAACGTAGCAGCTTATGTTTGTCACAGCAGATATTGTAGATTAATTGTGCATTAGTGAAAGTTCACGAGTGAAAGAACAGAGAGTTTGAATGAAACAGTATTCCTCAGCTTCTTAGCCTCGACAACATCACAGCAAACATCCCACACTTACCTTTTCAATTATTTCCCGCTTTTCTTCATTGTCAAATAAATTGGGGATGTCACCAGTGTTGAGAATCATATTAATGTCTTCCAAAAAGGCTTTGTTCTGTTAAAGAGTGGGCAGAGGCAGCGTATTAGAGTCACTCAGACCAAGGATACAGTGGACAGACAGACCTTCTATTGAATTAATTTAAAGTTTACAATAACGGAGGTGCAGAATAATAATAATAATAATCCTTGCATTTGATACAGCATCTTATCACATTGTTGAGACGGCTCACACACTTCACAGGATACACTGTAAAGTGAGTTGACTGTAGTTTGTGGAAGCTAATTGCTTGTACACAGCAGTGTCACTCAGTGTTGTTGAGTACCAAATTATTATTATTATTATTGAAGGGTTTATTACCCCCAGAAAAGCGATCCACCAATCGACTAACAACCAGGTTCCTACTTACTGACTAGGTAAACAAAGGCGTGTGGAGTAAGGAAACTTACCTAAGGGTTCGCCCTGCCCGGGAATCGAACCTGGGTCCTCTCGCTTGCTCTAACCACTCCGCTACAGGACTCCACATATAATTACCATTTGTCACAGAAGCAATCCTGCAAACGTAGCAGTGATCACCATTTCTCGTTACCTTAATCTGATGATCAGCAAACAGGAAGACGGTAGAGATGCCATTCTGTCCTGCTCCACGTAACACCTTCTTCAGGTCGTCCATCCACTCTGACAAGGTGTATGTTTTCTGGATACTGACCTGGAAGATCTCACTGTCAGACATAAACGCTGCCAGTCGTGTTGCTGATTGCCGTCCACTGCCTCCAATACCTGATATTTAACCACAACAACAACGCACATTTATACAGCGTAGAATTTGAGCCTAGGATGTGAACACCAGCCAATTTCTAGGAATCTTGACTTCCCAGTTCTCAACATGACTTACCAACCAACAGAGCGTGTCCACTGGGCTGTTTGAGCACCCTGCTGATCCTGGAGATGTGCTCAATAGCAAAGGAAAACATCACCAGGTCCATTGGAGCCTTACTGACAGTGTTCAATTCCTCCAGGTAGCACTCGATGGTCTAAAGGAGGAACATTAAGAAGCAGAGCTGAGCGCTGTGTGTGTAGAATGGCTTGAGGTGGCCCTGTTTATAGTCTGTGTTACCAGCTACTCCAGGGCCAATTGACTCTCATTGACTTACATGTTTTAGCTCACTCATGTCCAGTATCTCATTGTATCTTTTCTTTGTTTTTCCACCGCTTTTTGGTGACATATAATCTCCAAAGAAGAGATTGCGCATGTCATCATCATCCAGGTCCCGGCCAATCACAATGTGACCAAACAGGTTGTTGATTTTTTCTTTAAACTGAGTTTGTACCACATTCTGGGGTGAAAAGGGAAGTGATTTCAACATCTGATCTCATCTGATCAATAACACAACATTGCCCTCAACTCCCTTCTCCCTCATGTATAATAATCCTTGTATTTGATACAGCGCCTTATCGTTGAGACGTCTCAAAGCGCTTCACAGAATACACTGTATATTTTGTGGGTGAAAAGCGGCGGCCAATTGCGCACAGCAGCGTCCCACAAACAGCCGTGGATTGAGCGACCAATTTGTTATTATTTTTTGGAGGGATTATTACCTCTCGCTGGCGAGGCAAGTGCTCTAACCACTACACTACAGGCCTCCACATTACATATTTGATCTCATGTGTGCATTGTGTTCTTATAAATACATTGACCTTCAAAGTATTGCTTGAGTTTTTAATCCTGTGAATGTTTGAGTGTGTGAGGAACATAATGAAGAAAAAATAAATACCTTGACAATTTGGAAAAACAGCTTCCTGTCCTGACTGTCCACCAGCCTGTCACAGAAGACACGATAGACCTCATGGATCCAGAGACGCATCAGTTTATGATCTCCCTCGATGCCTTGAGGGACGCAATCGGACTTTAACAGGAGCAGCCCCTGCAACGACAACAACAACAACAACAAACCTGGCATTTAAATCTAACCTCTGTGACCTCCTCCCTACCTCTGTGACCTGCTGACCCCACATCCCTGTCCACTCCCTCCACTCAACGGGCTCTAGTCTGCTGCACGTCCCCACCTGGCCCACCCCACGGTCGGCGGTTGGGCCTTCAAAGTCTCTGCCCCACCCTCTGGAACTTTGTTTCTTCCTTCAAGGCCCACCTCTTCGACCTCGTGTTGGGTCACCCTCCTGCCCCCACCCTCCCTGCCCTCCCCTCCTCCTGATCCCAACCCCCAGCTCGGGTCCAAATTCCTAACTGTCCAGAGCCTTGGAATGTCCTCCTGATGTGAAAGACGCCGTGTAAATGTCCTGTGTTGTTGTTGTTCTTAACAAATGCCTGCAGATCAGATTAATCTCAGCACTGGGACCACTAAAAACAACATGTTGGGTGTCATTAGGATCATTTAATTACTAATTGTTCTGAGATTGCATTACCTGAATCACCCTGGAGAAATCCCTTAGATTAAATATATAATGTGATTTTGATGGCGTTGGTAGGAAAATATCCACGGCTTGATTATACACTTCTGTTGTTGCCCAGACCAAAATCTGCAAATGATAGATAAAGCATGTAATAATAATAATATTCCTTGCATTTGATGCAGCGCCTTATCACATCATTGAGATGTCTCAAAGCGCTTCACAGAATATGCTATAAAGTTAATTGACTATTTTGTGGGTGAAACACGGCAGCCAATTGCGCACAGTAGTGTCCCACACACAGTCGTGGATTGAGCGACCACATTATTATTATATTTTTTTGAAGGGATTATCACCCCGGAAAGCGATCAGCCAATCGACTAACCACCTGGTTCCTACTTGCTGCTGGTAAACAGAGGTGTGTGGAGTAAGGAAACTTAACCAATGTTTCTCCCTGCCCGGGAATCGAACCCAGCTCTCTCGCTTGCCAGGCGAGTGCTCTAACCACTGAGCTACATGACTCCACGAGATATGCTGGCGTGTCATTTCCTACCCTGGAATATCTCTTGCGGGAAACATCGAATCCCCTGTTGAAATGCCAGTCCACAACAGGCTGGAAAATGGTCTTCATGGTGTCCTCACTGAAGGCGTCGATCGAGATGATGTTGAAATGTCTGAGAAGGCGAGGGGTGATGGTGTGCCGGCCACCACCTGGTGGAGCCATCGCTGCGACCACCGACATGTCCTGGACCTTCAAAATACTCAGGTCTTTCCTGGAGTCACAGGATACATTGGTCAGGCAGTGATTGCTGCTAAACACTACACAACAACAACAACACATGACATTCACACAGCAGGAGATCTCCAGGACGCTATCCTGCGTGAAGGGCGCTATATAAATGCAAGTTGTTGTTGTTGTCCCAAGGTGCTGGACAGTCAGGGATTTGGACCCGAGCTGGGGATTGGGATCAGGAGGGCTGGAAGGTGGGGGTAGGAGGGAGGCCGAAGGCGAGGTCGAAGAGGAGGGTCTTGGTCTTGAAGGAGATGGGGAGGCAATGGTTCTTGCAAATGCATTCTCATTATTTCTGCAGCAGTGACTAGATTTCAGTTCCACGCTATTCCCTGCCCAGCAACAAACTGATTAATTTCTGCTAGAAAATAATATCTGTGGATACAGTGAATAGTCTGGAACACGACATGTCAAGCGTTGGCCAGGATGGTGGAAGGTGAACTAGATGGACCTTGATCTTCTTTTATTCAGCAAATTCTAGCTGAGGAACAATCATTTACTGTACCTGTCAAACCAGTAACCGTGGTCCATCCACTGCCTCAAGAGTTCAACTGGGGGCTGAGCCCCGTATTTCTCCTTGGCGGGCATGTTTAGGTCATCAACAAACACACAGACCCATTTTGTTGGCTGCGCTCCATACACGCTCTTCCTCCGCCTGTTAATGGAAAGGATTGTGCCTGTCATTACTCCTGCGTTCAGACATTTCAAGCATTTAATCTGGTACCTGATCCAGAATGGTTTCATTCATGATCAACGGCTCTGTAGCTAGAAACAGATACACTCAGCATGGCTGAGACACAAAGGTAATGGGAATGCTCTCTCTCTCTGACTCTGACTCTCGCTCTCTCTCTTCATTGCTGGCTTCAGCATTCATCATATTTATACAAAAGTGTTCTTGCAAATGTATTCCCATTATTTCCACATCAGTGACTAGATTTTAGTTCCACACTATTCCCTTCCCAACTGAGCTAATAGTCTATGAATAAACTGGTGGTGTTAAATGCCCTCGATTACACTTGTCTGGGTACATTCTTGAATATAATCATCATTAATCTAAATTTACAGCAGCAACTAAAACCTTACTAAGGGCTTTGCTGCCTCAATGGGGAGTTTGGGAGCTTCTCTGATCATGGCTAGCTCCTTGCTGCCCAATTACCCTCAGCCCTGGATGTCACATCTGCTGCCCCACCGACTTTTGCAACCGAAAATCGTAATAATAATAATCCTTGCACTTGTTATAGCGCCTTATTGCGACGTCTCAAAACGCTTCACAGAATATACTGTAAAGTGTAGTGATTGTATATTTTGTGGGTGAAATACAGCAGCTAATGTCCCACAGTCATGGATTGGGTGACCAGATTATTATTATTTATTTTCAAAGGGATTATTACCCCTGGAAAGGATTATTATTATTATTATTATTATCTATTGCTGAGAGTTGTGAGGGCAATGAGAAGGGATGTACTTCTCAAGCCTGGTCAGGATGATGTCCTGGGTCTGACTAGCTGAGGTCTGGGCTGAGAAGTTGATCTGACAGATGGCATGTTTGTCAGGATGGAGCTGGCGGAGAAAGCTGTTGGTGATGACGGTTTTCCCAGTGCCTGTTGGCCCTATAAACAGTAATGGCTTGTCTCGTAGCAGCAACTTCTGTAGGAAGTACGTCTGCACGGCTGTCTGTGTGGTGCTGACAATGATATCACTGAGCTGCGGAGAAGAGAGAAAGAGAGGCATCAATCAAACTCACACCGCAACAACAACAACAACTCGCATTTACAACTGGCAGAGGGCACCATGGAAATGCCTTTGTAAATAACCGGCAGGAACGGAAATAAATTGTATGTTTTGAGCTCACAGTTCCCCAATCATTAGGCGCTGGGCTGAGTGGCCAACATTATCAATAAGGTGATAGTGTGACCTTCATATGGAAAATATTCTACAATTCGTATAATTCTTTTGAAAGTCAAATGAATCCTTTGCTGGATTACTTTGTAACCAGTAAATTAAAGTGAAGTTTGACTCTACTTTGCTCAGTTGGAAACCCATTAAATCCCTGGACTCGCTGCTAAAGTGACGATAATTCAGTTATTAAAATCATATTGTAATATAGCATTGTCATAAAAACAGCTGGATTGGATTCATTTTTAAATCTGCTGCCCACAAGACACTTCTGTCATTCTAATTCCTTTCATCCTCGGCTGCCACAGCCCGAGAGAGCATTAAAACCTGGATTATTCACGCTTTGCATTTACAAAGTTCAGCTAGAAACTGAAATTAACTTTGCACGTCTTCAAAACATCTCAAAGTGCTTCACAGAATATACTGTAAAGTGAATTGACTGTTTTTAATTTGTGGGCGAAACACAGCAGCCGATTGCTCACAGCAGCGTCCCCACAAAAGGTCGTGGATTGAGTGACCAAATTATTCTTATTATTGTTTGGTGGGAAGGGATTATTATCCCTGGAAAAGTGATCCGCCAGTCGACTAACAACTGGGTTCCTACTTACTGCTGGTAAACAGAGGCGCGTGGAGTAAGGAAATTCGAATTCAGGTCCTCTCGTTTGCGAGGCAAGTGCTCTAACTACTATTCTATTTGTAGGTACAAGAGCAGCAATAAAGCAATTGGTCATGTGTAATTCTATGATTGTATGTGTTCAAGAAAGAACAATTTAATGAGGAGAATCACAAACATAAAAATAGGAAAATCTTTTCAAATTGTGCAATATTACAGGCAAGAGCAGGTTTAACCATTCACATGGCAAGACAGTGAGAGAATAGTGTCATTGGCACCAGTCAAATATTCTAAACTAGGATGTGGATCTCAGTGGTCAAACTTACCCTCAAGTGTAAGCCTTGTTCATCAGTCTGTGGCCAAATGAGGGAACGAAGGTACGAGACATCAGCACATCAAACACAACAGCAGAGACGTCACAGCACAAAAAGGGAATAAGTTACCCAGCAGCTTTCTCATTCTCTCTTTACCTTTCACTAACATTCAGTACATCAGACATTTAATCCGATTCATTTTTATCCGGAACACTCACATTATTCTTCCCTTAATATAGGCAATAAATCCTTCTTCATTCATAAAGCTTTCACACAATTATTCACATGGAAATGTATTGAGCATCCGCAATATAAATGTTTATCAACTTTTAACGTAGTTTAACATCAATAATAATAATATAATAATCCTTGTGTGAAGGGCACTATATAATAATAATAAATAATAATCCTTGTGTGAAGGGCACTATATAGTAATAATAAATAATAATCCTTGTGTGAAGGGCACTTTATAATAATAAATAATAATCCTTGTGTGAAGGGCACTATATAGTAATAATAAATAATAATCCTTGTGTGAAGGGCACTATATAATAATAAATAATAATCCTTGTGTGAAGAGCACTATATAAATGCAAGTTGTTATTGTATAACATTCACATACTTTGGGAGTTGAAGGGCTTTCAATTGCAGGAGTAACTTCTCAAGCAAAGGGAATTTTAATCTTCTCTGTGTTCCGTTTCTCCTCTCTCTGTAATTATCATGTGACAGCTCACAATGTATTGACATTTGCCTCTTACATTTTACACTCAGTGAATTTCAAGCGTAAAGTACTCGATTAATGTGCAGAGATTTGTTTTTCGGATCAATATTGTGATGTCACTATTTGTCGAAGTCTTTCATAATGTTGAATCATTGTCCCCGTCCTGCTCTGCTCCATCACAACCCAATTTCATGGTATTTCTGCAACTTCTGAACCGTACACACAAGGTGAGGTCAACCGTGACTGAGAAAATAAGATTCAATCAAGATTTTGCTTCAGAGATCCTAATGTTCAAGGCACCGCAAACTGGGTCTGCAGCTCGTATCTAATCTGATTCCAATCATGAGCAAGACCTCAAAATACCACAAACAGTCGTGGATTCAAGTGACCAATTTAGTATTATTATTATGTTTTTTTGAAGGAATTATGATCCTTGGAAAAGCGATCCGCCAATCGACTAACGACTTGTGAGGCGAGCGCTCTAACCACAAAGCTCTAGGACTTATCTCATCTTCGAGACGTCTCAAAGCGCTTCACAGGATATACTGTAAAGTGAATTGACTGTATATTTTGTGGACGAAACGCGTTTGCTTCAGTGTTTAATTCTGAAAAATCTTTCACACTCAAGATAAAGGCTTATAAATCCATACCTTAATATTCTGCTCAATGTTGACAGGAGTAACTAATTCTTTCCACATGTACCAGGATGAAAAGGCCTTCCTAAGGTACACATAGTCATAGACGCTGCCCTTTTTAGGAATCTGTAAACCTCGGGGGAATTTTAACTCTTTCGGTCGTGGATACCTGGAATCCCGCTCACAGAGATTTTTGAAGAAATCGCTGAAGCTGCAAGTGAGATTATTGATATCAGTGGAACGTCTCACACATTGGATTCTTAGTTTCCAAGGTAGAGCTTAAACAAATGTCATACATTCTGTTGAACAAATAAGATATAAAAGCAATAATAATAATCCTTGCATTTGATATAGAGCCTTATCAAAGCGCTTCACAGAATATACTGTACCCAGGATGTTACCTCTGTTTGGACGATGGGTCGAGAATCCCACCAATGGACCAGACAATAGAGAAGAAGCCATAAGCCACCAGTGTGTGTGTGATCTCCTCCATCTGTTTGTGTTTTATAGCAGAGAATCTCTTGTGATCTGTCACCTGCACAGTGTGAAACATGTCCTCCTCCTGCTCACCCTGATCTTCAGAGAAGCTACAAGAGAAAAAGGAACCAGTTGTAATCTCCCACAATAACAACAACAACTTGTATTTACACAGCGCCCTCACACAGGGCAGCGCCCCAGAGCGCTGGACAGTGGCGGAGGACGACACCGAGCCGGGGGGGAGGGGGAGGTGACTGTAGCCACGGTCGAAGAGGAAGGTCTTCAGGAGTGACCTGAAGATGGGGAAGGAAGGGACCAGGCGGAAGTCTATTTAGTCACACACATTACCTGATATCTTGCAGCAGACTCTCATACACCTTCAGCATGGAGGCTGTCAGATGCATTGGTGACGACTGCACCACACATTTGCACCTTTTGTGAACAAAATCGAAACATGGAGGAAGCAGCCAGTCACACAGGGTCTACAGAGAGTAACAAGATAATGTTATCTGCACAAAACAACAATAAATGACTTGTGTAAACAACCCTTCATATCAGGAGGACGTCCCAAAACGCTGGACAGTCAGTGTTTTGGACCCGAGATGGGGTCAGGGTCGGGGAGGGTGGATGGCTGGGGGGAAAGGAGGGAGATCAAAAGCATGGTCGAAGAGGAGGGTCTTGAGATGGGTCTTGAAGGTGGCAGCGGAGGGGGTGAGATGGAGGGGACGAGGTGGAGGGACTGTGGGATGGAGTTCCAGAGAGTGGGGGCAGAGTGGCAGAAGGCCCGCCCGCCAATGGTGGGGCGAGCGAGATGGGGGACGTGAAGCAGGCCAGAGCCCGCTGAGCGGAGGGAGGGAGCAGGATGGTAGGGGGGAGCAAGACCATGCAGGGCTTTGAGGATCAGGACCTTGAACTGTATCCTCTGTGTGATGGGTTGCCAGTGGAGTCAGGCGAGGATGGGGGTGATAGGGTTGCAGAGCCTGGTGCGGGAGAGGACACGGGCTGCAGAGTTCTGGATGATCTGCAGCCTGTGGAGGGAGGAGAGCGAGTCATGCCACGGGTGTGGGAGGGTCAAGGTTCTGGCGCCCTGTGATGGCCTCCCGATGTGGCTGTATAACTGTCATTTGTTGCTGTACTTTGCAAAATGAAAATTGCTTGAAACATTATAGAGGACTCTGTGGAATCCTGGGTATAAAGCGGATGATCACCTGAACCAGGTGCTTTTGTTCTGCCATCAGTTTGCCGGGCAGTTTGGTGTCCAGCCAAGACTGCACTAATGGCTCCCAGCCCAGATTCATTGGTTCCATATAGATCATCCCACATCTGCGTAGGGAAACAACAACAACAACAAATAACACTTGTATATCGAGCGTCCTGCATGTCAGAAAGACGTCCCAGGGCACTACATTGACCCGAGCTGGGAGTTGGGGTCAGGAGGGGTGGAGGGCAGGGAGGGTGGAGGTGGGAGTGGGAGGGTGACTGAAGGCGTGGTTGAAGAGGAGGGCTTTTAGGCAGGACTTGAAGGAGGCAAGAGAGGGGATGAGGCAGAGAGGTAGGCTGGGCGGGGGGACGTGGAGCAGGGCAGAGCCCGCTGAGCGGAGAGAGGAAGGAGCGGATAGTTCTATATGGGGTTAGCAGGTCACAGAGACAGACCTTCACTGAGAGAGAGGACAGGGGAGAGGGGCAGAGTCTCCTCACAAGGTGGGAGGACAGATTAGGAAAAGCCATTGGAGGTGATTGTATGCCATGTCTAAACCCCATCCATAGAGGGAATTACTGATCCCCTTAATTATGTAATTAAATAACAATCAAGATGATTTATTAATTATGAAGTGAATAAACAATTATTTTTTATCGTTGTTAATTACATCATTTGAAACAGAATGACATAATTGGACCCGGAAGGATTAAAATGAGGATTCCTTGGCCTTATCGTACACATTTGTTTATGTGAAGGAATCATAAGATTCCTCTGGAGATTGTGCTTGATTTCCGGAATGCATGTGTGTTCATTTCATCTTCAGTCTCACATGATTTCACTACTTCTGGATTCTTACACCCCGACTCGTAAAGCTCCGATCATGTCTAATTACAATCCATTTACATAATGAGCAACAATGCACTCAAACACAGATTGGAGCCAAACAAGTCATTAGCAGATATAATGTGAATCATGAGATGGCATTTTCTTACGTGGAGTCCTGTAGCGCAGTGGTTAGAGCGCTCGTCTCACAAGCAACAACAACAACAACAAAAAGGACCCAGGTTTGATTCCCAAGTAGGGCAAAACATTGGGCAAGTTTCCTTACTCCACACCCACACACGCCTCTGTTTACCTCACAGTAAGTAGGAACCTGGTTGTTAGTCGATTAGTGGATCACTTTTCCGGGGGTAATAAACTCTTCAAAACAAAAAATAAAATAAATAATAATAATTATTATTCTGCTCCTGTCTTTATGATGACAATTGTGGGACTTGCCTGCTGACTGTGGCAGGAGATGCTTGCTCAAGGTCTAACACCTCAAAGATGATATTCTGCTGGGAGCTCATCTGAATAATCTCTCCACTCATCAGGCACAGCTGCAGGATACAGGGTAGACTTCAAATTAATAGACAATGAACAATAAATGCAAATGAAATCATGAGTCACTTAAATACCAACATGCTGAATAATCTGCCTGATAATTAACAACAAAAGTGTTAACGGTTTACAGGATTATCATAACAAGTGTGGACATAAATAATGTAATCTGTGCCAACTGTGTTCCACGTTTATAAAACACACACAGTGTTGTCCTCTACCTAAAAATATTATATTAATAATATTATCATTATTATTATTAAAAGGAAAGGGTTATCTGACATTTTTTAGTTCAAATTGATTCCTTGGATTGTACACAAAATAATCGAAAAGCATTGAATCTTATTGTAATGATCTCTGTATTATTTTACATTATTAATGCAACAACAACTTGTATTTACACAATGCCCTTCACGTGGGGCAAGGTCTCGGAGCGCTTCACAGTAGCAGAGCCTGACACCAAGCCGGGGGGGGGAAGGTGACTGTAAACATGGTTGAACAGGCAGATCTTTAATAGTTGTCTAAAAGAGGGGAAGGAGGGAACGAGGCGGAGAGCTTGAGGGAGAGAGTTCCAAAGTTTCAGGGTGAACAGTAACATAGACTTTAAATAACACTTGAAAACAAATCCTTTTAATTTCACTATTAAGTTGGAAAGATCAACTGGATATCAAAATGGGTCTTCCAACAAGTCTGTCAGAGAACAGGAGGGTTTGGAAACAAGTTGATATGTGTCTGAAGGGAAATGCATGAAAATCCAGCCCTGCTTTGAAACTTTGTTTTTACCTTTTTGTTGTCATCAAGAACTGTGTTCATATTTTCCACCCACACAGCGTCCACAGGACCATCAAAGATACACCATTTTCTGTCTTTGGTGGGACTGGTGGCATGATCTCGGAATACATTTGCCAAAACTCCTAACAGAACCAAACCATTGCCACAAGTTAGTCCAACATCTCTGACACATTTATAATAATTTATAATGATAATACACATATTTGATATAGTGCCTTTTCACATTTTCGAGACATCTCAAAGTACTTCACAGAATATACTGTAAAGTGAAATTGACTTTATATTTTGTGGGAGAAAAACGGCAATCAATTGCACACAATATAACGCCTTATTACATCGTCAAATGTCTCACAGTGTTTGCAGTGAAGTGTAGTGACTATGTCTTGGTTGGTGAAGAAATTAGAAATATTTGAGAAAGATTTATAAAGGAGTAAAATGGAGAGAAGGGGAAAGGCACAAAACAAAAGGGAATGGCTTTAGCATGAGATTTAATTGTACTTTACATTTTGTAAAAAAGCTTGGACATTTCACATTTTAAACTAGGGAGCTCAACTATTCTTAAATCCTGTTGGGAAATGAGATTATAATTCAAATAAAATTGTACTTATTCCTTTATATCCCAACAGACTAGCGCAGTTCATTTTGCTGCATGTTTAATTGCCTTTTGCTCTGTGAACGCAAAAAGGTAGCGTAAAGCCTTCAATGAAATGTAATCAGTCTTTAGTTTGGATTCTTATTACTTTTATTGACGTTTTGCTGCTTGCCAGATGAGCTATGAGAGAAGTTTAAGAAAACATTCAGAAAAAGGTCAAAAACAGAACATTATTACAGGTCAAATAATCAATCTCAACAACAGGACCGTGCGATTAGGATAAAATAATAGCCCACATGCCTGTGAGAATCCAATCACTCCAGGACTAAACCTGAATTCTACACGGGTCTAAATGAGAGATTGTAATCATAGAATCACAGAACCATAGAATCGTACAGCACAAAAAGAGGCCATTCAGCCCATCAAGTCTGTGCGGCTCTTTGAGAAGAGCAATGTAATGTCCCCGGCCCTTTCCCCATAACCCGCAAACCCGTCCTCCTCAAATAAGCGTCCACCGCGTTTTTAAAAGTAGTTATCGAATCGGCCTCGACCGCCCTTTCAGGCAATGTTCCAGATTCGAACAACTCGGTGCGTGAAGCAATGTCTTCTCCCCTCCCCTCGGCTTCTTTTAGAGACTATTTTGAATCTGTGACCTCGAGTCACCGACACACCCACCAGTGGGAACAGTTTGTCCCTTTCTAACCTATCAAATCCCCTCATGATTTTGAAGACCTCTATCAGGTCCTCGTAACCTTCTCTGCTCCAATGAGAATAATCCTAACCTCTCCAGCCTTTCCTCATCATCACGGTCCCTCATTCCTGGTACCATCCTCGTAAATCTGTGTAATCACTACATTTCAATATATATCTGCGTAAGAACATCAGATTTACTAGATGAAAGAAGACCAAGGTCCATCCAGTTCATATTCCACCATCCTGATTGTCGTTATAAAAATAATAATTTGTTCACTCAATCCAGGACTGTTTGTGGGACGCTGCTGTGTGCAATTGGCTGCCACATTTCGTCCATAAATATGCAGTCAATTCAGTATATTTACAGTACATTCTGTGACTCGCTTTGAGCTGTCTCGAAGACATGATAGGGCTCTATATCAAATGGAAGAATAGTAATAATATTATTATTATAACTAGTTTATGTTCAGATTGCTTGTTTTTTATGGTAATTACCAAGGCATCTAGTTGTGTTACATTCAACTGGACCAAATAGACACAACTGTGAGTATCTTACTCACCATCACTCCATTCGTGTGAAATTGGGTCAAACCTGCCGTAGAGCTGCCCCATGGTGATGGCCTTGGGGTTGATGATGATGTATTGCACTCTGTGTTCATTGTTCAAGTTCCTCACCTCCAGGTGCCCTAACACCCCGGCCAACACCTTCAATGCACAAGTCTTCCCTCCCAGGGGACTTCCCACCAGCATAAAGCCGTGTCTCACCAACATCATCTCATAAACCTGATCACAGAGAGAATTTAATTTACCCACAAAATACACAGTCACTAGACTTTAAAGTACATCCCGTGAAGCGTTTTCAGACGTCTCAACGACGTGATAAGGCACTGTATCAAATGCAAGGATTATTATTATCATTATTATTGGTTGGGACCATACATTTAATATGCAAAGTGTGAGTTTTGTTAAACTTGTATAGAATATAAACTTTTGATCGGGACTTGGGCAGACGTACAACTTAGCGATTACATGATTTACACTGATCATACTTATGTCAGTTTTACTGTACAGTTTGTGGTTTCCTGTAGCCTTAAAGCCAGTTGTTATATAACCTGTTTGAAATGGGGGTTAAATGGTGTGTCTTTGCTGTGTTCTTCGCGTTCATTTGTCGAGGTCAGTGCTTGTGAGGATGTGAGGAGGAACAGGCTCATTATCAATGAAAACATGGAACAGGAAAGGCCATCAAATGGTTCCTGCTCTGGACAGTTTGTCTGATCGAGGGCTCAACCCACTGATTTCCTGTCCTTTGGGAGATGACTAATCACAGGATCATCTCCAACATGAGGAAGCTCAGTGACTCCAGGCCAGTCAGCAGAGCTCCAGCGCAAGAGTTTAGCATTCCATCTGTTACCTCTGACCTATTAGTGTCCCCAGCTCAAAAGTCTGTCTTGCCACAAGTCCCAGGCCTGCACAAACTGTAATATAATAATATACATTAATCATCCTCACATTTGCTGTAGCGCCCTATCACATCTTCAAGACGTCGCAAAGCGCTTCACACTGTGAGGTAGATAAGGGTTAATAGGGTGAATATTTGGGTTCATGCAGAGGGATCACAGGTGGTTGGAGCCATTCAGAGAGTCTGTTGAATCTGTTATCAATCTGTTTATCTCTCTTCAGCTGTAAAAATGTAAATTTAGTACTTTCGGTTTATGTTAGATTTTGTGAGTTAATGGGTTTTATGGTCCTGTCGGAATCCTTTAGTCTGAACGATAGTTGAGTTAATAGTTGAGTTAATGTTTTCAAACTGTCAAAGTACAAAGAATTTATTGAAGGAGGTAATCTTAGTCAATCAAAGTATTATATAAAAATTGTGTTTGTTATTTTTGTGTTGAATGCTGCGAATGTGGGAACTTATATATATATTGAATTACATGGATTTAAATAAATAAGAAATATTTTATCAAAAGCCAAGTGTTGGGTGTATTTTGTGAGGCAGCTCTGGCTGGGCACGGATCTTTGACATCATTTGAGAAGAGAAGGATCGCTCCTCTCAGAGTGAAGGAGTGTGTAATTCTCACCCAGAGAAAAGAGTACCGTGACAACAGGATACACTGTAAAGTGTAGTGACTGTATATTTTGTGGGCAAAACACAGCAGCCAATTGCGCACAGCAGTGCCCCACAAACAGTCGTGGATTGAGTGACCAAATTATTATGTTTTTTTGAAGGGATTATTACCCCCAGAAAACTGATTCGCCAATCGACTAACAATCGGGTTCCTACTGACTGCTGGTAAACAGAGGCGTGTGGAGTAAGGAAAATTACCCAATGTCTCGCTCTGCCCAGGAATCAAACCCAGGTCCTCCCGTTTGTAAGGCGAGTGCTCTAACCACTGAGTTACAGGACTCAATGTTCCACAGAGATTGCTTTATCTACATTTAATATTATTCTTATAAACATGAGTTCCCTCCTAAAGCAAATATTCATGTGGTTATTTATTACTATGGTTTAATGTACTAAACCATGACAAAATAATTCCAATCTTTACTCTCACTCGAGGCTTGCAGATTATTTATTCATGCTCTTTCCCTTTGCAGTCAGTTTAAGTGAAATAGCTTCAATCTGTATTTGTGTGAATCAATGGCTCTGAGCATTGCAAAACAGGTTTCCTTTCAATCTTCATTTCACCAATGAACAAGTTTAATCTCTCCTCATAAAGTCTTCGTCATCCTTACTTCTTTCCTCTGAACAGGTTAAGAATTTTTTTTGGTTTTGGTCAGCCGGGTGTCTAACACATGTGGAAACCCATCACCTGCTTAAGAGTCTCCAAACCAAGCTGAGCGTTCCATACGTCCCACCGACTCACGGAAACCCCAGAGTTAGATTGTTGGAATGGAATGCACTCTCTCTCTCTCCCCCTGAAGATTATATTCATAAAGCAGACATCTCTCAAATAGGGCATCCTGCCCTAAGCAGCCAAAAGGTTGGACCCTCCCTGGTAAAATGAAGACTTATTTAGCTGACTACATTTACAAATGCATTTACATTGGTAAAATAGTAAACGTGGATTATAAGTCAAATGAATGTGTTAATTATCATCTGTTCCTTACAGATACATGTTTATAATGTTGAAAACGAGAAGTTAAACCACATGGTTAATGAGATAGGATGAAGTTCCTGACCTGAATGATTTTTTCAATGAACCAAGCTGTTGGCTGCAGATGGAGTTGGTGAATGGTGTGTCTGATGGAGAACTCCATGGTCCCATGGTCAGGACTTGGCAACACCACCCCAGGGAACAGGTCACAGATGATGCCGTCGAACAGGGGGATATCGTGGGACAGGAACTGCAATTGGAAATCAAAAATAAATGAGATTATATAATAAAATAATAATCCTTGTGCCTTATCACTTCTTCAAGACGTTTCAAAGCGCTTCACACAATATACTGTAAAGTGAATTGACTGTATATTTGTGGGCGAAACAGGGCAGCCAATTGCGCACAGCAGCGTCCCACAAACAGTTGTGGATTGAAGTGACCAAATTATTATTATTTTTTACTTTTCATAATTAGCCCCAGAAAGCGATCGGCCAATCGACTAACAACCAGGTTCCTACTTGCTGCTGGTAAACAGAGGAGTGTGGAGTAAGGAAACTTGTCTAAAGTTTCACCATGCCCAGGAATCAAACCCAGGTCCTCTCGCTTGCGAGGCGAGTTCTCTAACCACTGAGCTACAGGATTGTTTGAACACAAACTCCTGTAGCTCCACTGAAGTTTTCCTCTCACAGATCAGTACATCATCAAAGTCCACAGAGTGAGTCCCAGGCTCCTGGAAGCCAGTTCTCAATATTCACACTGACACCACTTCTGTAAGAAAGTTAGATAGTGACAGAAACAAAAACACTTTCAAGTTGTCAGTCAGTCAGTCAGTCAGTCACTGTGTAAGAAGCTGCCAGTACCTTAGGCAGATTGACATCAATGATGGACCTCAAGGTAAGAACCTCCTCTCTCTCCTCAGGGTACTTTAGCTTCAGGTTTCCAGCTGCTGTTAGTACTGACTTCACTGCTCTCATCCCATAGTCATAGTGATGCTGTGAGGAAAGCTGGAAAATATAATATTCAATTGATGGACTGAGCACCATTGATTTTGTCAATGACAGCGATATCAATGGCCAAGCTATGTGTGGTTTTAGCTGGTTAGACTCCAGCAGTTACCCCAGCGCACCCCCAACCCTTGGCTCTTGCCAACCTGCACCTAATACTCCCCAGAATTGGGTAAGCAGGATACTTATGATCATAGGATGCCAGTGAAGAGCTTGTACCTGCTCTGAGCACAGCCTGTATGTGGCCACTATCTTGGCAGCGAGGATGCGAGCACTGACAAAGCCCATAGAGTACAGGGAGATCTCAGCAATCAGAGCGTAATCCGGCACCATCATGGCCACTGTACGGAACAGCACCTTGTAAAGTAAGATTGCAAGATATTAGGTTTAACGTAGCACAAATACCACTGATCATAACTCTTCATAATGTGTTGATATCACTGATGTGGAGTCCTGTAGCTCAGTGGTTAGAGCACTCACCTCACAAGTGAGAGAACCCGGGTTTGATTCCTGGTCAGGGCGAAACCTTAGGCAAGTTTCCTTACCCCACGCGCCTCTGTTTACCAGAAGTAGGAACCTGGTTGTTAGTCGATTGACGGATTGCTTTCTGGGGGCTAATAATCACTTCAAAAAACTAAATAAATAATAATAATAATTTGGTCACTCAATCCACGACTGTTTGTGGAACGATGCTGTGCGCAATTGGCTGTCATGTTTCGTCCACAAAATGTACAGTCACTACACTTTACAGTATATCCTGTGAAGTGCTTTGAGACGTCTTGAAGATGTGATAAGGCGTTAAGTCAAATGCCAGGATTATTATTATTATTATCATTATCATGTGTGCTTAGCTAAATGGGGGAATTGTCCCAATCATTAGTGAAATGAAGACATAACTCCCGGAAAAGTGGGTAAACAGCGAGGCGATTGTTTTGTTTGTGGGGATTTTATTGGGGATTTGGAGGGGTTTAATTGGGGGTTTGGGTTAAAACTGTAAACCAGAAGCTCTGAGTGTGCCTTACAGCCATGTGTATCTGTGCTGTATCCCCAACCTGACAAACACAGCTTTCTACACTGCTGAACCAGTGCCACAGGATTGTTCCGAGTTCTGACAGAAGGTCATCGACTGAAACATTAACTCATTTTCCTCTCTCCAATAGCTGCTGCCTGACCTGCTGAGTGTTCCCAGCCACTCGAGTTCTTATCCCACAGTATTGCTTCCTGTCTGGGTTCATTTAGTTTATGATGTGGGGGTAATGACCATATTAACAGGTCATTAGGAGAACATTAAGCAACTCGCACAGACTTTTGCTGGTTGGATGACTCAAGCTTTACTGCTTGGTAGACGCTTGCTGTCCTCTGCAGATTAAACCACTGATCAGTGTGATTCTAATTCTGATTGGCCTTATTGACCGACAGAAGGAAAATGCTTTATTATTATTATTATTATTAATAATCTTTAATCAAAGTTCTTGCATTTGGTGTAGCACGTTATCACGTTGTTGAAACACCTCAAACTGCTTCACATGATATACTGTAAATGGATTGACTGTGCATTTTGTGGGTAAAATGCAAGTTTATACCAGTTTTGAGGCCTGCAATTGAAATCCGAGCCAATTCATCCTTATAACTTTATTATTTTATTCAATATTATTTCTCCCACAAATTATACAGTGAAGCGCTTTGAGACATCTCAACTACATGATAAGGCACTATATCAAATGCAAAAATGCAAGGATTATTATACCAGAATCATTATCATCATTATCACTATTATTATTATCATCATTATTATGATTATCAGGTATACAGACATGATTTGCAGCACTTACCTTGAGGTTATCAGGTAGTTCAGCTCTCCCAGCATAGCCTGGGTTCATGGTAATAAACACAGTGCATGAGGGATCCAGAGATATCTGTGTCCCTTCAAACACAAACACCTTCACCTGCTCTGACACTGCCCGCTGAATGGTTTGGATCTGTTGGGCGACTACAGAAAGGACCTAAGGTTCAGACCAAAATACAATCTGTTTATTTAACAACTGGCAGCCAAACCCAAAATAATCTCAACAGCGTCACTAAATTATGGTGTTTCTGCTCACGCTTTCAAGACAAAGCATTGACGGTAATCTAGGTTTTATTGTGTATGATATTCAAATCCCTGAGATAGTTCTGATACCCCCAGATCCCAACTAGAGTTATTTGGTTAAACACAATGGAGCTACTGTGATTTGATTGTCATCTTCAATAGGAAAGTACCTTATCACGCCATTAAGACGTCTCAAAGCGCTTCACAGGATATACTGTAAATATATTGTGAGGCAAGTGCTCTAACTACTACAGGAATCCACATATAGTTCTGTACAGTGTATAAAATGGTCTAAATCATGGAAAGTGTTACTGGCTCGACAGAATAAGCACGCAAATGGGGTTTATAGATTTTACAATAGCTTTACTCCATCAAGGAATTTAACTGGGACAGATAAAAGTCTGACTCCTCTCTAGTAGAAATTAACCAAAGCTCAATAGAAAAATTCCAAGTTGGAAGTATTCACACATCTTCATTATATTGTGCAACAAATCTGCAAATATCAGTGGTTAATTGTATTTTTTGCATCTGTCGATACTATAGTCAGGAAAAACTCTGTGAACCATTTTCATTCAACGTTAATTTAAACAGAGATGGTTGTGGTTGGTGCTATAGTTACCTCAAGCTCGATGCGATTAAATTCATCAAAGCAAGCCCAAGCTCCTGACTGCGCCAGGCCTTTGAAAAATTTCCCCATCGCCTTGTAGTCCAGCCCATCAGAGCAGTTAAACACAACACACTGTGAAATACAGTGAAATATAAGTCCTGACCTTCTCACATCAAAACAAAGCCACACAAGCTACCAATTCATTCTAATAAATTAGTATCAACAAATATGTGAATCCACCGAGTCCCAATAGTTGAGTGGATAGAGCACTCGCCTCGAAAGCAAGACCTGGGTTCGATTCCCGGGCGGGACAAGCCGAAACCTTAGGCAAGTTTCCTTACCCCACATGGCTCTATTTACCTAGAATTATTATTATTTATTTTTAAGGGTTAATTAACCCCGGAAAGCGATCCGCCAACCGACCAACAATCAGATTCCTATTTACTGCTGGTAAACAGAGGCGTGTGGAGTAAAGAGTCTGTGTGGAGTCTGTAGCTCAGTGGTTAGAGCATTGGCCTTGCAACCGAGACACTTTGGTTCAATTCCAGGCAGAGCGAAACCTCGGGCAAGTTTCCTTACACCACACATCTAATAATAATCCCTCCAAAACAAAACAATAATAAATTGGTCATTTTCAATCCACGACTGTTTGTGGGACACTGCTGTGCACAATTGGCTGCTGCGTTTCGCCCACAAATATACGGTCAATTCACTTTACAGTATATTCTGTGAAGCACTTTGAGACATCTCGAAGATGTGAAAAGCACTATACCAAATGCAAGGATTATTATTATAAGGAAACTTGCCTAAAGTGTCGTCCTGCCCGGGAATCGAACCCAAGTCTCTGGCTTGCAAGGTGAGGGCTCTAACCACTGAGCTACAGGCCTCCACATTATCTCTGGCCGTCAGGCACTCGGGGCTCCCCGAATATATTGCTGACGTTACTGTATCTAACGGTCACCACCTGCTTGGCCACCGCTTTGGCCAGATCTTTGCAGGTTTCTGTTTTGCCGGTTCCTGCTGGTCCTTCAGGGGCTCCCCCGAGATTCAGCTGTAAAGCTCCCATCAGCGTCCTGTAACAGCAACACACAGCTGATAACAACAACAACAACAATAACAACAACAACAATAATAACAATAACAACAACAACAACAACAATAATAACAATAACAACAATAATAACAATCCTTGTAAAGCTCCCATCAGCGCCTGTAACAGCAACACACAGCTGATAACAACAACAACAATAATAACAATAACAACAACAACAACAGTAACAACAACAACAACAATAACAACAATAATAACAATCCTTGTAAAGCTCCCATCAGCGCCTGTAACAGCAACACTTACAGCTGATAATAATAATAATAATTCTTGCATTTGATAATAATAATAATAATTGATATCAAATACAAGGATTATTATTATGATGATGATGAACGAGTTAATAATCCAATCATGTAATTCCATTGGCCGCGAACCACTTTCCAGTCACTCCTGTTGTCACAGAGCTCCTGAACCGAGGGGAAGATGTTTGATGGTTTTTCTAGATGTAAATGCTCATCACCACATACACAACACAAGCTGTTTCCGATTGCGACCTGGAGGCAGCAGCACATTTCACATCTCAAATTGTCTTTGTGGAAAAAGGGACATTTGTTTTATTCAATGTTTTGTGGCTTTCTTTAGATTGTATTGTGAGTGAGCAGTTAAATGGACTGTGGCGTAAAACTGTAGAACATTTTAAAGTTGAAATGGAAAATGATGGAAATTGAGAAGCTGGTGAGTTTCTGAATGAGAAAGAAAGGGGTGCATACGCCCTCCATCAGAACGGGAGGAAATTGGCTGGAGAATGGCGTCTAGAGATAGGGAACGAGTTACATATTTAAACACCGCCAACTGCATTCACAAGGAAGCAGCAAATAATAGTAATTAATCCTTGCATTTGAACAGCACCTTATCACGTCTTTGAGACGTCTCAAAGCGCTTCACAGAATATACTGTAAAGTGTAGTGACTATTATTTTGTGGGCGAAACGCAGCAGCCGATTGCACACAGCAGCGTCCCACAAACAGTTGTGGATTGAATGACCAAATTATTATTTCTTTATATATATATTCTTTTGATGGGATTATTACCCTTGGATCTGCCAATCGACTATTTTTAAGTCCAGTTTGGATTTACTTCCTAATATGAATCATTTTAAAATGTAAAAAGATTATAATCCGATCAATTCAATTCAATTTAATACAAAACAATACCATCAATGAACTCAAATCTTAGCTGCATCACCTCAGCATCAATATTGCAACAGGTTTAACCTTTCAAACTGTTATTATTAATAATAATGATAAAATAAATGCTTTGTTGATGTATGTTTCCTTACCTGTAGCACCTATCAGTCAGAGGAGTAATGACGAGTCTCCCTGTGTTACCCAGGTACTCATAGCCATAAGGTACTGTGGTTGTAATCATTCTCACAATCACTTTCCTCTCTTCCCAATAATAGCGTAGTTGGGCAATCCAGTTAAAGTCAGTCGTGGTACTGATTCCAAGGTCATTCAACTTGGCCACAACATCACGGGCTGGCAAAGAGAATCACGCACACAATTATCATCCTGTGGACCCAATGTATTATCAAGAAAAAGAATAATCATAAACACCCGAGCAGAAGAGGTTATTGATCTAACTCCAGGAATCCATAGCCACAGATTCACATCGTGACATTAGTTTTCTATATCCCAGTTGTGTGCTTTCAGAGCAAAGAAGATTTTGCTGAAAAAAGGTCCAACTCTGACCTTGTCCTTGTCATCCCAAGTGGGAATGACCTCAACACATTCAAATCTAACTGGAGTCTTGTAGCTCAGTGGCTAGAGCACTCGCCTCGCAAGCCAAAGGACCTGGGTTTGATTCCCAGGTGGGACAGGGTGAAACATTGGGCAGGTTTTCTTACTTCACATGCCTCTCTTTATATCATTTTATTATAATAATCCTTGCATTTGCTATAGCGCTTTATCATGTTGTTCAAACATCTCAAAGCGCTTCACAGAATTTTACTGTGAAGTGTAGTGACTGTGTATTTGTAGGTGATTGTAAAAGCCAATTGTGCACACAATAATGTCTGACCAACAGGCATGGAATGAGTGACCAATTATATTTGGGAGAATGTTGGCAGGACACCGGGAGAGAGCGAGAAACTCCCTTCACTTTTCGAATATTGGGTGGGATCTTTAACAACTACCTGAACAGACAGACAGGACCTCAGGTAACATCTCATCTGAAGGACGGCACCTCTAACACTGTAGCACACTCCCAGCACTGCAATGGAGTTTCACCCTGAGCTATATGAGTTCAAAGTCCTGAAGTAGGGTTGAACCCACAACTTTTGACCTCTTGGGTGAGAGTGCTCCCAACTGAGCCATGGGGGTCATTGGACAACATCACCCAATCATGCACATCACCTGGGTTTGATTCCAGTCATTCTCCTTGAAGGAGACGTGTGAGTACAGCAAACACAGTAAATTCATCTTCCAGTCAATTGTGAGAGGAACTATTTCATAGTTAGCTTTCTCCCCCTGTAAAGCTATTGTGACTTTCACTCCTACCCCTGGAGTCTCTGTTAAATGACTGGCAATTTGAACAATTCAACCCATTCTCACTGGCAGGCCACTTAAAGTAAAATTGCCTACTTGAGTTCACATCAGTCGGTTACAGAGCAATAATCGTAAAGGTAGTTGCTTTCATATTTCATTCGATTGGCGAATTGCTGTTCTGGCAGTAATAAATAATCCTTCAAAAAAAATAAAAATGCAAAAAATAATAATAATGTGGTCACTCAATTCACGGCTGTTTGTGGGGCGCTGCTATGTGCAAATGGCTGCGGTGTTTCACCCACAAAATATACATTCACTACACTTTACAGTATATCCTGTGAAGCGCTTTGAGACGTCTCAAAGGCATGATAAGGCCCTGCAACAAATGCAAGGACTATTATTATTATTGTTATTATTCAGCTGAAACGCCACCTTGATGGCCCTGATCGACAGAAGATTCTGTGTAAAATCAATTCGGCAGCTTAACTCTGCTGGAAAGCAAGTAACCATGGAAACTATACTCCGCAGAGCAGCACAACACCATATCGGCTTCCGGTGGGTAATAAATCACTCCCTCAGGCACTGGCAGTAATTGAAGTAAAAGTTGTGTTTCCCACTTGCCAGTGGAGCTGTGCTAATTAATCAATTAACATCAATTAAAAATATAACCGGTTATTAATTCATTAACAGCCAGTGACGGAGGTGCTCACACAACGTACATCTCACATTGCTGACGTGTTAACAGAAGGACATGCTGACATGTACGTTTAGTCTTTAGAAACATAGGAACAGGAGGAGGCCATTCAGCCCCTTGAGCCTGTTCCGCCATTCTATAAGATCACAGCTGATCTGTATCTCAACTCCAATTACCTGCCCTTGCCCCATATCCCTTAATACCCTGACCTAACAAACATCTATCTGGAGTATAAAACTGCCTCTTAATAATAATAATGTGGTCACTCAATCCCTGACTGTTTGTGGGACGCTGCTGTGTGTAATTGGCTGCCGCGTTTCACCCACAAAATATCCTGTCATTTCACCATACAGTATATTCTGTAAAGTGCTTTGAGACGTCTCCAGGATATGATGAGGTACCATATCAAATGCAAGGATTATTATTATTATATTATTAAGGTTTAAGAAGATTTCTAATAACGTGAAGTCAGCCGTCTGTAGTCTGTGTAAATAACACAAATATATTGGACTGGAGATAGACTTCAGTGTTGTTATTAACAGAAAAATAAGTGTGATTTTAAAAGCAAGATCAAATAGCACTTTCACTTTAGTGCTGATTAGATACAAGCAGCTGTCGGGACCTGAAAGGATCAGGGAAATAGTAAAAAGATCACAAGAAATAAAAAGCCTGGAGATAGAAAAATACAGAGCAGGAGAAACACAGTGAGAGACCCAGGAGATGGCAAATTAGGTTGTCAGGAGATCAGATGACGAGGGGAAAACAGTCAGATCAAGGAATACTGTGATAATTGCGAAATTAACAGAAGAGAAAATAAAGAGAATTTAAAAAAGAGACAAAATAATAAAAATAGTAATAATCCTTGCATTTGATGTAGCACCTTAAAATGTCTGATCGCCCACTGGAATAAAGTGATGCCTCATTTAAAGCTGGTTCTGAACAGCCTATAAAGCAGGCTGGCACGTTAGTGAGGTGAGTGGAATTGATTACAGAGCATGTTGCCTACCATGAACATCAATGGTGATAAGAGCTCCCAGAGTGATCCTGGCCATTTTAGTCAGCTTTCCTCTCACTAGAGTCACAGTGTCCTCAATTTGTTTATTGCTGTTCTGCAGGAAGTCTGGCAGCCCGTCCTTCTGGGTGAAAGCCTGCAAGCAAAACAACAATAATAATATAATAATAATAATCCTCGCATTTGATATAGCTCCTTAATACATCTTCAAGACGTCTCAAACCGCTTCACAGGATTTACTGTAAAGTGTAGTGACTGTATATTTTGTGGATGAAATGCGACAGCCAATTGCGCACAGCAGCGTCCCACAAACAGTCGTGGATTGAAGTGACCAAATTATGATTATTATTATTTTTTTTAATAAAAGGATTATTACCCCCCAGAAAGGGATCCACCAATCGACTAACAACCTGGTTCCTACTTACTGTTGGGTAAACCAAGCCATGTGGAGTAAGGAAACTTGCCTAACTAACTCGTTTATGTGATGTTACCTGGGACTCTCTATAAGTGCAGCACATCCTTCACACAAAAAGTAACAAAATAAAACGTGTAAGTTGACTCCTACAGTCAATTATCCCTTTTTACACCTTTCTTGGAAACCCTTTTTGAATCTTTATTTCCAACAGAAGATTATCTTTTATGTACAGTACATGGTCCCTGAGCCGGGCAGCCAGGAGCTATTAGTTGTTGCAATTCCTCACAATATTAATGGTGACAGAATCCTACCAGACAGAATGAGTTTAGCTGTTTGACAAAGGTACATTGTGAAAGTTCTGTATAATAAATGAACTGAACAAACAGTAATGCATAGAGCGCAAACTCTACATCACATTATACTGTACACGTATAAAACCACCTTGTTCTTCCCAATGGCTAAATGTCTGACAGCTGGGGGTAACTGTATAAATGTGCTATCCCTGTTATATTTATTAGTTTGAGCAAAGAAGTTACATTAGCATGATTGTTTTTGCCAGAATGTTGGTGAGTATAGATCTGGAACACACAGCCTGAAAGGCTGGAGGGAGCAGATTCGATAATAGCTTTCAAAAGGGAATTGGAGAGGGACTTGAAAATGAAAACTGTGCAGGGTTATGGGGTAAGAGAGGGGGAGTGGGGGATAGTTGGGGTAAGAGAGGGGGAGTGGGGACTGGTTGGGGTAAGAGTGGGGGAGTGGGGGATAGTTGGGGTGAGAGTGGGGGAGTGGGGATAGTTGGGGTAAGAGTGGGGGAATGGGGACTGGTTGGGGTAAGAGTGGGGGAGTGGGGACTGGTTGGGGTAAGAGTGGGGGAGTGGGACCAGTTGGTAGCTCTTTCAAAGAACAGGCACAGGCTCGATGGGCTGAATGGCCTCCTTCTGTGCTGTAAGATTCTATGTTTCTGTAGTTTTCAAATACACCCAGAATCAAACCCGGTGCCCACAGGGTGACGGCTCCATCCTCTGTGTTAGGTTCCAAGATCAACAGTGAAGTGAAGATTGAAAACATCTCAAGTACCTTTCAGCTTCACAACGAGCATCACAGATCAAATATTAATGCGAGGCATTCAGTGAGATTCCCTGTGCATGGTTCAAAATAGGTCTGTGTCTGTCTGCGTGCATGTGTCTGTGTCTGTGCGTGTGTCTATATGTGCGTGTGTGTGTCTGTCTGTCTGTGTGAGTATGCATGTGTGTCTGTGTATGTATGTGTGAGTGTGCCTGTGTGTGTGCCTGTGTGTGTGTATGTGTGCAGTGAGGAGGTGAGGAATCCAATCACATGGAATCACCAACAGTCCTCTCCGCAAATCAAACACACACTGAGGTTAAATGTCTGGATCAACTGTGAGTTTGAATTTAATCACCAGAAACTCTCACCATTCCCAATCCTTGGCATACAATAATAACAATAATAACAAAGATAATAATAATAATCATAATTTGGTCACTTCAATCCACGACTGTTTGTGGGCGCTGCCGTGCACAATTGGTTGCCACGTTTCCCCCACAAAATACACTACACTTTACAGTATATTCTATGAAGCGCTTTGAGACGTCTCAATGACGTGATAAAGCACTGTATCAAGAATTATTATTATTAATTATTATAAAAATCCTTGCGCGACAAGAGAAAGCGCATTGCTTTTAAAAGTGTTTGATGTTAGATTTGACTTTAGTTCCTGTCTTGATGCTTTACTAGTTTTATGAAATCATTATTGCTGAAAAGGCTTTAAAAAGATAAACTTTCCAGCCTTAATCTCCATTAGTGAGCACTTTGTATTAAGTAGAACTGTTGCAGTTGCTGCAGTCATTTGATGCTAAGTGACTAATCTATCTTTCAATACAGTTATCTCACTCTTTATGAGACACACTCCATTTCCCCAGTGAAACTGTGTTCTCCATCACCCCAGCCCTCGCCAGCCCTCCCCAGCCCCCACTGGCTCCCTATCACACACACTAACCCCTGTACCCCATCACCCCAGCCCTCGCCCCGCCCCACTGGCTCCCTATCACACACACTAACCCCTGTACCCCATCACCCCAGCCCTCCCCAGCCCCCACTGGCTCCCTATCACACACACTAACCCCTGTACCCCATCACCCCAGCCCTCGCCCCGCCCACTGGCTCCCTATCACACACACTAACCCTGTACCCCATCACCCCAGCCCTCCCAGCCCCCACTGGCTCCCTATCACACACACTAAACCCTGTACCCCATCACCCCAGCCCTCCCCAGCCCCCACTGGCTCCCTATCACACACACTAACCCTGTACCCCATCACCCCAGCCCTCCCCAGCCCCCACTGGCTCCCTATCACACACACTAACCCTGTACCCCATCACCCCAGCCCTCCCCAGCCCCCACTGGCTCCCTATCACACACACTAACCCCTGTACCCCATCACCCCAGCCCTCCCCAGCCCCCACTGGCTCCCTATCACACACACTAAACCCTGTACCCCATCACCCCAGCCCTCCCCAGCCCCCACTGGCTCCCTATCACACACTAACCCTGTACCCCATCACCCCAGCCCTCCCCAGCCCCCACTGGCTCCCTATCACACACACTAACCCTGTACCCCATCACCCCAGCCCTCCTCAGCCCCCACTGGCTCCCTATCACACACACTAAACCCTGTACCCCATCACCCCAGCCCTCCCCAGCCCCACTGGCTCCCTATCACACACACTAACCCTGTACCCCATCACCCCAGCCCTCCTCAGCCCCCACTGGCTCCCTATCACACACACTAAACCCTGTACCCCATCACCCCAGCCCTCCCCAGCCCCACTGGCTCCCTATCACACACACTAACCCCTGTACCCCATCACCCCAGCCCTCCCCAGCCCCCACTGGCTCCCTATCACACACACTAACCCCTGTACCCCATCACCCCAGCCCTCGCCCGGCCCCACTGGCTCCCTATCACACACACTAAACCCTGTACCCCATCACCCCAGCCCTCCCCAGCCCCCACTGGCTCCCTATCACACACTAAACCCTGTACCCCATCACCCCAGCTCTCCCCAGCCCCCACTGGCTCCCTATCACACACTAAACCCTGTACCCCATCACCCCAGCTCTCCCCAGCCCCCACTGGCTCCCTATCACACACACTAAACCCTGTACCCCATCACCCCAGCCCTCCCCAGCCCCCACTGGCTCCCTATCACACACACTAACCCCTGTACCCCATCACCCCAGCCCCCACTGGCTCCCTATCACACACACTAAACCCTGTACCCCATCACCCCAGCTCTCCCCAGCCCCCACTGGCTCCCTATCACACACACTAAACCCTGTACCCCATCACCCCAGCCCTCCCCAGCCCTCACTGGCTCCCTATCAACAAACGGATCGATTTAAAGATTCTCAAACTCATTTTCAAATCCCTTCACATCCTGGCACCTCCCAACTCTCCCATCTGCTTAACTCCCCAACCCACCACCCACTGCCTCTGCTCAACTGGCTCTGGGCTCCTGCTTGTCCCTCGTGCTTCTGCTCCACCATTGGTGGCCGCACTCTTAGCCACTACGCCCCAAATGTCTGGAACTCTCGCCCTCCCTCCCTCCCTCTCTCCCTCCACCTCGCCGCCTCCTTTCCCCATCTTCAGGTCGTGCCTGAAGACCTTCCTCCTCGGCCGTGGCTACGGTCACCTCGCCCCCGGCTTGGTGTCGTGCCCCGCCACTGTCCTGAGCTCTGGGGCACTGCCCTGTGTGAGGGGGCCGTGTCGCTGTGAGTTGATGTTGTTGTAGCTAATTACACACCTGGGACACTGCGGCTGTCCAATACACAATGCTAGAAGCCAAGACGATCTGCCCAGGCCAACTCAGCACCCACTGCTCTCGCGCTGTCTCAGGATAAGCAATAATTGCTTGTAACATCACTTCCTCTAAAGATCTTTTCATCTCTGTTTCTACCTAGAAATGAAAGAAATAGTAGGATTAGATTCCGCTGTATTGCTATGAACCTCCACTTATTCATTCAATTCAACGACAAGACTATTAGCTATGGAATGAGAGAGAAAAAGAAAATGAATACACAAACAAACATAAATACATCCTTAATGCTGTTAGCCACATTCCTATTTTCAAGAGATTACCACTATCCTTTTCAATATAATGGAATGCAAAACAGTATTTTGGTAACATTCACATGGCTATTCTTTAACAAGTACATTTAAAATTAGTTTAAAATAATCTTTGCATTTGCTATAGTGCCTTATCATGTCTTCGAGACGTCTCAAATCTCTTCACAGAATATACTGTAAAGTGTAGTAACTGTATATTTTGAGGGGAAAACACGACAGCCAATTGCGTACAGCAGCGTCCCACAAACAGTCGTGGATTGAGTGACTGAATTATTATCATTATCATTTTAAATTTATTTATTCCCTACCTGAAGGGATTATTACCCCTGGAAAAGCGATCCACTAATTGACTAACAACCAGGTTCCTACTTACTGCTGACAAACAGAGGTGTGTGGAGTAAGGAAACTTGCCTAAGATTTTGTCCTGCCCAGGAATCCACCCCAGGTCCTCTCGATTGCGAGGCGAGTGCTCTAACCACTGAGCTACAGGACTCCAAAGTAGATCTTTAATTTACAAATGCAATTGTTCCCAATCGACATTCAGTTGGATAAATTGTAGTTCATCCAAATTGTAATGAAAGGATTGAACGTGAATCTTATGAGAAGGTTAGAGCCCGGCAGGAGGTGTCAGGCCTATTGTCCTGGTGCTCGCTCTCTCACTCCCTCTCACACTGGAGCTATCTGTGATGATCCATCTCCTCGGCTCTCCCCCCATACCCTTTAATGCTGCTGTATCTTTCTTCCTGTTTAGTATTTATCCAATTCCACTTTAAATGCTGACCTCATCACTGGCACAGTTCCTAGAGTGCATGTTTTACTCTCCTATTTAGATTTACAATGTTTATTGTATACATGTGACACATTTTAATTTATTTTGTAAAAGGTTGAATAAATGAGAATTATCTTTTGTGCTGAAATTTACATAAACCATATTTTCTGGTTGGGCGGGTGTCTGAAAAAACACTTGCCATTGAGAGCGCTGTCTGGCCAGCTTTCTACTGCTTGTCCAGCGAGAACCACCCTCCCCATTAGGGCTTTGGCTGCGGGGTTACCAGGAGCTGAGGGGGAGGATTCCCGGCCCCCAGTGAATGGTCGACCCTTCCAGGTCCTGCTGATGAGCCGGGCCGGGCTGTGCTGCCATCAGCAGTGAGTGCCCTGGGATATTTATTTTAGGAGATAACATTGTAGGATACAGTACATAGGGAGTTTGGGATATATAATAATAATAATAATAATAATCCTTGCATTTGATATAGCGCTTTTCACGTCGGGAGGACATCCCAAAGTGCTTCACAGAATATACTGTAAAGTGAATTGACTGTATATTTGTGGGCGAACGCGGCAGCCAATTGCGCACAGCAATGTCCCACAAACAGTCGTAGATTGAAAATGACCAATTTATTATTGTTTTTTGTTTTGGAGGATTATTATTAGGCTCTGTGTGGAGTAAGGAAACTTGCCCGAGGTTTCGCCCTCTGCCTGGAATTGAATTCAGGTCTCTCGCTTGCAAAGCGAGTGCTCCAACCACTGAGCTACAGGACATCCATATATGCATGGGACCACCAGGAGGGTGGAAGGTGAACTAGATGGACCTTGTTTTTTTCCATCTTGGATTGCTTATGTTCTTATACTGTGGACCTGCCTGGCTCAGGAACACAGACTAGAGACTGGCACAGAGGGCTGGCCCAATTCTGACATTCCCTTGCTAGGCAGGTCACCTGGGAGCCAGGAAACCTTGCTTACCCCCTCCCCCCAAAACACAAACTATCGTGAACTTTAAAGACGGTGGAAAGAAGGTGAAGAAAATGAATGGTTAAAAATGTGAAAATGTTGAATATTCTGGGGCACAGTTTAATGGAGTGCCTCTTGGGATTTTTAGAGACAAGAACTTGTGAGACCGGTGTTTCGTGAGGCTGTTTTGGGAACTAATGTTACAAAATTATTATTCCTTTTTCCTATCCCCCACCGCCCCACAGGAAATATCCCCACCTGTTCAAGTGGGTATTAATTTTGAGTGTAGTGGCTTTACAATGTATTGGCATCAACACTGCATTCCAAACAGCCATTGCCGAGTGCTTTGTGATTCCCTTCAGGCCAAACAAATGCCACATTTACATGAACGATAAAGAGTGAGCCTTTCTGAAGCCTCATTGCTTGTTTGCTAAACACACTAAAAAGCGTTATTAATCATTAGCTGAGATAAGTAAGCACTGACTGGCTGACAACTAGTTGGGGCCTTTATTATAGGCAACAACATGACTCAAAGCTAATGGACAGCTCGGCTCAGAGTAAAACAAAGCATTTGTGAGGATAAAGATGGTTAATGGTGCCAGAGGTGATGTTTAACAATCATCTCACAGCGGCCTGGACAGCAGCCCTGACACAGCTTGTGTAGAATAACCTAAACCTTAGTCAAGTTTCCTTACTCCACAACAACAACAACAAGATTCCATTTATTGAGCGCCTTTCAGGTCGGGAGGACGTCCCAAGGCGCTGGACAGTTGGGTCAGGACCCGAGCATTGGGGGGGAAATGGTCAGGGTGAGGGGAGGGAGGGGGTGAGGAGGGGGTAGAGAGTCGAGAGGGGAGCTGAAGGCTGAAGGTCAAAGAGAAAGGTCTTGAGACCGGCCTTGAAGGAGGAAAGGGAGGAGGCGGCGAAGGCACTGGGGGATGGAGTTCCAGAGCCTCGGGGCTGAGAGGCTGAAGGCCTGGCCATCGATAGTAGGGCGGTTGGGGCGGGGGATGTGGAGCAGACCGGAGCCAGAGGAACGGAGGGTACGGGCGGGTAGGTAGGGGGATAGTAGGTTGAAGAGGTAGGAGGGAGCAAAGCCGTGAATGGCCTTGTAGGTGAGGATCTTGAATTCGATCCTCTGGGGGATGGGGAGCCAGTGGAGGCGAGCGAGGGTGGGAGTGATGTGGTCACTGGTGCGGGACAGTACACGAGCTGCAGAGTTCTGAATGACCGGCAGTGTGGAGGGAGGGCCGGGAAGGCCGAGAGGAGAGAGTTCCCATAGTCCAGCCTTGAGGTAATGAAGGCGTGGACCAGAGTTTCAGCCGTGTGAGGGGTGAGGTAGTGCCGTAGTCTGGCGATGTTCCGGAGGTGATGGAAGGCGGTGCCAGTTGTGGAGCGGATATGAGGGAGAAAGGACAGCTCAGGGTCGAACAGAACCCCGAGGTTCCTGATGGCTTTGAGAGGTGGAGAGTGCGGAGCTGATGCTGTCAGCGCCTGAGGTGCGGAGGCGCTGACGTGAGCCAATCAGGAGGGCCTCAGTTTGGCGCACGTTGAGCTGGAGAAAGTTATCTCTCGTCCAGGACTCGATGTCGGACAGACAGCTGTCAGGACATCGGTGGTCGTGGAGTTGAGGAAAGGTAGAGTTGGGTGTCATCCGCATACATGTGGAAGTTAACCCCATGTCTGCGAATGATGTCACCACAGGGGGAGCATATAGAGGGTGAAGAGGAGGGGACCGAGGACAGAGCCCTGAGGGACACCGCACGAGACAGTGCGGGGGGTGGAGGAAAAGCCATTTGAGGAGACAAAGTGAAGACGGTGGGAGAGGTACAACCTAAACCACTCAAGGACAGGGCCTTGAAGGTTTAGGTGGGAGGACAAGCGGTGGAGGAGGATAGCGTACTCCACACACGCACCTCTGTTTATCAGCAGTAAGTAGGAACCCGGTTGTTAGTCAACTGGTGGATCGCTTTCCGGGGGTAATAATCCAATAAAAATAAAATAATAATTTGGTCACTCAATCCACGACTATTTATTGGATGCTGCTGTGTGCAATTGGCTGCCACATTTCGCCCACAAAATACACAGTCAATTCACGTTGCAGTGTATGCTGTGAAGCACTTTGAGATGTCTCGAAGACTTGATAAGGCACTGTGTCAGATGCAAGGATTATTATTATTATTATATACAATGCCATCCTGTTGATGGGAATATTGATTTGGTTTTGTTTAATGTCCAAATACATTGAAAAACACTAATTGGAACAAATCCAGTTTCCCAAGTAATTGATTTTAGATTAACGTCTCATTCCCTGAAATGTAGTGGTTTTGTGCTTATTTATTTGTTGGACAATCACAAAATCAATATTAATTAAACCCCAAGTCTGACATGTGTAATAAACTATTATAAACTGGGAGAATTTTGGATAGTTTAAAAAATGTGTTTTCCATTGTTTTGATTAAGGTGCAATATTATTTTTACAGAAAGATTAAAAAAAATGCTTTGCGGTTTTCCAAGACAATATCTGTCTATAATCATCATTATGTTTTAGAGTTCAGACTGTGATGATACATCGTGGAGTCCTGTAGCTCAGTGGTTAGAGCACTCGCTTCACAAGGAGAGACCTGGGTTCAATTCCCCACAGGGCGAAACCTTAGGCCAATTGACTAACAACTGGGTTACTAGTTACTAGGTTAACAGAGGCGTGTGGAGTAAGGAAACTACCCGCCCTGCCCGGGAATCGAACCCAGGTCCTCTCTCTAACCACTGAGCTCATAATTTTCCTCAAACTCTCACCCACAAAATACATATTAACCAACAGTATCTTAGTACGAGCACTCTGAGACATTCTTTCCCTGTAATTAAAATGTAAATACTGTGCACCTGCAAACACTATTCCCCTCGATTCACTTCTCATTTGTATGTTGAGCAGGTTCAGGGAGAGAAGCAATTGTCTCACTGAACCACTTTTGACATGATGTAAGACTTCCAGCAGATTCCAATCCAACCGCAGGACTTATTAAAACGGGGTCTTGCCAGAGAAAGGCAATTAAACTTTATTCATGAAGTTTATGCTAAAATTTTATGCTATTCTAAAAA